TTATAAATCCCAAAGTGAATTTTTGAAATTTCGAATACACATTTTCAAGAGTTTTGCAAAGAACACCGGTTTTGGTAGAAAATTATAATTTAAAGTAAATTAAGCAAGGAATGAAGATTGGTGTAATGAAACACGCATATTTAATATTTAAATAATTCAATCTGTGATAGATTGTGATTGCTAAAGTGCATACAAAGACTATTAATTAAATTTTTACTAAAAATTAGTTGTTGATACTATAACGACAACCCTGTTGTTATATTATATTTCACGGGTCTGTTGTGTGGCTTTTAGCTTGGCTGCATAAAGTTCACAACGCGACTCGCACGCGTGACATCGATTTTTCGTTATCGGCACTTAAAACACGCCATCGCTCTAACGCACACATTCAACACTTTTAAACAGTCACCACACTTGCACAATCACAAACTTTGCAAAATAGTAAACGAATGCGCACACTGTAATTCCCCTTGTCAGGTAATAAAATTGCATTTATTTGCTATAACTACTTATTACAACCGCTTCTTAGAATTAAAATTAGGAAAATAAATTAAAAGCGTCATATTATTAATATCCATTAATATTGTTATAACATAGAATTTAAGAAAGATTGTAGCATTTTAAAAGTTGTACATGTTTTTGAGGAACTTTATATGTGATGAAAGTTCTCGGGCTTTCCGGACTTCCGCCGGCTCTACTTCCAACTTACAGCTAGAAATGTCCATTTCCTAATATTCCCCAGTGTTTGCTGCTTAAAGTTTTTTGCTTGTATGTTTCAAAAACATTCGATATAATACATATTAATACTTTTACGCGTATATCACTGAAAAAGTTTTATTTCGTTTGAAAATCGCCTGAAGAAAACAGATCACACCAACTCTAAGTCCAAAAAGTTTGCTAACAACAATTCCGTAAAGAACAACAACATTCAGTAACTTCATAGGCGTTATACCATGTACAAGTAATAAGAATGGTGCAAACAAAGAGCTAATTAACAGTCGGAAGAAATGCAAATTTAAAACTTACTTTAGCTCAATGCGTTTTGCACTGTATAAACGCAATATGTCCGCAGTAATAAATTTAAATGAAATAAAAAAAATATAAATGCATTTGCTCTAGCGTGTAGGTTTAATTAACACCTTTGTATATTGCATGACTGCATAATTGAACGTAGGTTAAAATTATCTTCTCTAATGTGTGTGTTTTTTGTGATGCAATAGAGCCGAACATTGTAAAAGTTTAATTGCATAACTAAATTATCAGCTCAATTCTATCGCCTTTCGTGTGTTTCAATTTGGAATGCGCATCACGAACAACATTTATTGTGAGTATACTTGACGGTGTTTCATTGTAGACACTTACTTGTATCTAGGTACGGATAAAACTGTAGAATGTAAATTATTATTTATTTTATGTGTAAATGTAATTGGATATTTTAATTTTTAACAAAGTGTTCGATTACAATTTTATGTTTGGTGGGCAAGATAAAATTTGGATGAATTCAAATGAAGGTGTGCAAGGCACGAGGTTTTCTTATATTCAAACAATAGAAATTGCGCATTGCGCTTGAAATACCTTATATTCTTCAGCAACACTCACCTTAAAACAAAGGCAGTACAAGTATGATAAAAATGACAAAACTCAATTTAGGAATGCAAATTTGATTGTAACTCTATTTGAAGTTGATATTAATTGAACGGTGTAAGTTATAAACCCTGTGAATTGAAAATCAAATAATTTTAATTGGTTATTGTTTTAAAATATAGCGACGCTTTGTGCACAATTCAAATAAAAAGTAATTATATAATAATATTAAACCATAAGATAATTTCATATTCAGTTAAATTTGGACATGAGAGAGAAATTATTTGCTCGACGTCGAACAAAACATTATTCGTATATTCGTCGTCCCGGTAATGCGGATCATTACTCGAGTTCGGTCCGCTTCCACACTTTTACGCATTTCAAATTAATTGGGCACTGCGCTTTTCATTGAATCACAAGTGAATTACGTGTTGCTCAACCTCAAATTTCCTGGAATATCAGAAAATCCATTTTATCTCCTCTTGAAATTTGTACAAATATACGTTTCACCTACAAATATTCATTTGTAATTCAATATTTTAAATTTTCAATTATTAAACTCGAAAACATCCAAAAGATTCTCATTTCTTTAGTTCGAAATTTACTTTGCATTGTTTTGTGCTTTAATTGAGTAATGGCATTCTCTACGGCATTTCTCAAAAAGCCCATGAAACAAAGGGAGTTAATTGATTACCGATTGCCTCGTCAAGTTCATCATCATTAGCCCGCAAAGGCGTTGTACCCATTAATCGCGTCCCAGCTTCGATTCGAGTTTACGTACGAAATTAAAAGCGGTTCGTCTAACTTAACGAGTCTCTGGTGTGATGCAAGTTATTGCATTGAGAAGGCAAGCACAAGGCAACAAGGAAACAACAAAAAATGAGCATAGTGAACAAAAGATAACTCCGGACGTTTCACATCATTAACGTCGTCTCGGGAGCATTGTAACAATGAAAAATTAGTTGTATTGTAATCAATCTAACTTTTTCAAACGGATATTATCTTACATTTTCAAGAATTTAGCTAACTTCGTTTTTAATCATGCTCATGTGTATTTGTTGATGAACTTTGTTGCCTTTCTTTTTAAATATTACTTTTGCAATAGCGCAAAATAATTTGACTATAATTATATTGGTTACAAATAAATAGTTACGATTTATGATTATCATATTGGAAAAGCAAAATAGCTTAAATCATACTTAATACCGATTGCCTCATCGATTATTCAGGGAATTGGCAACCGAGCAAGGCGTGCAATCATATTTTACTTTTATTTTTTAAATTGTGAGCTGGTGGAAATGCGCGTTGCGACTTATGAAAAATTCATTTTTGCACTTTTATAATGTTCGTTCACTAAAAAATTCTTTATTGGAAACTAGTACCGTAAAATCTGAGACAAAATACAAAGTAAAAACTGTAAAATTCAAAGCGCAAACATTTATTATCCAGTTTTTAAAAATTAAAATCAAAATGGCTTTAAAAATAGTTAAACACATTTGGATTTTTTACTGTAATTCTTGTCATTTTGCTTGTCGTAAATACCATGAATTATTAAATCAATTGTCATGTTATTAAATTTCTAATTAATAGCACTTCCTCATCTCCGATGTTTCAAATGGCACATGCTCAATCTTCCGATATAGGAAGGATATCCTATAATATGTATGCGGCCATCTTGGAGTCTCTACTTTAATGCCATAATATTTTCTTTCTTTTGTGTCCGCATATTTTTATTTTATGTTCGCGATTCTTATAAATAACTTGCTGAGGTTTACGATTAGGCGACTGTCATTTGGTTTGCTCGCTTTTCTTGTGGTTTTGCCGATGAATATAGCAAACGGAAATGTGCTCTCGTAAATTTGTGTCCACTTAGCTGGTTGCCTGGCGCGGAGTGGAAGATTTAAGACAATAACATTAAAGAAAGACAATGAAAAAAACGGTCAACGGATGCATTTATAAGGCGTAGCTCGTATCTCAACGTTCAATAAATGTCATGTCATCGGTAATAAACTACTAGATCATTTTGTCGCATTTTACGAGCGGGTTTTGCATTGTTCTGCAATTTTGAAGTAAAAAAATGTGTAAACACTGTTGTTGTTTTTTTCATCTTGAGTTTTGTTCAACGTCTTACACAAAACATTAATAAAATAAATTAGAAGAAGTTTACGCTTTCCATGCTCTTCGACATAAGAGGAAACTTTTAAAATATGATCTTTATTTTATTTGGTTTATTTGTATATATAATGTTTATTCTTCTTCTTGAAAGTTACTGTACCTACACCTATCTCTCTTCCATTTTTTCATCACTCACTTTCATGCTGTTGGTGGAATATTATCCTGGCCGTAATAAATTACATTTACAAATGCTGCCCGCTTTATTTTCCTCGGTTGTTCAGAGTTGAAATCGGAGTCAGTCTAAGAAGACTAATGCGCTGACAAATCTACCAGACTTCATTCATTGTATTCTTGTACGTTCGTAGTTTTTTTATGCAAACTTACTTGGGGACTAGTAACGGTAAATAACAAAGATACGTAAGTCGTGTGAACAAATCCAAATGGATTTCATCGAAAGCCGAACGGCGCAACAAAAAGTTTCATATCACTTCTCAGACGCCTGCGGTGACAAATACGGCGCTGAGGGCTGCTTTCAGCGGCACATCACCTAGCGGCGGTAAAAAGTGTGGCACAAATTTTTATGTGGATTTGTATTGCCGATTCGAGCATAGGTATACTGATGACCTTTAAAAACCAGCGAAGGCGGAAATACAAGTACGCCCAAATGTATATTGCTTTTCGTCATATGAATTTATTCGTTTTAACATATACTGTTATGTCATGAACAAAAACAAAAGAAAATCAATATTTTCCAGTTGAATAATTTATAAATGCAAATATGATTTTGAAAAATGAATGAAAGTCACAGAAAATACTGTCTGACATTTGTATTTACAATTTCCCTTGCGATCTGAGCGTTTTTTTATTGCAATGCAAAGACGTGGGATATAAACGTGTATTTTCCATCTTGTTACAAATCGTATTTTAGAAAATCCCATTCCATCAGCACCAAAAGAATATCAAAACAATGAAATTTTAAAATATTATATTAAAATGAGCATAAATTATTCAAAGGATGTCTTCTTGAAAATAAAAATTATGTAGATAACTTCCTATAGTTAAATTTTAAAAGTAGTAGAACTTCTATTGTTGAAAAAAGTATTCCCAAATATGAATCCTCACAAGATATTTTCTAAGCTTTCAAAGTATGCGAAATTTAGAAAATTATATTTTTGTTATGGCTGAATATTTAATATAATTTTTCCAATAGTAACATTTAAATTGAAACACAATAATTTTTGCACTTGCTTCCTTAATTGTAGAACATAATAATAAAATCATATTTGTTTGTTCTGTTTCAGTCGTTATTACACGATCAACACTTACTTCTCAAGCGATAAGCGATGTTATGGTAACGTCGATAACGCAAAGTGGAGAACCTATTGGCTCATTTTATACCACCGATGGTAGCGAAGAATCATCGAGTAAATGTGCATCGCATCAATACAAAAGCCAATTTAGAGTTGGCGATGAAGAAATCGTGGTTAACTGGACGATTCCAAAGCCTATACACATACATAATCCGCAAACAAATATTAGTTTTGTGTAAGTATACTTTTGTATATTCTAGCTGTTTTTGTATTTTTCACAAACCCAAATTTATTTTAATTCTGTTTGTATCGTTAACTTTGTAATTTAAATTTGTTAAAAAAGGAGAACTTTGAACTTAATTAGCATTCGTGCAATGTCTGTTTTACATTGTTTCTTCAGTGGTCGACTACATTTTAGAACCGTGTTAGTGTGCTACTGGAATGATTGTATTGAATTTTGGCTTTTACGCTTAATGCGGTGTCCGTTGGGTCGTCAGAGAGCCGCAAACCCTCGGTGCTTTGCATATTCATACTGCGTTGCCGCGGCCGTAGTTGCGACACGTGCAACACGTGTCTCTTATACCAGTTGAACAAGTGCGCGTCGCGTCAGTTGAGAGTACTACACGAATAAACGGTGGCGGTGCTCGCCACCAACCGAGTGCAAACCGAAGAGATAAATGATTTTGAAGTTATAAGTTCAAGCGTACTACAGGATTCAACAAGTTTAGAAGAAGAAGAAAAAAAAAACAATCAACAGAAGCAGAAACTTGCATGTGACTATTAGAGTCACATTTGCGCTTCTTATTTTTATAATGTTAGTAATTTTTTAAAATAACATTGACTGTTTAAAATTTTTAATTATTTTACAGATTTTATTCCATTTTAATCTATGAGTAGTCGTGTTGAATGCACCACATTGTTGATGTTAACTTACATCACTTGAATTCTTCTTTTCGACAATTTAGATTCAATTTGCGTTATAAGATTTGGCATTTTCTGACGCATTTTCCGGCTTTGGTGGCTTTGCACACCCGTGGTAATGAATAAATTGGGTGAAATGGGCAAACGCCACCGCACGTTTGATTGGATGATTGATTGATTCTATTCAATCTGCCAGGAAGCTCTGTCCAGAATAATGAATAATCTGCTACTGAATGTTTTTCTACCCTCAGAGTAAAAATACAGTTAACAACAGCGTATTTAAACCAAAATTGTTAAAATTAATTTTAACCATTTTCTAAATTAATGTAGACTATTGGCAGGCTCGCGTGGCGATGTGCATGCTGAGCGTAAGCTAATTCGAGTCGTTGCTGATTCCATGTCTCCTTGTCGGCTTGTAAAGCCCGAAGCGTAGTTGCAAACACAAATAGATTACAAAAGCGAACCACAGACGCCGATCTGCATTAGAAAGCCATACTCGTGAACCTTACCCTCTCACATTTTCACTCCACATAATTGTTTATAATAGGCTCGGTTGCTTTGTAATTAAAATTAATTACGAACGCTGTTTATTCTGCATTATTTTCCTTCTATGGTAAACATTAAATGCGTTAAAGTTTGTTCCAAGCATAATTTGCACGAACGCGCCTCTATACGTCTAATGTTTATTAATTAATTTCTGCATCTTTTCCAGGCTGAAATACAGAGATTCGAATGCTGCAAGTGATTCCAATGTTCGAGTTGTTACGCTACACGTGGCGGTCATACAAGGTAGAGTAAAATTGAATTATTTTCCACAGTGTGAGTGAACGCTGATGAAAATTTAATAACAGGTTTCAAATGATATTTTTTATGAAATTTTAAATATTCATGAACTGAATGTGAAAAAAATTGCTGTGTGAGTGTTTGTTTTGCATATTTTTGGAATGTGTGCTTGCAGCATGTCAATTGTGGTTAAAAGCAACGGAGCGTACGGTGGCGTGGCGCGACGTACCAGCAGGCAACGATTGTGAAGTGGTCTTCCCGGGCGGTCACTCTACAGGCCATGGCATCGTCATCGAGATGATCAAATTGAATACTCCGTGTGCTAAGGGGTATCTCCACTTTGCTGGCACGAACAACACACAGAAATTGTCCTCACCCAGTTACCGCAGTCATCGTCAGGCGCGTTTGTGCGGTAAACTGGAAGAGCTCCCCGAAGCAGATCGACACATCTACTTTCCATCGGCACACAGCTCACCTCTAATGTATATTCACGGATCACCCATATTCGTTCTCTCATATCATCTCGTCGATTATTGTTACAATGTGACATTTACAACGCGCAATGGTACATTTGAGTTGCGTCCCACTGCGAGTGGTGAACTTGAGTGTACCTTTAAGATCAACTTACCATACGGCAATCGAGTAGCCTTAACGCTTCAATTTGGTGGGGATGTGACGACTGTGACCACAGATCGTCCATTATGGAAAAATAATTCGAGTGGATGTACAGGATTATTGGTGCGTTTACAAGATGGTCCATCGTTATGGTCACATTGTAATCGTCCTGGCGACGCTCAGAAAACTGTGGAGGTGGTATCCAGGGCCAATAAGGTTACGCTCAAGGTGACAGTTCACAAGGGTGCTGGCAGTCAATCGCTCGGAATGAGTTTAGGGTATCGCGCCCAACCGATCGAGGAAATGGTTGGGGCATGTGGGTTTGGCTGGGTTGCGCTACGGCAATTTTGCGTGTCTGCTATGGAGGGCGCACGATTGCCATGGGCGCAGGCCGAAATGGAATGTGCCCGCAAAGGGGGCCATTTAGTCAGCATACGCAACGAGCACGCACAAGCACTAATCGACAATTTGTTGTTAAACAGGTACAATACTTCAGTAGCAAATTCCAAACATTCTCGACCGCCTGTCCCAACTACCTTTCAACATGTATCATGATATTTTAGTAAAACGTACTTTATTTACGTTAAATGATCAAATTTCATTTTTAACAAACAAGATACATTTTACATTCAATCTCTTTATCCTTTTTATTTTCCATAATAAAGAATGCCGGCATAAAAGAAAAAAGAAAAACCTACGGCATGACACCCACGGCCTGAAAAACAACAGTGTATACTGAATACCTCACTCACCCTAGTAATTTATCAACGCGATTATGCAAATTTGGGAGTCCCTCGTGCAGGGTTTGACTCATACCTATACTTTTTCCCTTTATTGCTATTTGTCCTTTCTGTACGTTGCACCATCTAGGTTACAATTTGAAAAGGTTCTAATGCTTTGCATTGCAGTAATCATCATTATAATGCATTTTTTGATTTTGATTACTTGCTATTATAAACATATTTTTTAGTAGAATACATCTTCATTATAATAGTTCTTCCAGTCATTTGCTTCACCAGGCTTACCAAATTATGGTCAAAACCTTATTTATACTAAAAATAAGCAAAACTTGCGACGGGACGTGTGAAAAATCTCTCTTGGGCATTTGGTAGTCGTAATAACCGCCGCACTAATGGCCCTCTATCCCAATGTCCGTCTGCGTAGTCAGTGCCAAGTGCCGAATGGCGTGCCTGGTGGTTATTACTCCAAATTGCAATTTCTCTCAGTTTTCATCTAAATCCTGCAGTCTATCTACAACGGAAAGTTACTTTTTTTTTACAAACTTTCAACATCTATTATACTATTGTGACCTGTATTGCGCTATGGAAAGAAACCATTTTATTCTTGAACCATTTATAGAAAGTGATTGAAAACTATTAACTGAAAATAAACAAATTTATGCAATTAATGCTAATGATATGCATAGGGCAACTTAAATGTCTAATCACAACTATTATTTTATGCAAAACTTTCAATTCGGCATAGATTAAAGATCTCTTTCGTACCAATATTCCACAGGGATTTTAAGGAGTATCCCATTATTTCCTTATTTACGTAGGATTGTTTAACATCAGTTAAATTTAAATGAACTAGTACAAGCTATGATTGATTAGGAAAACAAAACCGATTAGCATATAAATTGCCCACATAGCAATTAGCAGAATGAAAAACTGAATTTGGTTTTATTAAAAAGTTTTGTGGAAAGCATTGCATTAGTTTCTTTCATCTATTTACGTTCTTCACCAAGAACACCCATTCACCATATTCTCTCTTTAGTTGTACTTTACGTGTTTCGTGTAAAGATTTACGGACTTGGTGGAGGTGTCAGTCAATGGTAACATTTTTTTACTTCACTTGCGTTCTTGCTAAAGGATTTGAATGTATTCTGTGTGTTGTGTAAGCTCTGCAAATACGAGCGTCTAAAAGCGTCTTTAAAAAAAATAGTCGGTAAAACACCCTCCTGCTTAACCAACAGACGCATTGACCTAACAAGCAGAGTAAACTTTTATTTCGGGATACCGACTCGAATATTTATAACTTGCACTTTCCACTCGAAGCAATCAGTGAATAAACCACTCGCAGGCCACTTCCGTATCCATTGAATCCAATCTGCTTTATTTGACTAATACAGTCTTGGGGGTAAAAATACTCCAGAATTTATTTCAGGTCCTGAAAAAAGGAGAAAAGTGTTAATGTTTTGTTTGTCTATATAGTCCCGGTTACAAGGAAAATAACGCATATTGGATAGGTGCGTCGGACCGAAGCCATGAAGGAGACTTTCATTGGTCTGATGGATTACCATTTTCTTTTACAAGTAGGTGGAGTAAGCCTTAATTGATGCTCCTATTTAACAACAAATAGTTTACCAATGCTTTAACCTTATGTTTTACTAATGCCTGATACAGATTGGTTTCCCGGGTGGTCTGAACATTCCGATTACAATCGACAGCCCAACGATGATGGTCTCAGCGAGCAGGACTGCGTAGAGGTTCGGCGGGTATATGCGTTGCCATCGTCTTCAGGTAGTCTTGCCGCTGGCTACATGTGGAACGATCGCGATTGCTCCACGCCAAATTACTTTATATGCGAACGCCTACAGAACGACGGTAATTTACGAGCAGCACAAAACTAATACGTACCGTGGCATTCACTATGATTTATCTTTCCATCGCCGTTTTCCATTTGGTTTTTGCCTGCTCCACGGTGACGGTGTGCGAATCTGGCACCCTGGGGTCGAATGCTGTAGAACCGCTAGAGGAAATCTGGGCGCCGGATTGCAATCGCACTGTGGTCCTCTCCAGGCAGCAACCACGGGCCGCCGTCTCGAGTCCGGGTTTCCCCCGCCAATATCCAGACAACGCTGACTGCGACACCGAGATTATCGCACCGCCCGGCTACCGACTTGTGCTGGATTTTGAGGAGCTTGTTATCGAAAATGAACCATCGTAAGTATGAGTATGCTTATTAATAGTGCGTAAGATTATTCTGAACTGTAGTAAACTTGTATAATCCTCGTATTGCGTGTGTACCAAATATCTATCAAAATGCAAAAGTTCTGCTTAATAAGCATGCCATTTACAATTATGTAAAAAAAAGCGCCTTGAATTTTAAATTTTTAAATTTTAAAACTGAAAAGTATCATTCTCAGGATTTAGGCAAAACTAAACTATGCAATTTGGTGCACTAATGTTTCAGTCCATAATCTAGCACAATAGCTATTATTGTTTTATGTTGGTGTGGTATATTGAGGAAAAAAAAATTTGTATAACAATGTTTTAACGCATATTTAACTTTTTAGCATTAAAACGGTTAAGTTTTCAAGTTTGTCTTTCAATTTCTCATTTAGTTTGCTAATATTTCACAGTGCTATAAAAAGATGCATAAAAGTCTGAAATCTGAGCAAGTTTGTAAAAGTTACAAGAAGGTTACGCGCGTAGGTGCGTCTCGTAAATTCTAGAGTTATTAAATACAACGTCTGGGACGTTATTGCAGCGTGAGGTTGTAACCCAGGGTAGAGACCTATGATTTTATACTACGTGTTCTTATAACTTTTCATACAATATTTAATGCTACAATGTAACCTTTCAAAGCCATTACTAGTTTAATTTATAACTACTGGTTGGTACAACGTCATTTATTAAATATTTTTACTTTGTACATCAGAAATATTTGCAAAAATTGTCAATATTGTCAATAGATAGTGGCTGGGCAGCCTTTCACTAAACGATCTTGCAAATATACTACTACCATTTCTTCAAATAAAATAAAGAGCGGAGCTCACTATACGATTTTGTTTTCAATGCGTTTTTCTGGTGTTTTGATAATAATTTAATAATATTTGCGTATTTCAGCTGCAGCTATGACTATTTAGAAATAATGGAGATCATGCAAAATCACGCAAATAGCAATGGCAGTAGCAACCACAGTGTCGGGGTTGCCATCGCCACCGTTGGTGAAAGTGATCATAAAGTCGGCGAGACGTCGTCCCGACGCCTCTGCGGCGACTGGAGCGCCAAGCTAAAGTTGTTGCGACACGTGAGTCGTGGGTCGCGCCTCAAGCTTAGATTCAGCTCGGATTACTCTCATCATTATGGTGGGTTCAAAGCGCGTGTCTCAATGGAGAGCGGTAAGAGCTACAACTTAATTGCCGAATAAATAAATGCACCTGACTCTAATTTCTTTATTTTCACATTACGCTTTAACTATATTACTTATATTTATATGTCACTTTCCCATATATGCATCTTCTAAAACTGTTCTATTCTCATTTTGTTCTCTCTGAATGAAAGCGGAATTTGTAATCGCTAGTTAACAATTTAATTTGCACATTGCAATTTTTGCACTTTGCATCAGCACACGGCACATACTCATTAAAGTCCTGATCACAAATGAAATGCAAACAACTAAAATTACGTCGTTCACCGTTTGTGTACGTTATGATGTTATGAAATCGCACAATTTTTCCTGCAGCGATGCGTCTCTCGCAACGTGCAGGTAAGGATGGTTCAATATCATTTGCTAGACTGTGTGTGCTTCCTGATATGCGCTTCTACTTGGGAGTGAAAATAAAATTCCTACCCCTTTTTGGTTGCAATATATAGCTTCATTTCAATTACATTTTATTTATATTTATTTATGATTTTTCTATTTCACAAATATTTTGTTAATATTTTATTGTCAAAGCACCAAACAAACTTGATCAACATTAATGTTGCAAGTTTCCATTAGATCTATCTAAATTACACATAGCATGGCTTTTTTTGTGATACACAACTCAAATCAACAAACATTGCATACTTCATGACATTTTTATTTCAAATAATTTCACCTGCATCATGCTATTAATAGAGAATGATGGTCTTAAATCCGCTTCCCGTTTTATGACACCGATTGTTACATCTGGATAGCTTTGCGACTTGAAATTTTGACGTACATGTAGATATAGCAATTCTCGTAAGCCCTTTTGCAATATTTCTAATGGATTTGCTTTCCTTATGCATATTTTATATATTGTGCTAGCAGATTGCAAGGTGTCTTTCAAGGGCAATTGCGTGTATGAGGTATCACACAACAAATTTATAATAACTTTCTATAGGCAAAGAAAAAATATACAACTATAAAAATTTGGGGAGGGGGAATAGCTCCAATATTAAATTTAAATCAGGTTAGGATTCTTTTCTTGTTCTATTAATAATTCGACAATGGCAAATTTAAATCGTTATTTTTAAAATTACCTCATGATTTACCCGATTATTGTGAATGCCAGTTAAATATTGACATTTTGTTCATTTAATTTAGCGCTGCAATGTTCTGATGATCGCTGGCAGGTCTTCAATCACTCGTGCTACTTATTCGTGCCATTTCCGGAGGTAAACTGGCCCACGGCACAACAGATTTGTCGAGGAAAAAATATTCGCGCACAACTCGCCTCAGTCCTCTCACCGGAAGAAGAGCGTTTCATTACAACCAATATTCGCAAGATGTCAGAATATCGCACAAGCGGTCGGTACTGGCTGGGTGCAAATGCTATCGAAAACGACGGCACCTACAGCTGGAGTGACGGCAGCCGCATGAACTACATGGGCTGGCTGCCCGGAGAAAATCGACATGAAGCAGACGCCCGCTGCTTAAGTATGCAATGGACACTCTCGCCCACCCCGATGCTGCCCAGTGGTTTATATTGGAAAGGTCAGAAATGCGACCAAGTTGGTGGCTACGTTTGTAAGCGAGCTACCCTGATTTCCGGCCAAGGCATCAATTTTAACAAAACAGTTAATGGCTCCGAGGGCAAATTGGTCACCCCAAATTATCCTGGTAACTATCACAACAACCTAGATTTTACAGTACGAATTGTTGGACCAGAACGAACGAGGATTGTGATACACTTCGAAAAATTGGACCTGGAATCACAAATTGAATGTCTTTACGATTACGTCGAACTGAAAAGTTTGAACAGGAATGGCAAACATCAAACCGGCCAAAATGAAGCTGCGGTTAAATGGTGTGGGAATCACGAAACTGACATGAATCGCTTTACTTTTGTGTCCGATGGAAACGAAGTCCAACTACGATTTCACTCTGATTATTCGATCACATATGGGGGTTTTGCACTTAGTTGGCATTCAGTGGATATTTCCAGTTGCCCGGTGCGCACTTTGACAGCTAAAGAGGGCGTTGTAGAGTCACCAAACTATCCTAATTTTTTGTTAGCCCGCTTGAATTGCACGTATACTATTACTGCGCCACCGGGTCGACGAGTTTGGCTCAACTTTGAAGACGTCGATGTAGACTCGCCGGATTATGATGATGAAACACGATTGTATTTAAATCTGGGCGAACATGTTCAAACGTTTAGACCATTTCAAACCGACGAGCTTGTCACTGACGGTAGCTTTGTATCAAACGGCAATTCGCTTAAAATTCGCCTGGTAACCAAAAATCACCCAAATGGCAAAGGTTTTCGTGCAACATACAAAACTTTAACTGTCATTGAAGTGGAGAAAGTCATCCAACTTAGCAATGTTACTGCTGGAATTCTGCTGAACTTGAATTATCCTGACAACGCCCCACATAATGCTGATGTAACGGAGCACTTTATTGCACCATTTGGATACCAAATATCTTTAGAATTGTTCCATTTGAAGCTGAGTGAAAATAATTGCAATAATCGTGGAATGATCGAAGTGCATGACAATTATGCTGACGTTAACGGAACATCATGGTACTTATGTTATGATGAAGATCAAAATGATGAAGAAGATGCCATTATTCCAAAAGCGCCTATCGCATTGACGTCTTTCTTAAATACTCTGCATTTACGACAAAAACATGGCATGCTAGGAATTCCATTGAATGGAACCCTACGTGTTCATCCAGATTTAACGCACATGGAAAAAATCATAAAGCACAATTCTGAGTATGTCGAAAGCTGCCGACCAAACCCCTGTATGCACGATGGAAAGTGCGTACACAACGGAACACAAAAAATTTGTCAGTGCCTTAAACACTTTACAGGTATAGTTTATTAAAATGCTTTAAGATAATTTTAAATATTTGGCAATTTTTGCCCACAGGAATATTTTGTGCGTTAACACATTGTGATCTGGAACCATGTGTTTTCGGTAAGTGCGAACTAACCGAGACGAGCTTCAAATGTCATTGCAAAAATGGCTACGTGGGGCCAACATGTGAACAAAAGAAGAAGCCATGTGAAGGTAATCCTTGCGAAGGTCGCGGTATATGCTTGGAGAAAGGCGAAAACTTCCGATGCAGGTGTCATGCTTGGTGGGAAGGCACACGATGCGAGCGTCGAATGCTGCACATTCCATACAAACCTCTAAGTGAGCGAATGCTACGTGAACCTTTCTGGTTGGGTCTCATGACGGTATTTGTGGTGATGGGAGTCATCGGCTTGGTGTGGTGCGCAAAACGACACTTTCCAGAGAAGATCGAAAAACTCCTCGCCGAGGAGGAAGATCGAAATCGTGGAGGAGGTAATTATTAGGGCTCGCCAATAGTAAGAAAATCTATTCGAATATCATTTTTGCATCTCGCTTTTTTTGCTGTTTTGCAGTTTCGAGTCTTCGCACAGCTTCAGTACGTGAGCAGTTAGCTGCTTCTGGCGCCGCTGCGGTTACCGTAACGCCGAGTCCAGGTCCGGGAGCTCCCCGCTCGCTGTTCGGCCGCCTGGGTATCCGCAAGCCATCCATCCTAAGCCTGACCAGTCCACATGCCAGCGGCTATTCGCCAGCCACCGCCCGAACCTTTAGTTTGGACGATTTGCTCAAACCTCCTATTAGACGTAAGGCCGTTTGTGCCGTTCGTCTGTTCGTGATGTCTCTGAACGCCTCTTCTCTCTATCTCTGAGTCTTTTATTTCTCTATCTGTAACTCCTGGATCCTGCTATTTGCACATTTTCTAATTGTAATTATAGTTCAGCAATTTACAACTTAATAATTCTTCATAAGTACTCAGGCATTCAATTTCAAATATTCTTCGTAGAATTAGGTAGATATATTGATTATAACTGTCTAGTCATTCATGAAGGCAAGACAGTTCTAGTCAATATCATTGATGTTCCTTTGGCTTATCTTCCTTCCAATTTCACATAGTGTTAGCGTGTGGCTGGTAGGTTGCACTATTCAAAGTAATATTAGCAAATGCCAACAATCACTTGCACTATACTTACGTAAAAATAACAAACACATAACAACCGAAACACACATGTGAACACTAACAATTTTGTGTTTATCTGTACTCCGATTGAAGTTCGTGTCGATGTTGTGTTGTATAAGTTCTAACGCGTATTTAACGGTGAACCGAAACGCGATGCGATGCGCTGCAAATGTAACTAGCTTTGGTTCCGAGTTCTCCAAACTACTTTACAACACACGTACCAATTAACACTTTGTCTCTCTTTTTTATGATCAGGTACACCCTCGCCAAAGAAAAAGCGAAACAATTCCACTCCAACCAAAAAAAACGCTGCAGAGAAGAAGCAAATACTCCAACAATTAATATCGCCCGGTGGAAAACAGCACGCAGGCAAGGTGACGCTTGGGGAATTGATGCAAATGACGGAACACAGTGGTGGCTCCTGCGGAATAGGCGAAGTAAATGGTGGGCGAAGTGCCAATCGCAACCGCCTTCATCCAAACGCTGCGGTGAGCAGCGATGACGAACAACAGACGTTTGTTACAAAAGAAACTAAGTTCGGTTCCCCTTCTAACCCCGCATCTACAGCACAAATGACTCTAACCGATCCAAAGTTGGAAAAGAAAGTAACGTTTGCCCGACTGCTCAGCAAGGTATCTGCAGAGATGAACAGCGGTGGCAGCTCGGACTTAGAACTAGGTATTATACAATCGAATAGATTAAGTTGCGCGATTGCACGGCCGAACAGCACGCCACCGTCGCCGTGCGCATATACGCGCTCACCGAACAGCACGTCAAGCAATCAAGGCAGCGACTCCTTCACAAGTAGCGACCTAGCACTACCGTCCGCTCTAAGTTGTAGCATTTCAGATCTAGCCATGTCCAGTCAGGCAAACAGGCCTCGTCTTCAACAGCGACAAAAACCATCCAGCGCCGACTCGATTTTGGCGATGTTCCGAAACTTTTCTTCCAGTTCCGCGGGCGTCAATTTACCAATCTCGTTGATGGTATCGCCATCCACTACACCGACGGCGTCTTCCCCGCAGGATGACGTCGCCGGTGACGATGATTCATCCACCTCATCTGTGTACACGCCTATGAGCATATCTTTAGCTACACCCGACAGTCCTGCCTCCGTTCATCAGCCGCCGACCACTATTGAATTGTGCGTAATAGACGCGATGAGTGCGCATAAATCATCTACAAGCGGTAGCAACTTTTTGCATCCGCCCACCATTCTGCTAGAATTACCAAGCACAATCAATAAGTGCCTTTCACCAATTCGAGAGTTACCGACACCGTTGCCGTCACCGATGCCGTCCCCGGCAGTTACGCCTATGATGAGGCGGAGCATACGCGTCCAAGAGGAGTATCCGTTAAGCGACGAAGAAAATGAAATTGCGGAAATTCCAATTGATCCACAGGCCGAAGACGGACTGATTTTTGAGGAAGCAGCTGTCATGCATCAAAATGCTGCTTCTTGTGGCAATCGGCCAAAGCAGAAGGTGCGTTTTTGAATCATTATATTGCTTTGTTATTTAATTATGAAACTATTTCTTATTGCAGAATCGACCACCTCTTTTGGGTCAAGCGCACTTGCTAATACCCAGCATCAACGTGACAGCAAACTCGTCTCCAGAAACCTCACCTACAAAACCATTAATCATTCCAATGCTAACCATCGAAACGCCTTCACCAACTCTCCACAACGCACCGAGGTTTATTTTACCCGGTTCGCCTCCACCTAGATTAGGGGTAAATTCTTTTCAATTTCCCACGTTAGAAAAATCCAGTAATACAACGACAATGCGTAAAACGTTAAAAGACTTTGATAAACCAACTTCTCTAGATCTTCCTTTCGTACCTCCCATGATTACTATAACTTGCAACATGAGTGAAGCGGAGTCAGACGCCGAGTCAATATCACCGAATATGAAAAACACGGCGTCTTCCAGTGGTATGAGTTATTTAAGTCCGTTTTCCATGGTTTCAAGGGGGGAGCACACTACTTCAGAGTCCAATTTAAGCTCTTCAGGATACTCATCTATGGCCAGCCCTGGTCCGTCTCGATGCGGTTCCAGTAATCCGCTCTGCCCGTCCGAAATGGAAGACCCCGGTCCACTAGGGCCAGGTTCACATCCTCCCTTAGGTCGCCGTCATTCGCCGCTTTTAAGAACGCCCAATATCTCAAAATCAAGCAATATCCAACCTGAACAACGCGGTCGTTCCGATTCCGAGACGCTCTCCGACGATATACTTGTTGAAAGCAATGATGAAGGTATTGGAACAGACCATCTTGATGAAAAAATTGAAGACGGTGAATTAAAAAGTGCTAAAGAATTAGAAGTGTTTATAACCGGAGAACCAGCTATGAATTTTTTGCAACCGCCATCAATAGTGGTGCATGCGGATGCAACAAACATGGATAAACTTCTCAGTCCAGTTAGTAGTCGTAGTGAAAGTCCTCTGAGCGATCGGTCAGGAGTTGGCCGTTTTTCTTCACAGTTCTACGGCAGAAATAAAGAATTTCTACCTTTCACTGATTCCGACGGATTGTATGACTTTTCAAGTTCGGACAAAGTCAACACAACAGGTATTCAATCACATCGAAAAACTGGTAGAAAACGTGACAAAAAGCTCATTCGTCAAAAATCTCCAAGTCCAACCAAATCGCCAACCTGCTATCATCTAGAGTTGCCTTTTAAGACTCCACGAAAACCGAGCCCGAAACGCCGTATGAGTCGAAACACTGTGGTTAGCTCGTCTTCCAGTTCTGACAGCGTAGCCTCCACGCGGGACATCACGAAATCATCGTCAAGTCCTAGCCCAGACACAATTCGTTGCTGGGCTGCAAATCTAGAGTGGCCAGATCCTATTCGCCGCGCCTCCGAGGCTTCGGCAGAAGAAACCGCCGATGTACGTATCGCATTTGCTTCTTAACCGCCTCTGTCTTATATGGCCTTAATCAACTTTTGAATTATGAATATCTGTGTTGATGTGTGTTGATTTGCATTAATCGAATACAACTTAAAGGCTCTTAGGACCATGTCGAGAAAAACCTTGCATGTCTGTATTTTTTGTAGCCCGAAGTTGTAAATCTGTTGATGCGTGATACGACTGACGCAAGCACGCAAATTTCGTATACGGAAAATTGATGACACAAAAATTTTCGTGGAATTACGGATGAGCTTGGCGGATGGCCGCGTGGATACAACAAGTATTTTCATTTATTGCGATTGTTTTTCTTCTCTATATGTTTTTACTCCATAAGTTTGTTCCCTTAACTCTATTCGCTTATTTTAGGCAGACCAACACATCTACAATTCATCGTCAATCAAACTCAATCGAATTGTAAACAACACAAATTCGTAATAATTCACTCTAGTGAAACATTTGGTCAACAAATTAAATTTATCAATCTGCAATGTAAACAGTAGTACTTAGCATTAATTATTAAGATTGTTAGTTTTCTTGCTAGCATTTATATAAAACGCATGCCGGTCGTGTGGTTTAAAATAGCTTATTGCATTAATGGTTGCGAATCTTTTTCTAGCTGCAGGAAATTATGCTATTAATGCAAATATACATCTACTTCATAAATCGGAAAATCTGGGTCACATTGATTGAATAAACTTGAGACTTTCAAGTTTTTCTTGACACTTTACACCCACACATATTACACATTGTAATCGTCGCCTGCTATCATTATAGATAGTTGTACATGTATCCATGTTACCTATATGTTCATAAAAAGTACCTTGCAGATTGCTAAATTCTGTAGTGTTAAAGATGAACCAAGCATTACTCAAACTCGTGCAAACCAACCATTAACATAATCTCAATCAATCGCAATTTGTGCATCCGCATTTTACAAATTTGTGCAAATGACTAACTTTTAACATATCTGACTGCATACATCCAGAACTTGCATGATGATTTTAATCATATAACTGGTTGTTCTCTAGGAGACAAACAACAGCATGCAGTCCAAACACGACGCACCGGCGGTACAGAAAACCAGCAAGATAAGTCGTCTGCGCGCGATCAGCCATCAAATTAGGTGATATGAACACAAATAATAAAACGTTTCAAAGTGTAACTAAATTATTATTTATAGATTTTTGAGGCGCCTTGAGCTGAGTCTAAAACGACGTGAACGCACAATTAGCCCGTCGGAGAGTTTGGACAGTGGTGATGCTGAAGATTCGCCTCGCGCAACGTCACCATTGTTGCATTCCCTGCAAGCACGGAAACCGGAAATGTGCAAGAGCCAAAGTGTTGGTAAAATGTCGAGCAGCACCACAACACCTTTACTTGTGGCAAGTAAAAATCGTCGAGGCAAAATCAAGCGCGGCGAGACGCTGCTCTTGCCTGATAACGAAACGTCCTGGAAGCGAGTTGTTATCACTGGAAGCGGTGGTCACTCAGATTAATTATCGGCCCATAACAAAACAAATTGTTGTGGAAATGCGTTTTTCCTAAGCATATACGAGTACACATATGATTGCATTGGAAAATATTGATACACAACAGGACCCATGAGTTATTATTTTCAAAAGTCGAAATATTTTATTGGATATTGGTTAGAAATTAATATATATATAGTGGATAGACCAACAAATATGAACAGTACTTATTAAATTACCTGCAATACTCTAGATTGAAGTTGATATTACGGTTCTTCAGATGAAAGCCTAAAGGAGTATCCGATATTTCATGCTTTATACTTCATACCATCATTTCACCTATGTTATACTTTATATTCAAACGCTCAAATCTTACTTTAATTGTATAGATCACATCACCACTTATACTGTCTGAAGGAACTAAGCACACATCGAGACATCACGACCATGATCCAAAGGAACATATTATTCTATTCAAGTTCACCTATAAAATCATTTTCTTCATTTAATTTATATTTGGATAAAATGCTACCATGTGTTCGGTTCGATTTAAAACTTTGCCATTTACGTATTCTTCCATGATCTAATGAGACTTTCATTAAAACGCAAGCAATGCACGTGTTTGTAAATAAATCTCATTAACTCGATTCAAAATGGCTAACAACTAGTGCACTTATTAAGTATTTTGTACGTTTTCGTCCAAAATAAGAACGATGAAAACAAGAAAATATAAATTGCTGTAGAATTTAAGAATATGGAACATCAGAAAAAGGCTTTGTATATGAGACTGATTTTCTACTGCTCGAACAAACATTTTAGCTGTTTCCTTAATAAATATACTATTAACGAAGCAAAGTGGACGAATTGAAATGAAGAATTTTGTCAAGTTAAGTAATTAACATGGTAGATGGTAAATATTTGATTATTGGTGATTTCAAATATATATATATATATATATAATATAATGTTAAAGAATACACATTGTACCGTTTATGATTATTGTTAATACGTGATCTTGTTAAAAGAAAGGTACGATTTGTATATAAAATACGAAATACGTTGCATTTAATTCATTTTAAGTTGATTGCACTTTGAATGTTGATAAGTACGTAAGAAAACAATGTTAAACTATCATATTATATTGATATAGATAAGTCTGTATTTTATTACAACTCATTGCGATTTAATCGCATTTGTGTGTGAATTGTATGCAACGAGCATTTTTTTAGTGTGTTTTTAACCACAAGCTGCAATTGATGGGTACTGAGAATCTAACTCACATACTATACAATTCATTATCGCACTATAATTATTTCATGTTAAACTGTGATATTATTTCACTTACATTCGTCGCGATGCATGTTCACATACTTTATTGCACATCAAGTTTGTTCGGAACATTTTATCATGCAATAAAGTGTTAACACTTTCACGAACTTCACTTCTAATAGCAATACTTGGCGGGAACAAAAACGAAACCAATAAAATAAGGAGAACCAATCTTAATTGCAAATAAAGCGCTGTTGTTTTTAACGACAAAATGAATTAAAAAGAGATCGAGAGATCGAGTTGGTAATAAACTTAAGCAAATAGACATTTAAAATACATTAAAAAAACATTAATACACTGTTGTCTTATTCAAGTGAGTTGAAACTTTGGTAGCTATCAAGTTGAACACAATCTAAATAAATACAACTGGCATACAAAAACGAGCAATTATTATAGATTATATACATACTATGAACAATGTAATTATACCTGTAATCAATTATTTAAAACTGAAACTTAAAAGCAAATTCAAGTATAGGCACGTAAACATTCCCTACACTCTTGTAGATGTTGTAGATCTGACTTATACGCAAAATATAGAATTAATTGACAGCATTTGATTTACTTTTATCTTAGGAAAAAACATGATATTGAAGAATAATGATTGTTATTTCGAATGTTATAATTGTACGTGAATATAACACGACAACGCATAAAATTTATTATGACGGAAATGAAATTCTGAATAAAAATTTAGATATTATTTTCTTCAAGAATAAAATAAATAAATCAAGAATGTTTCACAGTTTCCTATTAATTTCTACACTACGAGTACACCTTGTAAAATATTTATTTTAATGTAAAATTATATTTTATTGTTAACTATTTGCAGTGTCGACATTATTGAATCAAAAAACAGGCGATTCGCAATTCGCGCACAAGGTCGCATGCCATCGACGCGCTGGCCTTGCGCATCTCTTGCTTTCTTATCGTAAACTATCGCGTCATTGCTTGCTTCGTTACGGCATGCGCAATCGATGGGTTTGAAGTCAGTTTCGCGCCGGTCGCTAGTTAATCCAGGCGTGTTTTCATCCACTCGTATTGTTTGTTCGGACTTTTGCTTTTTAAATTTGCATTATATTCGTACATCAATCGAGTATTTAATTGTAACTACTATAGTAATGTGATTTATTATTTATGTGTTTAATATACATTATTGTAAAAAGTGGTAGATGTTTGATCGCGTTTCGTGTGCATACTTATGCAAGTGACGAGGTTCGAATGCGGTCGCTAAATGAATTGGATATAGGATGGCCCCCATGTAGATTAATTGATCATTATTCTTGTGTAAGTAACTTTTAATTCAACAACCCATGTTGTATTTCTTCTATGATGTATGAATATATTGTACTTAAATCTTTTGAAATATTTCAACTTTTTTTCTTTTAATTACAATTTGTAGGTGTATAATTCAATCACATTTTTCCTATTTGTATACAGATCACTGGTTGTGTAGGTTATGTTTGGTTGTAGCATGAATTGTCATGTATTTATCGTTTGTTTATTATAATACACATAATTTATTTGCATATAATTCGTATTGGGGCACGTGGTCTAATGGTTCCGATAGGCGTATGTGTCAATACTTATGGTATTTCATTGATTTTGTATTACAAAATATTTAGTACCGTCGCAAGCGGCCATATCGTTACAATATGCAATGTGACAATACCTATGGCAATTTTGCATGCGAAATTCCCCTAAACAAGTTTTCTAGGCGCATTCCCTAAGTTGGCCATCCTGCATGCGACCTTGTTTGTTGCATATAGTGCGCGTTTTAATGCGGCGTGCGCGCAGGATTATCGCGTGTGTTGGGCGCCGTTGCAGATTGTGCTGCGACATGTTCTCAGCGCAGTTTTTTACCGGTTGTCGGTCGGGTCGGGCGTGTTTCTCGTGGCTGTTATCATTTTATTTTGAGTTTGTAATTTGGTAAATCGCGTTCATTTCGATAGTCTATCGACTACATTTAGTTATTACTGACGCGTCTAGTATTTATTATTTGATAATGAGGTGTCGAATATAAAAAATCGTTAATTTTCTTTGCAACTTGTTTACAAGGCACGTTCGCGAGATACAGGTTACATGCAACGTCTTGCAACTTTTGTTGCGATATTATTTGGCCAATGGATTGGAGCATGGACAATCGCCTTCGGGAAAACCGAGAAAGAACGGTACAGTGCAAACTTTTTTAAAATTTAAATTGAACTATTTGGTATTTATATTTTAGATTTTTCTCTATTCAATGATAGGGCAAGAGTGCATTTTTAAGATGCACTCCTGAACCCCCGAGAAATTCGGTCGTAACTGCCTTAAAATGGCCCCCAAAGTTTGCCCTTTTCTTGCATTTTCTGAAACACGCGATGGAAAACAGGCTATATCTCAAGAACCTTTTGTCATATTTTTATTTTTTCTTTATTTAATGATAGGACAAGAGTGCATTTTTAAGATGCAACCCTGAACCCCCGCCAAATTTGGTCGTAACTGCCTCAAAATGGCCGCCAAAGTTTGCCCTTTTCTTGCATTTTTTAAAACAGGCGATGGAAAACAGGTCATATCTCGGGAACCCTTTGTCATATTTTAGATTTGTCTCCATTTAATGATAGGGCAAGAGCGCATTTCTAAGATGCATCCCTGAACCCTCGCGAAATTTGGTTGTAACTGCTTAAAAATGGCCGCCAAAGTTTGCCCTTTTCTTGCATTTTTCAAAACACGTGATGGAAAACAGGCCATAGCTCGGGAACCTTTTGTCATATTTTTATTTTCTCTTTATTTAATGATAGGACAAGAGTGCATTTTTAAGATGCACCTCATAACCCTCGCAGAATTTGGTCGTAACTGCCCCAAAATGACCGCCAAAGTTTGCCCTTTTCTTGCATTTTTTAAAACACGCGATGGAAAACAGGCCATATCTCGGGAACCCTTTGTCATATTTTTATTTTTTCTTTATTTAATGATAGGACAAGAGTGCATTTTTAAGATGCACCCCTGAACCCCGCAAAATTTGGTCGTAACTGCCTCAAAATGGCCGCCAAAGTTTGCCCTTTTCTTGCATTTTTCAAAACACACGGTGGAAAACAGGCCATATCTCGGGAACCCTTCGTCATATTTTATCTTTTTATTTATTTTATGATATGGCAAGAGTGCATTTTTAAAATGCACCTCATAACCCTCGCAAAATTTGGTCGTAACTGCCTCAAAATGGCCGCCAAAGTTTGCCCTTTTCTTGCATTTTTTAAAACACGCGATGGAAAACAGGCCATATCACGGGAACCCTTTGTCATATTTTTATTTTTTCTTTATTTAATGATAGGACAAGAGTGCATTTTTAAGATGCAACCCTGAACCCCCGCAGAATTTGGTCGTAACTGCCCCAAAATGGCCGCCAAAGTTTGCCCTTTTCTTGCATTTTTTAAAACACGCGATGGAAAACAGGCCATATCTCGGGAACCCTATGTCATATTTTTATTTTTTATTTATTTAATGATAGGAAAAGAGTGCATTGTTAAGATGCACCCCTGAACCGCCGCAAAATTTAGTCGTAACTGCCTCAAAATGGTCGCCAAAATTTGCCCTTTTCTTGCATTTTTCAAAACACACGGTGGAAAACAGACCATATCTCGGGAACCCTTTGTCATATTTTATCTTTTTATTTATTTTATGATATGGCAAGAGGGCATTTTTAAAATGCACCCCATAACCCTCGCGAAATTTGGTCGTAACTGCCTCAAAATGGCCGCCAAAGTTTGCCCTTTTCTTGCATTTTTTAAAACACGCGATGGCAAACAGGCCAGAAGTCGGGAACCCTTTGTCATATCTTTGTTTTTTTTATTTAATGAGAGGACATAAGTGCATTTTTAAGATGCACCCCTGAACCCCCGCAAAATTTGGTCGTAACTGCCTTAAAATGGCCTCTAAAATTTGCCCTTATCTTGCATTTTACAAAACACGCAGTGTAAAACAGGCCATATCTCGAGAACCCTTCGTTGTATATAGGATCCATGTGATTTGAAATTTTTTAATGTGATTTTGCTCGCAGAATTTTTTTTGCATTTTTTAAAACACGCGATGGAAAACAGGTTATATCTCGAGAACCTTTTGTCATATTTTTATTTTTTCTTTATTTAATGATAGGAAAAGAGTGCATTGTTAAGATGCACCCCTGAACCACCGCAAAATTTAGTCGTAACTGCCTCAAAATGGCCGCCAAAGTTTGCCCTTTTCTTGCATTTTGCAAAACACACGGTGGAAAACAGACCATATCTCGTGAACCCTTCGTCATATTTTATCTTTTTATTTATTTTATGATATGGTAAGAGGGCATTTTTAAAATGCACCTCATAACCCTCGCGAAATTTGGTCATAACTGCCTCAAAATGGCCGCCAAAGTTTGCCCTTTTCTTGCATTTTTCAAAACACACGGTGGAAAACAGGCCATATCTCGGGAACCCTTCGTCATATTTTATCTTTTTATTTATTTTATGATATGGTAAGAGGGCATTTTTAAAATGCACCCCATAACCCTTGCGAAATTTCGTCATAACTGCCTCAAAATGGCCGCCAAAGTTTGCCCTTTTCTTGCATTTTTTAAAACACGCGATGGAAACCAGGCCATATCACGGGAACCCTTTGTCATATTTTTGTTTTTTATTTAATGAGTGGACATAAGTGCATTTTAAGATGCACCCTTGAACCCCGCAAAATTTGGTCGTAACTGCCTTAAAATGGCCTCTAAAATTTGCCCTTATCTTGCATTTTTCAAAACAAACGGTGGAAAACAGTCCATATCTCGGGAACCCTTCGTCATATTTAATCTTTTTATTTATTTTATGATATGGCTTGAGTGCATTATTAAAATGCACCCCATAACCCTCGCGAAATTTCGTCGTAACTGCCTCAAAATGGCCGCCAAAGTTTGCCCTTTTCTTGCATTTTTTAAAACACGCGATGGCAAACAGGCCAGAACTCGGGAACCCTTTGTCATATCTTTGTTTTTTATTTAATGATAGGACATAAGTGCATTTTAAGATGCACCCTTGAACCCCGCAAAATTTGGTCGTAACTGCCTTAAAATGGCCTCTAAAATGTGCCCTTATCTTGCATTTTACAAAACACGCAGTGTAAAACAGGCCATATCTCGAGAACCCTTCGTTGTATATAGGATCCATGTGATTTTTGCCGAATGATTTGAAATTTTTTAATGTGATTTTGCACGCAGAATTCCACTATTACTTATCTGCATGCCACCTTGCTTGTTGCAAATACTGCAAATTGTATTGCGGCGGGCGTACAGTACTATTGCGTGTTGACGTGTGCCGCAGTTTTGTGCCGGTCGTTGGTTGGGTTGGACGAGTTTCTCGCGGCTGTTATTTTTTATTTTTTATTTTAGTATTCGGTAAATCGCGTTCATTTCGATCGTCCATCGACTGTATTTAGGTATTATTGACGTGTTTGGTGTTTTATTACAAAATCATTAATTTTCTTTGCGTTCGTTGTGCGTATTGCAAGTTGGTCCCATGCTATCAACTTGTTTACACTGCACGTTTGCGTGATACAGTAGGACATTGCATGCTACGTCTTGCCGCATTTGTTGTGATATTATTTGGGCAATGGATGAGTACATGGGCATTAATCTGCGTGGAAGCCGAGAAAGAACGGTGCAGTGCAGATTTTTTTAAATTTTAATTCACCTATTTGTGCATGCATTGTTCCACAAGTATTATCCACATGCGTGCAGTTGACTTAGGCCGGATTAGAATGATATATTGTTATTGTTGTAAACATGTCGTGAACTAATCGTGTTTAGTATTACTGTATTTAAATGTGATTTAATTTTAGGTCTTGGTGAATTTTGCTCCAAATAGTTGCCCGAGGATCAACTCTTGGCTACCAGAAGTGGCGTCCGTCTTGTCCATGTTCCAGCTACCTTCATGCGCCGCGGGAGAGAAAGGTAAAATGTACATTTTCATTGTGTTTGTTTACCGCCATTCCATTTAATTCATACGCGGTAATTAACTATGCATCCCGGCATATTAATACAATAACAAATTTGATTTTAGAATTTGAAGCGTAAATAAACCCGGATGCATACTACGGCGGAAAATTCATTCGATAATCACCTGCGATTCGACGTGTTCGCATATGACTGGTTTTGCTACGATATCAACCAAAGGGACACCTACAAACCTGGTGGAGAGCAAACGGGTTTCGATGGGATGCGAGAATTTGTCACTTATTTTGAAATCGCTTCTTGCGCCCACACATTATTTTTCAACCCAGTACAACTAATGCGCACAGGGAAGGACACAAAAAAAACTTCTCGATTATTAAACCACGAATGCATTCATTTAGTTAACTTATGATTAGCATTGTATATATTTAGGGACCTTTGACAATTAATGTGATGAGTGCTTGTGAAATAACATGCAGTGTAAACACTTTATAACGATACTTACTAAGAACAAATTTTACTCATCTAGTAATTTGCTACAAAACCAGCCTTCTTGTACGTATTTCTACCTCATTATTAAAAAAAAGTTATCAAGAGTTTACATTGTATTGCACATTTAATCGCTTCCCGATTATTGCTGAAAACTGGCGGAGTTGTCTCTGTATTTCTTGGCAGTAATGCGGATAAGGGTATTTGCTAGTTGGCACACTGTTGTCTAGCTTTAACTCGCGTAGGGGACGTTTCTAGAGAAATTGTCCATTGGGTTTGTTGCCGAAGTTGCGTGTGTAACATGTGTAAATTTGGTTGTGCAGTGGAATTTTTACTTGAAGGGTGAAATTGTTTTTCATTGTTATCCATGTTTCAATCATTATTTCTAACTGTCGCTCTCGAAGGGGTATTGTCGAAAGAAACGCAATTCCAATTGTAACGCATTCGAATAGTCCGTCGATAATGTTATAATAATATAATTTTATAATTTGTGATAAGATTATAATTTGTATGATTAGCACACGGGAAACCGGCAAGAATGACATTTTTTGTGTTTCAATGTGCTAATTTTTTATTGTATTCGGAGTCTAGCAGGCGCCCGAATTGTTATAAGATTACGATTATTTTATCAGATTTTAAGTATTAAATTTGTTTATCTTTTTCATATATGATTTGTATTATTAGGATACGGGAATCCTGCAAAAAAATAATCTTTGTGGTTTGATGTGCTGATTTTGTTTTAGGTGTGTAGCGGGCGAACCCGATACAATCATTATTTAATGTGGTTTTAAGTATTCTAGTTGTTTATCATTGAAATGTACAACATGTGTGTTTATTACAAGGGGAAGCCACAAAAGTGGTATTTTACCACAGAAGAATGCCTTTCCAACTGCGGGTCAGTTATCAATTTTCTGTCTTGCTTAGTTCGGCTTAGTCATTTGAGCGCTGTTGCGTGGTGCACACGTGTTTTATTCATTAATCAAACGTAGTGACGACTTCTCGCGTTTCTTGATATTTTATAGTATTACTAGAAACGGTTGACCATGAGAGGCATTTAGTGGTAACATTCCAGTGTAGCGCACAACGAATGATTTGAGTGATTCTTTGCGGAGCGTGCGCGGCGTCCGTCGTATATGTTTTGGTGACTGGATATTTACTTTAAGTTTAACTTATGTGTTTGACGTGAGTACAAGTGAGTATATTTGGAATCTCCGTGTGGAATAGTAGAGAAGGGCGTATCATCAATTACATTCAATTTGTGGAAACGTGTCTGTGCGCTTTAGTCCTTCATTGATAAAAGAACGAAGGAGTACCTAGCATCAAATAAAATTTGAATTTTATTTAATTTTTTAAATCTTACAGTTATCATGTTGTAAATTGTGAATGATTTAGTTAATAAAGGATAATTGAATTTTATATTTTTGTTTACATGTGTCCCTTGTGTTCACTTAGTCGTTTTCAGGATTAGTGTGAGGTCATGTTGTACTTTAAGAGTACACCACAGTATAGCATGGTATAGTAAAGTGTAGTATATGTATGTTGTTGTTTTATTTTACTATAAGACATGAAAACATATATAGAAGAAACCAATAAGATTTGATAAGAAAGCCGCGTGCCTCGCAGGTACGCAGCACATGTTGCTATCCAGTAGATCGGTGGTTCGATCCCCAGTTACAGAAGGCATTTTTCTCAAACATAAAAATATCAGGTGTAATTTGGGTTGCATATGTAAACTCAAATAAAATATGAGAGAAATTGAAATACAAGTGAAGGCACTAAGAAATGTATGTAAGTAAATAGAGAAACAGAGAAGAAAAAGAAGAAAAGTATTGGGGAGTAGAGTAGAGAAGATTTTTAATTTTTTGGCCCGTGTCGTTAGACAGTCTAAGTCACTGCTTCGATGTGTCCATTGCTCCCGGCCCATCCTACAGCTACGCTGTCTCTACGCTTCATCCCCGGAATTATCAGGCATATCAACAATTTTTATGGTGGGGGATCATCCCCAGAGAGAGGGAACTCCTTATAAGGACAATCCTTGTAAGGTCTTGTTCAAATATTTCTAAGTTTTAAGTCGTCTCAAGAGAGACGACACTTGAAAATATTCTTACAAGTTCTGACCTGTAGCTGAAATGAAAAAAGGAGCACACAAATCACACAGGTTACCTTAACCATTTTTATAGAGGGGATCATCCCCTGAGAGAGGGAACTCTCTTAGAGACCTGTTCCTGAAGGCGAACACACACATCAAAGAAGTCAATATATCTTTCTATTTCTTTATTAATAATAGAATACAAGTTTAGATTTTACAAGTCAACAAAATACATGTCGCCATATTGAAACAGGACTTACGACCTGCTTAGCCGCGCACATATCAGCAAGTACTACTTCATAAAGTTCTACTGGAATAATAAAATTAGAAAATAGCCAATTTTCTAGGTGATTGAAAATGGAAACAAATAAACAGGGTGTTACGAAAGGAAAATTTAAAGGGCAAACAAAAAAACTCTGAACACTACAAAGGCAGCTCGTTAACCCTGTATATAGAAAGAAAATTCGAAGTTCAAAACAGAGAAATCTTACAACTAAAGGTGATTTTCAACAAGCTGTTAGGAAAACTAATATACAAGGTGATACAAAAAGAAAATTACTACATCACAAAAGAAAATGCCAAGTTCAAGAACTAAAATAATAGGAAACACTAAATATAGAGTTTTTTTATAGGAAATTAAGGAAAACAAATATACAGGGTGTTACAAAAAGAAAATCAATAGTTCAAAGAAGAAAACACACAACAAATTTAGAAAATTTGTAATAGGAAATTAAGAAAAACAAACATACAGGGTGTTAAAAATAAGAAATTTCCAAATTTAAAAATAAAATACAAAGTTTATATAGAAAAAAACCCGAAAACGACAAATTTAGCCAGTTTTACATTAGAGAGCAAGGAAAATTAATACATAGGGTGATACAAGAAGAAAATCGCTATATTTAATAAGAAAATTCAAAATTTTCCATGCATGGAATTAGATTCACGATTAGAGAGGATGAAACAACGAAAATACAATTACATTTTAATTTAAGAATAAAGAGCTAGAAATTTTGAAAATTTCTTTGCGACGAATTCTCCAGATACGCCACAAGCAAGGCAAAACGTGTCCGCCGACGGCACCTCAAGCACACACGCGGAAAGAAATTTAAATCATCTTTTGCAAATACATAAGTCGCAATAATTAATTGTTAAACTACGAAAATACGTTAAAGAGCCTGCAGATTTATGAAATAAAAAGAAAATGCAAGCAAAATTCACGTTATTCGAAGTCGCCTCCGACGGCACGCATCAATTTTATTTTATTGCGGTACTCACGTTACCTGCGATTTAAGATAAATATGTAATTTTGATGTAATAACGTTTACAAACTTACCAGTGCATCAGATTATCAAAGATAGTACTGAAACAGAAAAAAAACACGTGAGTAAGAACTTGCACTATGATGCACACTTATTCAAATTCATTTTGTCGGATAATGAACATGTACTATTTTAACACACAAATTTCCCGGAATATCCTGCTAAGAAGAGTCGTTAATTACACTTACTTAAATTACGAATAGGATACATATTTCTAAATCCAATTCTCAGCCTCGAAATAATCCAATAGCCGACACGCAAATGTATACACGCGTAAATCATCCTTAACAAAGCACTCCACACGTCTGTTGTCATTTGGTGCCGCAAGTAATGCTGATTTATAATCAATAAAATGTAATGTAATCGGAATGAATGAAATAATGTCGCCAAGCCGAATGCTGGTAAGAACAGACTGAAGCGGTCGAACATTATAGCGATATAAAAACTTGTTTATACACAAACCCCGATAAGCGAGTAGAATTGAAACAGAGCATTTCTGATGCGTACTAAAATAAAATAAAATATAATATATCATTGCATCAGTTGTAAATTTCGTCGCAACTTTAAAAATAAAAATATTGCACCAATAGTTCCCGAGACACAGCCAAATTCTAATTTTTTTAACGCAATAAACCTCAATGCAGGGAAATAATTAAAGAAAAAAATATAGAATTAAAGTACTCATCAGGGAAAATTATTCCGAATTTACTGACACCGCGTCTGCGTGTTATACTAAAAAACTTCATAACTCGCGTTATGGATTTTTCTCACAATAAATTTTAATACAGGGGGATACAAAATTAAATTCTGTATCTAGAAAAATTATTACGAACTTATTGTGCTACCGTGTTCGCGGGTTATACTAAAAAACTACAATTCCTAGCGCAACGAGTCCTACGGCGCACACACACAACTTTCAATATAACTCGGGTTATGGAATTTTCTCGCAATAAATTTCAATACAAGGGGATACAGAATTGAATTCTGCATCTGGAAAAATTATTCCGAGCTAATTGTGACACCGCGTTCGCGTGTTATACTAAAAAAACTACAATTCCTAACACAACTAGTACTACGGCGCACACACACAACTTTCAATATAACTCGCGTAATAGAACTTTTTCGTGATTTTGGATTTACAGGTTTGATTTATGAGTTTTAAATATCTAAATCCAAAATCACGTTGTAATTTTAATAAATAAATATATTTTTATATACATATACAATATGGGTTACGTATTCGACATAGATAGTAATAAAAAAATTATAAAACACTGCAGATGCATATTATGACTAAGTCGATAGATGACCAAATATAATGCAAACTTTGAAACTTGATAAAACAAAACGCATTGCGCGATATACGTCTGGATACGCCAGAGACCGGCACGAAACTAGCTGCAATCCAACAATAGAGCATGCCGAAACTGCGCATGCAAGGATGCGACAGTTCACAATAAGATTCTGTGTCTGCTGCATAAACCCGGCTGGTAAAAGCAATAGATGCAAAGCCAGCGCGTTGATGCCACGCAACCATGTGCACGAATTGCAATAGACACTGTACCTGTCATAAGAACTAAACTAAAATCTGCTGCACGCGACAGCGCGACCAGAATCTTACGCGTAGTATCTCGCACGGCAAATGCGATAATATAAAATTAGCCCATTGGCCGGTTTAGCCTTTAGCTGATTAGCCTGGCTAATTTCGGTTAACCGGCTAAGCCGGTTAGCCGAAATTAGCCAGGCTAATGAGGTAAAGGCTAAACCGGCCAATTGGCTAATTTTATCTATATATATAAAATTTGCGTGTCACAGTGTTTGTTTCCATACTCCTCCGAAACGGCTTTACCGATTTTTACCAAATTTTATATGCGTATTCAGTAGGTCTGAGAATCGGCTAACATCTATTTTTCATACCCTAAGTGATAAGGGTTGTTCACCCTTAACTTTTTTAAATTTTGGACAAATTCTTTTGTTTTATTTTTTTATAATGTGGAATTAAAAAATACATACAACCCTAAATTTTTAGTTTTTTATCACCAACCCCTATTTCTTTATAGCCATTTTAGTAATTTAATCATTTTTCATCCCGCTCAAAGAAAATTTTTATATGCGTATTCAGTAGGTCTGAGAATTGGTAACTTCATATCTCTAAGTGATAAGGGTAGTAATTAATATCCACAACAATAATTATAAAAATATAAAATTAAGATAGGATAGTTAAAACGGAAATCTGAGAGATGAAATTTTAATTCTTAAGAAAAAGTGCCATGAGGGGGTGCTTGATACACTCTTTATCGACGATTTTCGATCATTAATATCTCTTAAACTAAAAGCGATAGCAACCCACGAATTGCTGATTATGAAAGACTGAAAAATTCTCTATCAGATAAAAATATAAAATAATTATATTTCCAATAGTAAAAGGTCAAAAACGCGACTAAAAGCAACAACGCGACAGTTTAAAGTAGAAACTGCTGCATACGGCGTGAGGAGATTTCAACGACGACACTCGGGAATCTCATGCGTTGCACGGCCAAGGCCGTGACTAAAGTACTTTATGGAGCTTGCGCGTGCGCAATTGCCTTTATATATTGCTCCATTGTAAAATTAACAGTAACTCAAAAGAAATCATCGTATTGAGTGTCATTGTTTGGGTACAACTGAACAATACAATTCACATATTAAAAAAAAGTGTTTATTATAACATTCAACATTAGTTGCAGGGAATTTGTGATTGTAACATTTAAATTACCGTGCACCATAGCGTCCATAGCGTTCAGGTTCAGGGGTACATCTTAAAAATGCACTCTTGCCCTATCATTAAATAGAGACAAAACTAAAATATGACAAAGGGTTCCCGAAATAGAGCCTGTTTTCAACTGCGTGTTTTGAAAAATGCAAAAAAGGAGCAAACTTTGGCGCCCATTTTGAGGCAATTACGACCGAATTTCGCGGGGCTTCAAGGATTCATCTTAAAAATGCACTCTTGTCCTATCATAAAATATAGAAAAAACTAAAATATGACAAAGCGTTCCCAAGATATGGCATATTTTCCACCGCAAGTAATAAAAAATGCTAGAAACGGGCAAACTTTGGCGGCCATTTTGAAGCTACTTAGCAAACAAGATCACATGCAAACCCAAAAAACACAAACATTTCACGAAGAAGGGTGAAAAAATCCATCTTTTATGCTAATTTTCGCAAGTCGCAGGTCGAATTTTCGTAACAAACAAATACGAGTATAAGCCGATGGAGAATTTTTGCAGAGACAAAACAAGCAATAAAACTTCTCCGCAAAGTGTAAAATCTATATATATAAAAGAAAGTCGTGTTGGTTAACTCCTTTATAACTAAAGAACGGCTAATCCAATTTAGCTAAAAATTGGTGGAGAGGTAGCTTAGGGCCAGGAGAAGGTAATAGGTAGAGACCGACCGAAATTTCGGTTTCGGTTTCGGTTTCGGCCAGTTTCGGCCAAGAATTCGAGTTTCGGCTTCAGTTTCGGTCAAAAATGGCCGAAACTTTCGGCCGCACCGAAACTCACTTTTCGTGAATTGTCGTGCGTCGCTCGGCTAACTTCGCGGCTAATGGCGGTCGTTACTTGCCATCTTAATTCGCTCATATTAATACTACATTAAGTATCAAGTGACTAAACGAGGACTTTACTCCCGAAATGGATTATGTATCTAAAAAACGTGGAAAAACTGGCGATGTTTAGGTAAAAGTAGAAAAATATGTTTATGTAAATTAGTTTCGGTTTCGGTTTCGGCCGAAACTGATTGCAGGGCCGAAATTTCGGTTTCGGTTTCGGCTAAAATCCACTTTCGGTCGGACTCTAGTAATAGGATACTTTTGAAGTGAAAACTTTTCTAAAAGGGCACTAAACGACACTAAAAAGAGACAAACATATTTGCGTATATGGATTTAAATCCATATCTTGCGGGAGAATAAGAGAACGCAAATACAAAGTTTTCTATTATCCCCGTCTCCTCTTTGTGCGATGCTTCGTAGCATAGACGTGTGTATGTGTGTACGTGTGGGTTGAAATTGACCGGTTGATGTTTTTGTTTGGAGAAGGTTACTAGGATACTTTTTGAAGTGAAAACTCCTTATATATGGTTTAGCCTACGGGAGAAAAAGAGCACACAAATATAATGTTTTCTATTATCTCCGTCTGTCCTTTGTGCAATTCATAGCTTCCCCCTAAGCATAGACGTGCGATTCGTAGCGTCCCCCTAAGCAAAGACGTGCGTGAAACGTTACATTTTTAAAGGAAACCGCAAGCCAAATCAGTGTAAAAGGGAACAAACATATTCGCTTATATGGTTTAGCCTACGGGAGAAAAAGAGCACACAAATATAATGTTTTTTATCTCCGTCTCCCTTTTGTGCGATTCGTAGCGTCCCCCTAAGCATAGACGTGCGTGGGTTTGTATGTGTTGGTTGAAGTTGCCCGGTTGATGTGTTGGTTTGAATAAGACTTAGTAAGTGTAGGATACTTTTTTTAATACTTTCTGAAATAAAAACTTCTTTGGAAGATACTAAACGAGTTTTCTCTGTCTCTTCTTTGTGCGATGCTTCGTAGGTAGCATCCCCACTCAACATGCAGCGACCAAAACGATCAAATCTTATCCGACAAAACCGTAATGCAACTAGGATTCAAAGGATTGCGAATGAAAGGACTGAAGAAGAACAAGAAATTGCACGTGAAAAGCGAGGCAGAACAAAGTTTGCCGGGTCAGCTAGTATGATATAAATGCAACTCGAAAATTTATTTAGACACTAATACTGATAAGCAATCGACGAAAATACGCCATAGGTATTGTCACATTGCATATTGAAACGATATGGCCGCTTGCGACGGTACTAAAATATATGCAAATGTATTATAATACGAAATGATCACGGCCAAGTATTTGGTGCAAAATTCACCACAAACTAAAGTTAAATCACATTTAAATACAGTAATACTAAACACGATTAGATAAGCATGTTCACAACAATAACACGATCGGTCGTTACAACTCGGCCTAAGCAAAGATTTAACTGGACGTCATACGCGTAAAACTTGTGAAACAATACGTGTACAAATAGGTGAATTAAAATTTAAAACAAGTTTGCACTGAACCGTTCTTTCTTGATTTTCCCGAAGAAGATTCCAGTTCCCAAATAATATCACAACAAAAGTTGCAGGACGTTGCATGCAATCTGTAACTCGCGAACCTGCAGTGTAAAGAAGTTGATAGCACGCAACTTGCGATACCTACAATGAATACAAAGAAAATTAACGATTTTGTATATTCGACACCTGATTATCTAATAATAAACACTAGACGCGTCAGTAATAACTAAATGCAGTCGATGGACTATCGAATTGAACGTGATTTACCGAATTACAAACTCAAAATAAAATGATAACAGCCACGAGAAACACGCCCGACCCAACCAACGACCGGCACAAAACTGCGCAATAAAACGCGCACTATATGCAACAAACAAGGTCACATGCAGGATGGCCAACTTAGGGAATGCGACTAGAAAACTTGTTTAGGGGAATTTCGCATGCAAAATCACCATCGGTATTGTCACATTTCATATTGTAACGATATGACCGCTTGCGACGGTACTAAATATATTGTAATACAAAATCAAAGAAATACCATAAGCGTCGAAAGAAAGGATTAACCTTAAGGGTTTCACAAAACTTTTAACACTCTGCGACATGTTTCGCCACACTGTGGCATCATCAGGCAGATGATTATTCATTAAAAGTTTTGTGAAACCCTTAAGGTTAATCCTTTCTTTCGACGATTATAATGGAGTTTCATCATGTAAGTGCCTCAACATTTCAATAAATACCATAAGTATTGACACATACGCCTATTGGAACCATTAGACCACGTGCCCCAATACGAATTATATGCAAATAAATTATGTGTATTATAATATACAAACGATAGTGATCTGTATACAAATAGGAAAAGGTGCAGAAATATTAATTTGTCGCGTAAATTAGAATGAAAAATAGGATTGAATTATAAACTTACGAATTGTTATGCGCATCATTCACTAGGACACAGCAAGTGCTGTAATTTAAAGAAAAAAAGGTGAAATATTTCAAAAGATTTAAGAACAATATATTCATACATCATAGAAGAAATACGATATGGGTTGTTGAATGAACATTTACTTACACAAGAATAATGATCAAGAAATCTTCATGAGGGCCATCCTAGATCCGATTCATTTAGCGACGGACACCTTGTTATCTGCATAAGTATGCACACGAAACGCGATCGAATATATACTACTTTTGTACAATAATGTACATTAAACGCAGAAATAATAAATCACATTATTATAGTAGTTACAATTAAATAGTCGCTAGATGATACAAACAACAATACGAACAAACAATACGAGTCGGTCAAAACACGCCTGGATCAAACAGCGACCGGCACGAAACTGGCTGCAAACAATTACACATGCCGTAGCCGAGCAAGCAACCACGCGACAGTTTACGATAAGAAAGCAAGAGATGCGCAAAACCGGCGCGCGGCAATGATACGCAACCTTGTGCGCGAATTGCAATAGGCACTTTACCCGCGATTTAAACAAAACAAGAATATGCTGCATGCGGCGTGAGGGGATTTCAACGACGACACAGGGGAATCTTGCGCGTGGCATTTCACACGCCGAATGCGAATAGAAAAAAGTTGTTTATACACAAACGCAGATAACAGCATTGCGTTCAAAACTATCGTCGGGCCTACGATTACGGATAAATATAAAAATAAGCAAAATAAGTCAATTTTATATTTTAAGTGCATCGTAGCGGCATCTGTAAACAATTCCTGTAAACAGTTCCTAAATTTAGATTATTAAAAATGATGAAAAATTGAATTCGAATTGTGTAATTTTTCCTTTTCCATTTTTGCACTATAAATTAATATGTAATTATTAAATTTTATTAGGAAATAGTGTTTTAAATCACATTTTTAAATGCAATTAAAAATTACAATAATAGTTTATTAATTTGATAAGAAACTATAGAGGAAATTACATATATAGTTTATTACACTAATTATTATAAATATCGAAAATTGATTGTTAGATTCGTTTCCAGGGAATAATTATATATTAAATAGCACTTAAAAATTCCTTCTAGTAAAATGATTTGCATTACTTTCAACTCAGTGCATTGAAAAATTGAATATAGCATTCAAACATAGCAAATCATTTAGATAGAAATTTAGATTTTAATCTTATTCATCAAATAAATAAATTTGTTCATAAATACTTCCTATACTTCCGCTATAACGTGGAACATACTTATAAATTAGTTCATCTCTCAATTGTTCATCAATTTCATGCTTGTTCTTTCTACATTCATCTATAAAAAAGTTTCCAAAATACTGAGCTGCTATTACTGCATTCCCACCATGTTCATAATGCGGTTCAAACTCAAATGCATTCTTTTCTGGATGAAATTGCACTCCGTAAAATGGTAGTGTTGTATGCTCGTACGAACTGATAAATTCTAACCCATTATCATCATAATTTGTGGATAAAACTCGCCACTCTTGCAGTAAGTTATATTTCTGGAAGGTTTTCTCTGTAAAACAGTATCGATGACTATTTGCCGTTACATTCTCTGAGCGAAGAATTTGTAAAATAGTATCAGGTACATTGCAAAATAAACGACTTGTATTGATATCAGGCTTAAGAATTAACGGCAGAGACTTTTTTCTGCTATTACACTGTGAACGAATTTCTTTTCCACTGAGTGAAGTTTGTATCATTAGTTCCATGCCTAAACAAATCGCCCAAATCGGGTAAAAATCATTGTTTTGGTTGCATTCCAGAGCAATATCGTACAAATATTGACCAGCTTCAGAAAAACCGGAGTTTGTGCCAAATAGTGCCGCACCACCAGGAAGCATTAATCTAAATATTTATATAATTTAAGTAAAAATTGTTAATATAGCTTTATCTTGAAATCTTACCCATTAGTTTTATCAACTATATTCTTGTAATATTCTCGGTTCTGACCAATTCTATAGATAAAATAAAGAAAAAAAATATTTTAAAGTTGAATATCTTTATAAATGCTTTTACCTGATAGGAAGTACTCTGCCACCAGCACTTTCCACAAATTTCACATAGGAAGCAGCTATGTATGAATGGACAATTTCATTCGGGTAAAGATGGCGTACCGAATGAGCTTCTTGTGCCAAAATGCCTATTATTGGTTTATGTGACCCGACAATATTTGGATTGGAGCTATCGTTAACTAAAAGTATAATACATATATAAAATAATTTAAACTGAAAGAAAATACTTTACCATTAATTAAAGGACTCATTTTAACAGGGCACTTCTTGTTGGACTTTTGAATAATTATACAATTATTGTTTGTTATTGATCGGCGCTGCGCATCACAACTTTACAACTGAAGTTCGGAACTTAATAACATAAACAGTCAACATGCCACCAGTTAAGGCTATTTTCATATTCCAATTAATTCATATCTTATTCACTTTTTTATTGTATAGTTCATACGAGTATATATCAAAAGCAAAGTGTATTGCGATGAAAATATTAAACATAGATGACCTTGCTGTTAATAAAACTTCTCTGTGAATATGTTGACGAAGCAATATGGAAATTTTTTAAAAAAAACTTTGATGGAAATATATAATAATTGTAATGTTTTTTATACGAGTATAACTGGAATAAACGAAACGTCACAATTTTATAATGAACTTGAATATTTTTGTTTTAGTTAATATATTATGTTTGTTTTATTATTTGAATCAGACGTTATCATATTATCAACATCAAGCCTACATATTCAAACTCTGATAAAAGAATTGATTGTATAATGCATACTAGAGTGAAAGTAACGCGCGTTGACCTGACCCTATATCATAAATTTACCCATAAATTAAACAAGTAGACTTGAAGTAAGTTGTGGTGTTGGGCGAACGGGTTTTGAAGCACACAACATTTGCCTAACATCAAGACAACGCAACTCACAGTGCGTTGGTGTCTGAAAAGTTTAAAATGATTTCTCGAAGACTGTTTTCCACTACTTCAAAATTACCACCATGTAATTTTGTTCCAAAAAAATATGACGTAAGTTTCTAAATATTTATATTTTTAATACTTGTGAATAAAATGATTTATCCTAGGGTCCAAGTTATGATAAACTGACAAAAATACGAAGAATCAATTTGAATCCAGCACTGACAACAATTTATAAGGATCCACTCGCTGTACACCAAGGTCACATGCAATGGCTCTTCGACATTAACGGCAAGAGATACCTCGACTTGTTCGGTGGCATCTGCACGGTGTCGGTAGGTCATTGCCATCCAAAAATCAACGCTGCTGTGAAGGATCAAATGGAGGTGCTTAACCACGTATCGAATATATTCCTTCATCCAAAAATCCACGAGTATGCCGAACGTCTTACTGCCAAAATGCCCGGTGACCTTAAAGTATTAGAAATAAATAAATAAACTTCTAAAATCTTAATACAATAATGAATTTTAGGTTGCATATTTTGTAAACAGTGGTTCAGAAGCTAATGATCTCGCCATTTTGATGGCTCGATTGTATACGAAAAATTTCGAAATTCTTAGCTTGAGAAACTGCTATCACGGCATGACTTGCGCCACGATGGGATTAACAGCAACCGGAAAGTATAAATATAATTATCCGAATGTTTCCGGTATACATCATGTAATGAATCCGGATGTATATAAAGGAATATGGGGTGGTAAAAATTGCCGGGACAGTGTTGTTCAAACTACACGCCAATGTAACTGCTCCGGAGAATGTGACGCAAAGCATAAATACATTGACCAGCTAAAGGAACATTTTGAGTATACGATTCCGAAATCAAAAGGTTTAGCAGCGTTTTTTGCTGAGAGTATTCAAGGTGTTGGTGGAAGTGTACAATTCCCAAAAGGTTATATCAAAGAAGCTGCTCAACTTGTAAGAGAAAATGGTGGATTAATGATATCTGACGAGGTACAAACTGGTTTTGGAAGAACTGGTGACCATTTCTGGGGTTTTGAGGGACATGAAATCGTTCCCGATATTGTTACAATGGCGAAGGGAATTGGAAATGGTTATCCTTTAGCTGCAGTGGTTACAACACCTAAAATAGCAGAAGCTTTAAATGCTGCTTCTCATTTTAATACTTTTGGTGGTAATCCAATTGCGTCAACAGTAGGAATAACAGTACTAGACGTAAATATTATAAATTACAATTTAAATTTGATATTAATAGTCAGAATTTACTTCATTTTAGATTATTGAAGAAGAAAAACTCCAGCAAAATAGCAAGGCAATAGGTACAAACTTTTTGAAGCAATTATCACAGTTACGTGAAGAATACCCAAAAACAATTGGTGACGTAAGAGGTAAAGGTCTTATGATTGGTGTAGAGTTGGTTAAAAATGGTACCACCGAACCGTTGCTGGATAAACAGATTTATGATGTTCTTAAAGACAAAGGAGTGATTATGGGTCAAGGAGGAGCATATGGCAATGTAAATACCAATAAATTATCAATTGATTTATAAAATTTATAAAATTGTCACAATTTTAAAATGTGTAGGTTATGCGAATCAAGCCCCCCATGTGCATCACACAACAAGACGTGGATTTCACAATGAGCACTCTTCGTGAAGCATTCACACAACTTAAATATAAATAAATGTATCACATTTCATTTACTGTAACAACAAATACAATAATAACTTATCCACATTGACCTTCGTTTTGATAACACCATTGTGGTGTCAGCGTTTCAGCCTCAATTCCTCTCTTGACCAGTCGTTCTCTTTGTCGGTGCATTCTGCTCTCAGCTACGTCACTTTTTGTACTTGGATTGGCCCACAACCTTTCTGCAGCAGCAGCCGCTCGAGGCCATACTCTGCCATCAAGTGCTTCCTCGGACAAGAACTCCGACCACATGCAAACTTCGCCACCCAAGACATTTTTGTGACTAGTCAATTTATTATTATACACAGTCCTCCAACCATAGTAAGTTGTAGTGCCCCAGAAACCGTGATCCAAATACCAAGCGTTCTTTGTAGATATCACCAACCTGTATCCTTTGTTCAAAAGATCATTTGGTAAAGGGTCAGTTGATGGCACCCAGGTTTGAATAACATATCTCTTGGGATCTAGGTACTTTTGAATGACATCTGTTGTTGTCAATTCACTACTCCACAACATGATCGTACTATCTTTATGACCCAGTAATTCATCGTATTTTGCAAGGGCTTTCTCTTGAAATTCACCCCATAAATCCAAGAAATCCGATTTGGTTTGACCTTTACCTTGTGCATGCAGGTAGTCAATAATTTCTTGCGTTGTATTCCAACAGTTTAGAACGATTTCATCACCTCCCATGTGAAATAATTCATTTTGAGGCAATAAGTCAGTTAAGTCATTGTACAACATTTTCAGTACATCGTATACGTTTTGATTTGCAGGGTTCAATTGCCCACAAGGTGCTTCAACGCAGTATTGTCGCCAAGGTTGTTGATTTATGCACACAGCAAGATTACCCAAATTTGCAGCGGGGCCCCATTGCCATCCATTACCAGCATGAGCAGGTGCGTCAACTTCCATAATAATCCGCACACCACGTAATAGAGCATAATGCACCAGCTCAGTAATATCTGCAGCAGTGTATACTTGTTTGTCGGAATAGGCACCAAGAGCAGACAAGTTTGGTAGTTGTTTCGAAACAAACGGAAAACTTTGCGAATCAGTGATGTGCCAATGAAGATAGTTTAATTTTGATGAGCCCATTCCATCAAGTTGGCGTTTGATTGCTTTGACAGAGAAATAGTTCCTAGCCGTGTCCAAAAGAAGAGATCTATGTGGATAGTATGGTTTGTCTAGGACGAGGGCAGATTTTAACATTACCAAACCATCTGGATAGGGAGCCACCATTTGTGAAAGGGTTTCTAATCCATGTCGGGCACCATAAAAATTAGGTGCGATGATCTGCCAAGTTCCATCTAATACCATATTGTTTTTATAGAAGTAACATTATTAATTTAAATTTATTATAATTATCATACCAGTGGTTTGTAGACGGTAACTTTCATCCGTGGTCCAGTCTAAGTCCATACTACCAGATGTAAACGTTACTTCGACGTTGACAAATTGTTCATCGGCTTCGTTGCAGTTCGGACCACATTCAGCAAACAAATTGCTTTGAAATACACCAACAACTTCTTCGAAATATTTTTTCGGTTTACCAGGAGCATCAATTTTAAAGTTAAACCGACTAAATAAAAAACAATTTAATTTAATTCACGATAACTGTTGTAATATAAATTGACCATACTTTGGATGCACTTTCACAAAAACGGTACTGCGGTTGAACTGCCGAGGTATCGGCCAAAAGGCGCCATAATTTCCGCAAACCAAACGGCACATCTCCACCGATAAATATTCCGCACTCGAGTTGTACTCTTGCCGTATGCACTGATTCTTACTGTTACACGTCCATTTCCACAGTTGACCTCTGCAACAATTCCACAAAAATAAACACAAACTCAAAAATAAAACAATAACACAAAACTTACTCATTGCCAGCGACTGCAGCGCCAATAACAAACGCACAAAGCACAATTAACGATCGTTTCTGCATGCTGCATGATAAAAGTCTCTGCGGTGCATTAAATATTAAATGATTCATTTCTGTGTAGCCTAAAGCACCTAACGACCTTAGTAACCGCACGTATTTAAAGTTCGCGTTATGTATACCCGCGCGTTTCTTCGTCGAACGCCTGTTCAATACTGAAGCTAGCGGCTAATGTGCGCTCTCCGAACCCAAGCGTGTGGTGATGCGCGTCGGCGATACACAAATGAATTAAATTAAGTCGAAGCCGATGTTATAATAATAAAACCTAGCGGGAAATGAGCGAGAGATTATCAGTCGACGATACCGAAGCCAGCGAAGCTTCATACAACATAATAGAACCGAACTCGCCGAGTGGAACGTCGAAGCACAATGTTTAAATAGCTTAAATAGCTCACAATCGCGACGAACCGCACGTATTATTTCGAGTGTGGCTTTTTAAATAATTAAATTGTCATTTGCCACACTCGTTTAAATTTACAAACAATACTATCTGTTTTGAGTAGCCTCTTGAAGTATTTACTTGTTAACAATTTGTTACAAAATAACAAAAAAACATGAACCTATTAATGATAAAATTTTTGTATTGTGTGATTAGCGATTGTGCAATCAAGTGGTTTTTATTATATTGGCGTTTTTATTCTTATCTAATTGATTAGCCTAATCACGAATTTTACAACATTCGAATCGATCTACATAGCTAGAATATTTGCTTCTAAATACATATTTTATAATTATATAATACATTATGTGGTTTTAGATGTTAAATTGTTTGACTTGTTGAATTTTGAAAATTAATTATTTACATCAACATCAATTTTATTGTTGTTTAAATGTTCACTTTCCGAAGTGTGTTTGCTCATCGAGAGATCGTCAGGGCCACCTGGTGAGAGAGGACGTGGGCTTGGTGAGCTTCGTATGCTGGGACTGCGACTACTGACGCCTGGAGAACAGGGGCATTGCGGTGGAGGCGGCTGAAGACCAGGATGCATCAGAGGATAGCCTTCTGGTAGTTTATCAGTTGGCATAGGATCACCTGGTAATCCACCACAATGTCTTCCTATAATTGTAAAAATATACAATTTTTAGTATAAAACTTTAAGATTTTAAACCGGATTAGCATACCAGAAATTATAAGTGGTGGTGAAGTTAACCCTAGACAACGCATCCTCCATGCGTCTTGAAGTAGTTGCAGACGAGCTTGTTTACGCCACTTTGCGCGTCGGTTTTGGAACCAAACCTGATTAAAATTGAATTTTGAGATAAAAATTTTAAAATTGTGTTTTAAAACATACCTGTACTCTTGCTTCAGATAAACTTATTCTCAATGCCACTTCCTCTCTGAGGAAGACATCAGGATAATGCGTTTTCTGAAACAATGCTTCAAGCTCTTGCAATTGTTGCGGGCTGAACGTGGTGCGATTCCGTCGTTGTCGGCGACGTCCAAACATGTATTCCGTCAGCAAATCTCCTGGCATAGGAGATAAATAAGGTCCAGCCATGTTTATGTAGTAACCACCAAAAATATCAAAGTTTTTAAACTTCAAACTATCTGTTTGCTTCAAAGCTGCTTCAAATGTAGTAACTTTAATATTTTGATATTTACACAAGTTAATAATTGTGATCACTTAAATGTAACTTTTATGTATGATTTCAAAATTAAGTTTGTTAAGTCGAGAGAGGAGTTCTTCAAGTTATTATCAGTTTAGCGTTTGGTCGCAAACTGCCGTCGGTGGCGGCTCAACTCGTCGTCCTTTGGGGCGCTCGACGATAGCTATCTGTTTGTTTGCCACGATCGCGGCAAGGGATGCTCCACCCCACTTTGGCACAGAACTGCAGCGATTGGTTCGAGCGTCGCGGCGCTCCGCTTTGCAGGGGCGTCGGGACGCCCGCGCACAATGCATGCGCGATTATTGCATCAAAATCTCAGAATCTGTCTTCTATGTTTGATGCTTTCATTATGTATTGATTAAAATTAAATAATTTTAATAAAGTAAAATAAATTATTATCAATTACTATCCAAAAATTATTGCAAACCTTCAAAAATGCAAAATATTGTATTAAAAATTAAATTAAATTCTTGTATCTGCAATATTTTATTATACTGATTTTTTAAATAAAAACACTGTGATACATTCTAGAAAAAAGTGCAGGATGCACGCGCAGCGCACAAAATTGAACGAACATATTTTCGCGTAGACAATGCGCGCATTGTGTCCGATTGTGAGTGGAGATTGTGAGTGGATTTTTTAAAGAATAAAGCGCGCGTTTTTTTTTTGTCGCTCGGCAACGAAACGAGTAAAAAATCGCGTTTTCTTCCTAGACACGCTTGCATTGTTCGCCTCCTCCGGCGAGAAGGCCGAAACGAATAAAAGCGTATACGCGCACGCCGACGAGCGTCTCGCGTAATGAAAATTATGCATTACTTCATATCCGAAGGGCTAACGCTAACGCAACGTCGATGAGGGGGTGGAGGTGCGCTGACGCCGCCCCTTATTCATATTGCTTCTGTTTTTCTTCTGCAAAAATTTTCATTAACAAAACACACAAATTCAAAATAAAAAATACAAGTATTTTAAAATTTTTGATAAATAAATAATGAAAAGTAAATTTGTATGTCAAACCTATGATTTAATAGCGTTGTGGCAATTGCTATTGAAAGTTTACATGTTTTATCATGTGGTGTTCAATCAATGTAATTAGAAATAAAATTATCGGGCACTTAACAAATTAATTTGTCACATTTGGCACGAGCTGCAGCCTCATTGCCGAGCGGCAGGCAAATCGTGGAATCGGGAATTAATTGTTTTGCCGCCGCATAATAGGACTGAATGTAATCAGGGACTGACACGACTCCCGGACGAGAAACCGAAGGGTGGCACATAATAGGCGTGTGCATTCACACAAAAGCAAGCACCGCTATTAAATGCACCAACTAAATATCATCCAAATATAATCATCCCCTTGTCCACTAACAGAGGAAAACGTCCTTGCGCAGTGACGTGCACGTGTTAAAGGGTTTTTGATTTTCCTCGGTTGCGCGGTGCGGCGTGGTTGGATGAAATTGTAGTTGTCGTTGGGGGCGGGCGTTGACGACTCCTTTTATTAATTACGAAACTCGGTGTTGTGACACGAGCGCGCGCCCATTGTTGCGAATCCGATTGTCGTATCGCATCAGATTTCGAGGCTGACACGTCGCATCTGCCGCCTCTGGTCGGCGGCGGCGTCGACGCTCGTCGAAAAATAATTAAACTACGCTATAGTCAACATTTCACGACGCCCTTTCGTTATTGCGTATAATAATCATCATGCTTAACAATGATGAGTTTGCGCGTATGCAGGAGCTCGCTGGTTATTAAGTTTAGCCAGCGACAGATGTGCACTTTGTTCGCGTCTTGTTCATTTGTCGAGTGAGTGTATACTTTGAAAGTTTATTCGGTGTGCGTCTTATCAGATGATGGATTTAGCTCGCTGAACATTCAAGTCGTACTTGAAGTTTACAATTGATTGCAATATCCGCTTGTTTAAAATCATTTTCAAATGTTTCGGCTGTGATAAAATGATTAATCTGTAAGCTGTTGTGATGTGTTTTTTGTTATTTGAAAAATAAATAAATTTCTATTGTGTATTTTTGTATTTGTGTATTTTTTAATCACGCATCGAATTTTAATTCCAGCAAACAATAGCGCCAAATGCAAATAAACACAAAACGTGAAACGCAATGAATAAAATCATACATCCGACGTTCGCCGCCCTCGCGCGCGCACACCCTTCGCTGCGCACAACAATGCGGCGAATTCGAAATTAAAAATCATTCGTTTCCGAATCGAGAACGCGCGCCGCGACGCTCGGCGACGCCCCGCCCGCATTGTTGAAATCAATCATCGCATGCGAATCATTCGTTAGCTCTGGCGTTCGTCATGCTCTTAATTGATTGTTTTTTTTCTCCTGCGAAACAGGCTGTCATCTGCTTTATTATAAAAAGCACTAGACGCAAATAAAAACGTTAAAAGTTTTATTCTAATAACAAAGTGTTGAGTGGTAATTATTTGACATACAACTTGTCAGTTGGATAAGTAGTGTTAAAAGTGAATCTGTAATCTAATCCGACATCATCTTCTTTACATGCTTTACAGACACACATGTCTATTATATCCTAATAGCTTTAACATGCTTTCATACCCTAACATGATCATAAGCTCACTCCACCAGCGTGTAAGTCATACATGTTTTGGTTTGTGCTTGGGGTGAGCTTTGAAGACAGGAGAGATGCAAGCAAATTAGAACTGCATGGGGTCGAGTGTATGCATGAGGCCCGTCAGGGGTGCGGGAGCTTTAGAAGTCAATTGAATATCATTTAACTAAATACACCGGATAAAGAGCACACAAGGTTCTTTTATGCAATGTGTACCCACCTACGATATGTTTATTTTTGATTTGAGTTTTATATTGGATCTGTTTTTCTTTGAAATGTGAATATTTCTATATTCAAAACATTAGTAAATTGCACTTTATATAATACTTGATTTTTGCCAGCGACATATCACATATTAATTACTCGTAACTCTCAATTTTTATTTCAAAATTAATAAATTCACTTTTATAGTTTTTTGTTTAATTTTTGAAGAAAAATATTGTTCTTTTAATAAAAAGTATCCTATGTTATTTACAATAACCTTAAATATATCTATACAAAATTTCATTATGATTGCTCAAGTAGTTTCCACTTAAATGCGTAACAAACATAGAAAATCACTCACACAGCCAATTTTTGCATATATATTATAAGGATGTAGAGATTTCTATTAAACATAACCTAATTTAGTCAACCTGTCAAATATTATGTAGTCTTTGTTTTAGGTTAAGACAATGTGCAGATGGATAAGGTGAGTGCGTTGTATCGTGTATCGCGAAGTCATTAAGAGCAACAGCACGCCTCGTTTGGCACACATTCATGCGGGGCGCGGGGTTGTGCGAGCGCGCGCGCTTCATATCAAAATGAATGCAAACTGAATGCATTTTCATTATGCCCGTCGCTCATTGCGCTGTGTCGCTGTGTCACCATCCTGACAATACTCAACGCGTCGTAATTATTTTTCGTTGTTTCGACGCGGATGAATATCTTTGGATGTAACATGCATGCACACTTCGCAACTGCGTTCCGCCAACTCATTTTCAGTTTTGTAATCTCACCTTTTTACAATCAAGTTGAAACAGTGAAGGAGGAGTAAAATTTAGAAAAGCCGATGATAATATATTTCGGATTTATTTAATGTTTTGATCGAACGGAGTTTTAAACTGTTGAAATGATAAAAAATTTGAAGACAGGCTATTTAGACTCTTAATTGATAATTTTAAATCATTTTTGAGTGTTTTGCATGGTATTTGCCTCCTGTGTAAGAGTTCAACTAAACTGTGCCATAGCATGAGTCTTATCGTTTATAATATAAAACAAATTCGGATTAGTTACAACATTTACATATAAAGAACGGTTGGGCAGATTTTGTTGATCTGAAATTTTAAAAATGTGTTGTGAGTTCCCTACCTATCCCAATAGAATATGGAGTTAAATGACAAAAAAGTTTGTTTTTAGTATATTGTCTAAAATTGTTTGTCAAAAGCCGAAATTTCCACTGCAAAATTGTAAATTTAAGACAAAATGTTCTAAAATTTAATCAACATGCCCCGTACGCGAATTTGTAATGAAATAAAGACGCGTAAAACACAAAACGCGTTTTGATGTCGTGGGCCCCGGCAGGTTCCTGATTCCTCCCGGCCGCAAAGAGCAGAATGCTCCAAGTTGAATACGCGCACTGTGCCGATGATCAATGACGTTAATAAACCGGCCGAGGCAACGCCGAGCCGAGCATTCCGGAGTTGATTAATTAACAACATTGCCCATCGCCACTGCGTACTGCCCTTCTCTTTGGCCGCACTCTCGGCCGTCTGGCACGCGGTCTCTTGTGTATGATTCCATCATAAGCTTTGCGCAACGAGCGCATAACAGGAAAGCCACAGCGACCCGACGACCCAACGTCGAGAATATGTCGATGCATACATTATGCTAACATATAATACCGTTAAATTTAACTCCTACACGAGCATTATACGAAATAATTCGCGATTCATTTAGAAAAAGAAATTTTGTAATTAATTCTCGGTGGCCGCTTTGATTTTCAATAGAAATTGTCCCGACGGGCATGAGAAAGTGCTAAACGAAATTTTCATTAAATGTTTTTGCTTCTTTTGGCGCGCGGCGAATGGAAAACCGCAGGAACTGAGCGAACCGCATTGGAAATTCGGTTTTCTTGCTTTTGCGTTGGAGAGTGTTGAATGTAAGCCAGTTAGCAGGTTCTTTCCATTGCTTTAAAATACTAACTGTTCTAATTATCTTCTTAACTTCACAAAATTACAATTATTTTAATTATTTCATAAAATTAAGCTCAAATACATTGTTATCTAATATTTATTCAATCTATCATTTTAATTAGTGATGTTTACTTTCGGCAAAATGAAATTTTCGTTACAATCTGACATCTAAACATTTTCGCGTAACGACTATCTAACCAACAGACTAATGTAAGAGTATAAGAGTAATTAAAGCATTTGCAAAGCGCTCTTTTTCATTCAGGGTTACCAAATGCATTTGTTTCTTTAAAATTGATATAAAAACATTTTCTATACAATTTTAAAAGAATTATTCATTAAATTATTCAATAAACTATTATAAGGCTCAATTTTTGAGTTTATTTACGTGTAGTTAGACGTTTTATGAATGGAATCTTAGTTAACCCTGTTTAAATTAACGCTGTTCATTAAAAAATTACTTTAAAAGCTGAAAAAGTTTCAGTTGATATTAATAAACCGAATAGACGAAAACAATGCGGTCGCAAAAAGGAGCAAAAGAAAACAGAGCAAAAAATTAATTAAACATGGCCGCCACAGTCACCATGTAACGTAATTAAAAGCATGTGGCTCTGAATGAATCTAAAAAAAAACACACACCCACGCACACAACGTGCGTTGATCATAACACAACATATCGTAATCATTTTTCATTTGTTAGCACGCCGGCTTTGGCGCAGCGCGCATGCAAAAAATGGAAAATAAAATGGGAACCGTGAAAAAGCGCGTGTATTTTTTTTTCTCTGCGCTGAACAAATAAATGCAGGATGGGAGGCGGTGGGCAGGGGCGGGTGTGAGTGGCAAAACAGGCGCTCGGCTCTCATTGAATCATACAGCGGGCGGGCGGGCGCACGCCGCCGCCGAGCACCGAGCGCTCTTTATGTTTTGTGAAATTTTTCAATCAGTGTTGTCGTCCATTAGTTATATTATACGCTCCGGCTGGTTGCTGCGGCCCGGCTGCGCCCATTCGGGGCTGATGCATTCTCGGCTCGCGCGCGCCGAATCGACGAGTGAATGGAGGAGAACAAGGAGGAATTTTCGCATGCAAACGTGCACGTATATGCATACGCCGTAAGGGCGCAAAAGCTCCGACGTAATCAGACTAGTTTGCGCACAGAATGGAAGCAAAATGCGAGGCGCAATGCGAGATAGATAATGCATCTCAAACGATTCGAGCGACGTACTCTTAACGCGCCCAGAAAAGAATATTACACCATAAACGCGTCAAACTGTTCATGTCACTCCACTATAAACAGATAAAAACACTCATCACATACTAATATCTAATAATTTCTATTATTAGTGATAATATTATCAGAAATCAGTTCAAAAATTGGTAAACAACATTCTCCTCGAACCAATCCCATTCAAAACGTAAATGGTTACCATCGACTGATAAAAATCGCAATTTGCCGTTTTCGTCCATAGATCTGAGTCCCAAACGTTCCTATTGACACAAATTATTTTAAAACACATTTACGAACTAAATTCTTCCAACTTACGTCCTGATAAATATCGCTTTCCTGTAAACTTTCAACAACTTCACTCTGTCCGGGTTTATAAAACCCAAACCACTCGGAATCGACAGGTTGTACCATCGTATCCTTTTCAAACTTAATCATTACAAGATTTTCAAGTGTGTCAAGGCGATCAATGTAGTCCTGATTAATGGTCACTTCGTTATTGATATCTGCAAGAAAAGTGCTGGCGTTTTTATATTCCGCTTCGTGTAACGGATCATGCCAGTACGTAGCTTGTACCAAAAAGTCTTGTACCCATCTATGAATAACAAAAACATAGAATTCACATACGCCTACATGAAAATTTACCAGCAGAAACTAATTTAAACTGATTTAACCACTTACTCAATGTAAGCTGCATGAGTTAACAACTTCCGAATGTAATCACACAATGTATGATTCAACGAGCCGCATTGTGGTACGCCGTAGACGCCCTGATGTTGACCGCCGACCGAGATAAGGTTTTTCATTTTTATGTCAGGGCACCGCTGAACTAATGCGCGCCTTGAATAAATAATTATAATATAATATTATAGAACGTTTTAGTTTTTTTCTTAGTTGTCTTACAAAAATTGTCCGCCTTGTGAGAAACCAATAGCGTTGAATCCATTTTGAAGCAGCGGATCTTTCTTGACAAGATCACACGCCATTTCAATTTGTTTATCCGGATGCATAAAATATCCATTGGTAACGTCTTCGATCACATTGTTGCCGATTCTAAGCGAATGCACGTAAACTCCTGGCAATGATTCATTCAAACTCTTTGCAATCGAACCCAGACTGAATGAAAAACAACAACTGTCGCCTAAAGTTAAAAATTTTAGTTTTTATTTAGTTTAAACGTTAATTATTTCTTAACAATTACTTACCCATGCCATGCCACATAACAATCGGTGTGTATTCATCATTTTTAACACTTTTGCATTCTATGCCTGTTAAAGTTGCAAGAAATGCAATGAAAACAAACGCGAATCGTGCTGAATTGCGCGACTCCATGATGCACTGTATTATTATTGTACTGAACAATGTAGTATCGTTCACGGAGTTGAATTAAATGATTAAGCGCCCTCCCTAAGTAAGTTATTGTTGTCTGTTGATATTGAAGACGCGTACTTACAAAGGAAATCGGAATCGGAATGCTCAGCGAACGACGCCAACAACAAATTGTATCTATTAATATTTATCAGTACATACACTCAAGTAATTTGATCAGTACTTGCCTTGTACTTGACCCGCACACCATATTAGAGTAATAATATAAAATATCGTTCCAATCGTTGTTTCATCTCCGTTTACTTTGTTACTAATGCCGTTAGAAAAGTTGTTCATGGTCGTATGTTACACTTGACGATAGGCAACCCAATATACACATAAAATGTAATATTGAAAGGTTTGCTTTGTTTTTTAGAATTTTTATTGTATACGTTTATGTATTCCATATAAAATATGTATATTTGGTCAATTCTGATCTATATAAATACAAATGGCACTTTATGCAGTCATTCATATCATGTCGATTCGGTTGCAACTTATACCTAACTTATGTACAAATTACGCTGGACTAGAATGTGTCAGATACGAGTTGAGCCAGACGTTGGTAAAAATATCGCGTGGGATACACATTTCACTACATGATTTAGTCAACCGTCCGCTGTGTCTTTGATTGCGTTTAGTTTCCACGCCCTTGGCGCAGAGCCATCGCAACATTTCTTCTTCCACCGGACTGACCACGTCGCTCATATCCACTAAACCGCTCTTCTTTTCATCGAAGAGGAAGTGACTTATCGTCTGACTCTTGCGCATCCGGCTGGTACGTCGGTGCGCATTCGATTCGAACTCTATGATATCCTTCATTACATTTGGCAGGATTTTTATTGTGGGGATTTTTCGAGGTGTAAGAGAATTTGTGGTCGGTTGCTTCCGGGACTTTGGTAAATTATCACTGAAAATAAAAAAAATTGTCAGTGATAACAATACTTGGTGATTAATTACTTATAAATTACACAATGGTCATGCAGGATGACGCATTGCAAATACATTTTTGTAATCAAACCTGTTAAGATGAGATTAATTATAAATACTATTGTCTGTTAATGAATCACAACCCAAACAAACAACAATGTGTTTGATTTGTGATAGATAATTTGTATAATAAAACTCGCAACTTATTTTTGTAAAAAATACACAAACAATTCTAATATTATGATATTTTAGAAAATTATTGTTTTACAGTTCGTAATATTCGTGTAATAAACATTTTAACATAAAATTTACCGTTTTGGAACAAACATTTATTTTTGAAAAACCCAACAAATGAAAAATGGTAAACCAACATTTTAAAAATAAAATTATTTGAAAACTTTGATCAAATGCAATCCTAAATATTTTAATGCATACGTTTTCAACCTTTCTATTACGATAGACAAAACAATTACCCTGAAATTGCGTTGTGTTTGATAAACAAACTTTATAGAATTCCACGTGCGACACACGGAAATTTTGTGATTCTATAAAGTTCCTAATCGTCATGCGGATAACAATTTATTACATATTTTTCCATACCCAACACTATCGCAATTTTTTAAATCCTATTGTTCGAATAGAAATGGCCATGATGGACACATGCTTGCACACTTTATTTAATGCGGTGTTTAGGACAAATAAAAATATGACGCAATAAAGCAAACAAGCGCGAAGTTAGCGCGCGCGACTCGGCGTTTGTTGTTTGTGGCACACGCCGAGTACATGTGCACCGAGATCGTTTTATCGCGCGGTTCAGCTCACACACGATCCACGATGACGCTCGAATCGTTTAATAATGTCCACCAACACATTCCTACGCCAGTTACGTTTCGATTTCGTTCGTCCTTCGCGACTTTGTCAAGAATAGAAACTTCTACAACCAGCAACAACAAACAGCGTGCAAATTATACCACAAGAATTTGTTTATTTAATCTCCATCACGACAATGACTCGAGATATATTACATGATGACAATCCAACACTGACTAATTCAAAACAGAAATTATGCATGTCATTATCCAAAGTAAAATCTGAGTGTTTTATGGATATGAAAACAAAAATGTGAAAAAATGTGAAAACAGTATTTACCTTCGATTAGAAAGTAGCCTCTGGAAGAACAAGTGCACGACCCACATGGTGTGCAGCAGAATACTCTGCACCAAGTCCATGGTGCGCAACTTTTAGCCAAAAGTGCGTTGTATTTACGAGTGGCATTAGATCTCTTCGGAAAAAATACGTCAACAAAACGTACCGGTGAGTTTTCGCACACCGCTGCAGAAATCACATGTTCGCGCGCTGGTGGATGCACAAAAATTGCGTGCAAATCGCGCGCGATGAAGTTTTACTCGCAGCAACGAGCGCCTCGAGCGACGTCACCGATGACACCGAGGAAACTAACGCGATAATACGGTTTCTAATTGAATTAGGTGCGCGCTGGCGGTCGTTGTCGTTCGTCCGCGTTCGCATCGACAATATCTTGTTCTTGCAGAGCGCGCGTATTGCTTGTCGTCACGTTACGCACTGGAACGCTAATAGAACAAGCAGTGCGCTCGTACGCTCCGGAATTGTCCAATAAATTGGGTGGAGAGGTCTATTATTCACCGAGACGTCACAAAAAAACAACACACGTCTTTTAAAGCATAAAGAATCGTTTAGCATTAGTTAAAACTTTATAGATTGATCAATAGATTAATATATTCAATAAATTACGAATAGTTTTCATTGTTTTTACAACTACGATATATAAATTGATAAAATCATTTATAAAATATGTCAACCGCATGAGTGGACGTACACAACCGCAAGGTTTTGTTAATTTATTAGATCTGGTAATAAATTTCCTTCGGTAGAGTTGCTGTTGCTTGTACTACTCGCCGAATTAGGACTGACATCTCTTAAATTCAAGGTTGAAAGTAGGGTTAGATTGTCCATCATGTTATAATCAGGTTCTTCTTCTTCCTTTGAAACAAAATCATCTAAATCAGGTATTAGTGATGCGCTAGGTGTAGTTGGTATTTCATCAGTTGTAGCGTCGGTTGTTTCCAATACATCAACGCCATCTTGTACCTCGACGCCATTTTCTATCTCGTCTTCATATGGTTCCTATAATATTGACTAATTAGTATTTAATTGTGTTAAAACAATGATAAAACTTGCAGTTGTGATTGGTGTTGTTGATTTGTATTGAAACGCATTGTTGGACAAGTCAACCTCGACGGGGAAAAGCGCTGGACCATTAAGAAGTGTCAACAAGTTGCCGTGCAGGTCAGCAAAGCCTTGAATTAGTTTAGCCAAGTGTCCACCGAGTGATTGGACGTGTTTGTTGTCTAAAAGTTCCATTTTCACGAGCACGTCTGACCGTAAACGTGCAAACTTTGCACGAGCTGCTTGCCGACATCTTAGGATTAACCTAAAATGGCACCGTAATTCGTAATAATCTGTTTTGGGTCTGTAATTTTTAGGTAAAACTACCTGTACTCATAGTTTCCTGTCTCTACACGATAAAGAGACTCTTGGATCGCCGCATAACTGCATTCTTCATCGTCCATTTCTTTGACTTTCAGACAATACGCCAAGTACTCGAACTTGGCGTCAGCGTACTTCTTGACTGTAAGCCTCGTATCCGGTATGGCTTTGTATAGATAAGTGCCCATATCAGATAATACCTATCGATACAAACAAACTTTACAACTTTTGCAAGTTTTATGACATAATGGGGACATACTGGTTTGACAGCCTTCAACATCTCGTACTCCATTCGCTCCATATTCCGATGTTGCTCGGCAAACAAACGGAAGGCTTCCGAAGCTCGAGGCTGAGGTTCACGTACGGCTAATTCAGCGAAAACTTCTCCCATTTGTTTGACTGCCAAAGACATATCAAAGTGAGCTTTAAGCACACGTTCGCAGTGTTCTACGAGTCCTCTGTACATCAATTCAGTTTCTTGCAACTCTTGTAGTTTTTTGACTAAAGTGTCATTGCATAAAATTGCTCTGGATAGGCCCAGAGCATCTGCCGTTGAAGAACTCATGTTTTCCACTAATCTATGTTTTACTTTTTTTAGAACTATGTCTAAAGATTTGCCTTGTTGTGGATCTGCGTGGAGTTTATTATAATTAATAACTACTTCATCCTAAGTTATAAAATAAATTGTTTAAATTAGTAAACATTGGAACAAGAAAATTGATGTAAAATATACTTTCGCTGCTTGAATCATTTTTGCCACTTCCACCTTAGTTTTTCCTTTAACCGGTTGTCCGTTAACGGAAACCAACTCATCGCCAGACTGTAAAGTACCATCCTTTGCAGCAGCGGTGTTGTCAAATATTTGCACGATGTACAAACAAGGACAAAGCGGAGCGCCGCCGCCGATACTGATGCCGATCAGATTGTTTGCATCCTTTTTAATGGCCACCGTGCCGGATGTCACGGTCATACCCCTGAAAAGCGCCATTGTAAAAGCGGAAAACATTCCAGGATGCACAACTCGCAATATTAACATGGCCGTTTCACCAAGTAGAAAAATTACTTTAAGCATTACATCATAGGTGGCACTAGCGTACGGTTAACACTTTTTAAAAGTTTTAAAATGAAACGGCCAAGTAGGTCACAATAGCACTATGACATTTTGCTGTGTTGTGGTGACTTGTGATTATTGTGAGTGTGTACAAAATAAATATATTGATAATAATAAAGTGTAGCAGTGTGGATGTGACTTGAGTGTTCTTCGCTAAGTTGCACACCTAATCTACAACTTGTTTGAGGCACGTTCAACAATTGCAAATCTAAACAAACAATTGCTATTAGTCACACAACGATTGTGTCACTTTAATAATTAAACTAAAGCTGCTGCACACATAGTTCAAGTGAATTATTAAATCTTTTTTTTGTTGGTGCGCAAGCCGGTATTGTTTTGCATACAATGTAAAATTGCTTAGCCATCTATGCTTTAGTCTACAGTTAAAGAAATAAAACTAGCGCGTTGATTAAAGCAAATTGTGGTCGATCGCATCGACGCATGCTTCAAAAATCACTAGAGGGTATTTACAGCGCTAATTTCGACTAGAACACAACACACTCACATGGTGTTTTCTCTCATTATCGTACTCTGCGCTTCGAACAACAGGCACTCGGCTTGTTCCTCGTCGTCATCGATAACACCACACTCATCGTCAGTATTAGTGGTTTTAGCATCATTTGTTTGAACGCTTTCGACGCTAACGACGCTATCAATATTGTTTGCTGTCGGCGTCGTTGTCGTCGATTTGCGAGACGATTGCTCGCTCGGCTTTCTGCGCATAACATAACACTTTGTTGACACAAATCTAAGTGCACTCAATTTCCCTACGCGAATAATACTTATGTAAAAAAATCTTTGCGTGTTTCATAAATAATAATAAAACACAAATTACAGTCTATCCTCGGATGGGAACATGTATTCTTCAAACGGTGATCTTGCAAGTTGCACGTACATCACATAAAATGTAAGAAATAAAATAAACTAAAAGAAAACTGTGTATATTGACGCGATAGTGAAATTCAACTGGTTTGTTCAACTGTGAGCCCAGCAGGCCGGAAAATAGTTTATCGTTGTGGCGTCCAATTAAATGAAACTGAACAATTTGTATGCGATAAGCCGGGCGCCCACACGAGGTGCACATATGCCACCGAACAACAGGATCCACCGTGTTTTATGTTGTGCACTTCGAAATACAAACTCAACCAAACAAAGCGAACATAATAAAACACGTTCTGTATAATTTGGTTTCACGCCCTGAGTACAAATGAATGAGTTATTATGATTGCGAATCGGTATTGAATCATGTGTATGCAATGATATGATAATGATTAGTTGGTGTAACAATTAATATTAAAGGTGAACGTACAGCTTATCCTCTTCAAGGTAGTAATCGTCGTCGTAATCCCACATCATAATTGTTGATGTGCTATGCTTTATATTTATATTTTATTGTTTTTTTGTGTATAAACTACGTTTCAGACATTATCAGCTGGCCGGTTATGTTGCGTGCACGAGTATACTAGCTGTGAGATGATAACAGAGGGGGCGTCGCGACGCTGGTAAAGTATTGATTATATTTTCCTATTGCGACGGAAATTTAGCCGAGAGAATTTATGTTGAAACGGGTGTTGTAGTGCCATCTATGAAGGAATGCTAATAAGATTACAGCTTATCCGTTGCTTCGATGTTGTTGCTTCTTCGTTTTTTTTGAAAACTTAATATAAAAAACATCGTACATCTCGTGAACTTACTAATTCATTTCTAGTTTGCCAACGTCATATTTTAGCGTAGATGTTTCTTTATACCGTGCATACTTTTAAACTCCCTAAACCTTCGAGAAGAACTTTAAAATGCGCATAATTGCCAAATATATTATATTAAAGAGCTATTAATTTTTTTTTTCTTTCAGTGATTTATCTGAGTTATGGAGAAATGTGTTGCGCACATAAATAAACAGTCATTGATATCGTGTGAATTATGAGTGAATTACAAATGGGGATTTACAAAGTCAAAACCAAAAAAATCGTACTGGCAGAATATGATTTGTTTGTTTTTTACAATGCAGATGTGTTTATGGTGATTTCTAGATCATTTTAAGTTTTATATATAAACTGGATTGAACTAGTATTTATTCAGTGTAGTGTTGATTATATTGTTGATATATTTAATATTTAGATCAATGATTTACTAAAACACATATTGTAGTAAAAATATAGTTACATTTTGTCCTCCAATATTGTATAGTAGTCATAGTAATATCCATACATGAGTCTCAGTTCTGCCGGAGGAAGTGGCCACATGAAACCATTCATAAAATCAACGAATCTGCAACGGAAAATAAAGCGGTTATTTACATCATACTGCAGGACAACTACCTCTTGATAGTACAAGTCTGAACCTATAAACTTGAACTGCTTGTGTAATTTTATTCAGCATGGACGCTCTTGGGATTTTTTATTGTTTTTATTTTTCCAATCGCTTCGACGTAATTGGCAAAATAAAAACAAAACGGCCACTCGGCGAGGTCAACTGGATAAGAACGCCCCACGAACGGCTTGTTGCTGAGCCATTGCATTCAACCAACTCGCGCACAGTTGACGTACTGTTCCGCGCAATCAACTCGCAACATCCGCAGTTATCTCGCGACGATGCCACCAAAGTATACCTACGTGAAATTTCTTCTCGTTCAGTTCTATTTCCTGCTGAGTGCACATTTAGGTTGGGCTGCATACTCTATTCCTGAGTTAACTTTTGAAGCATTAACTCCTACCGGCTTAAGAGTATCCATACCAGGTATGAATAAATTAAAAGTTTAAAAACTTTATTTAGTTTAATAATTTCGGAATAATAATTTTAGATGAACCCGGAATTCGACTATTAGCATTCCACGGAAGAATCAATGCTGAATTAAGTGAAGGGCAACCAGGAGAATTGCACAAAGAAGTTAGGAAAGCAACCAATGGAAGATGGGTCTATGAAGACCCAGATGTCGTACTTCACGTTGGGGATACCATCGGATACTGGGTGTTTGTACAGTATAAGAACTTTGGATTTAGGAAAGATAATTTGATATGGCGTGTAGAAGGTGATTTACAATATATATTTAATAATAATTTATAATAAAATCTTTCATTTTAGAACTGGGCACAAAGAGCCGAACAGGAGAAACAAATTGTGAAAAATCGAAAACAATTGTAAATGGTAAAACTGTATGTAAAGATGATTTAATCTTCCTTGATAGTTTTGAAAGACTAGATCATGATAAGTGGATAGTTGAAAAATATATCCCACTTTCAGGACCTGTAAGTTTACATTTTAAATTTGGCTTGTATGAATTACAATTTTCTTTTGAGTTTTTACAGTTTTTGATGAAATTCACCTAAAAACAAAATATTTCAAAATGGAAATAATTAATTACATATTTGATAACACAGATAAAGATTAATAATAACAATTATTACTTACAGAATTTTGAGTTTAATTACTATTCACCGAATTCTGTTGCTGTGGAAGATTCTAAATTGAAAATATCACCAATACCAAAGAATAATGAAGCAGATATAAGAGGAACATTGGATTTAACATCAGGGTAACTACATACACTAAACTATTACTAGTCCTATTACTAATTATTTTTAATTCGTAGTTGTACAAGACCAAATAATTGTATTTTCCAACAACAAGGTCCTTGGTATCTGCCTCCTGTACAATCAGGCATGATCACATCAAAACTTACTTTTAAATATGGCCGGATTGAAATAGACGCTAAATTGCCATGTGGTGATTGGATATATCCAGGTTTAACTATAGTTTTCTAAGCATTAAATATCCAATTGTTTATAAAATGCTTTATTTTTAGAAATCAGTTTAATACCAAAAGCATACCAAGAAAATGCAAATAAATCGAAAATTGTCATAGCGTATTCACGAGGAAATACAGCGTTGCTTTCCGCCAACGGAGATGACATTGGAGGAAAACTATTATTTTCCGGATATTCATCGAAACCCGAGGAACCAGACCGTAGTAAATTTTTACGATCCACACGAAGTAATGAACCTTATTGTCGCAGAAAGCACAGATTTACTCTTATTTGGGGACCAGGTATTTACTATCAAATTAATTGTTTTAAAGTTTTATTTAATTTTTTTTGAATTTTAGATGAAATATTATCATATATTGATGGTGATTCGAATCCGTTTGGACGAATTGACATGCGGGATCATACCGACATAAGACATGAAGAAGTAAGTGATAATACTTAATAATAATACTAATTAATTGAATTAATAAATAAAATAAAATTTGTTGTTTTAGTGTTTTATTAGTTTGGGTGTGTCAGTTGGCGGAATCAACGACTTTCCAAATTATTACACATCCACCGGTGGGATTGTAAAACCGTGGAAAAACAAAGACATTCTTCAGTTGAAGGAATTTTTTGCAGCGCGAGATAAATGGCTTCTCACCTGGGCGTTGGGCAATTCTTTGGAAGTGGACACGGTGCGCGTTTACGCTGTGTAGTTTGTTAATATTGCCTGTTAATATTTATTCAGATGCTACTTGTTCACAAATATAATTTAATAAAATAAGCAGTTGACTTTCGTAATAAAATATCATACATTTTATAAACTATTAAAAACCTGTCCTATAAACAGGTAAATGCACGGATTGGGCCCTAAAGTCAAAAAAACCAGTTCCACTTTTGCTAAATCTTCTTCATTTGGGCTGAAACCACCGGCCAGAATGTTCAAAATTGTGTTTTTTCTCAGTTTCCTCAAATATTTTGTATTTATCAACGGACAATTACATTTACCTCATATTCATGTAGGATTATTAGGTAACTACATTTTAATTATAGTTTTTTAATGTTAAATCCTTGTAAATTACATGTTTAACTTCCAGAATCATCAAATCTTGGATTATTTCATCATCATGACGATGTTCATCATAAAAATAAAAAATTTCAAGTTACGCCGCTGTTCGAACCATTGTCTCCAAAAGGTTTTCGCGTATCTATTAGAGGTAAGATATTATTTAAGGCTCTATGAGCATTTATAGCTAATAATTTCATTATCACCATACAAATATAAACTATCTTGACCAAATTTCGGAAATTCCATTAATTTATGTTTTCGTTTAAATAATAATACGTTTCCATTCGACAAACTGCTAAACTCATCAAATATTGATGTAGATATACGTTCATTTAGTAGAATGTAAATGACCCAAAGCACTAAACAAACAAAACAAACAAGTCAAACGATGAAGGTTCACTTAATCTGAATACGAACACAATATGCGTACGCCAAAACCAGTTCGATAGAGTATAAAACCAGACGTATAAAAACAACAGTCTCGCGGCTCGTGCAAACCACCGCACGGCAGTATCATGTCGTTGATGTAGTTAATCGGACGTTGGAGACTGTAAAAACCCATATTAGCGACACAACATCAATCAACATGCAGCAATATCTCATTTGTGTGATATTCGTTGCCTGTTTGGCGGGAGGTCATGGACAATTTGAAGTTCCGCAAGCCCTTTTTAAACCAATGTCACCGCAAGGGTTTCAAGTATCAATTCCAGGTATATTTATTTAAAAATATAAAATAAGAAAATTAATAGATTCTTTTAATCATTTAAAACCTCATGGTTAATTTAATTGGCAATAAAATTAACATTTGTCTGCGTGACAAAATTTTCTAGAGAAAACACGATTCGGTTTATTCGGTTTCCAAGGAAGACAAAACACACACCAAAACACACGATTTGATCACACAAAAACACGGCAAGCAGATGAACCAGAAGCATTCACAGTACCACCAGCACTAATTGAACCACTATCGCCGAAAGGCTTTCGCGTTTCTATACCTGGTAATCCCAACATTACAAAAACACATAAATTGCCTTTGAACATGTTTACACGTACACTTCAACAACTTTTATATAACTAAATAATGATTTCTATGTGTGTGTATGTTAATTAGATGTAATTATGTGTTAATTTGCTTAGATCAACCCGGAATCAAACTGTTTGCCTTTCATGGTAAGCTCAATGAAGAAATGAATGGCCGTGAAGGTGGTACATATTCGCGTGACATTATCAAGGCTAAAGATGGCCGCTGGACATTTATTGACAAAACGACACGATTGCGTCCAGGCGATGTAATCTACTACTGGACTTACGTGGATTACTTTGATGGCGAACGCAAGTTAGGATATGTGAATGATGATCAAAGCTATACCGTCACAGAGTTGATTCCGGACAAAACTGTGACCACCACAACGGCACGCACGACCACAACCAAAGCTCCGATAAACAATCCCAGTTGTCTTCCTACTGCGACTAAAGTCAATGGCAAAAAGTCCTGTTCTGGTAAAGTAATATTCCAAGAGAAGTTTAACAATAATTTTATGGCAAGAGGAATTGATAAATGGACCATTGAATGCCAGTTTGCTGGTAGTCCTGACTATGAATTTGTGCTTTATAATAACGATGAAAGAAACATTTACGTAAAGAAGAATCTGCTTCATATTCAACCGTCGCTGACCAATGATAGATTCGGGACAAATTTTGTTGATTCTGGGGAAGGCCTTGACCTTGGCACAAAGTATGATAACATTAATTGAATGCAAATATAATTTACTAATTGTTATCTGTTTCCTAGCTGTACGGGTACTCCGGGAACTCTTCATTGTGAACAGAAACCTCTGGGTTTTGTGATTCTACCACCAGTGTTATCAGCACGCATGAATACAAAAGACGCATTTTCTTTTGCGTATGGAATAATTGAAGTGCGTGCTAAGTTGCCAAAGGGTGACTGGATCTACCCGCAAATCTTTCTGAATCCAAAGAAACGTGAATACGGACGTGGTTATGAATCAGGACAAATTCGAATTGCTTTCCTTCCGGGTAACAGTCACAAAAGCACAAAGTTGTATGGCGGTGTTATTCTGGGTTCAAGTTTGGGTGGACGGTCTTACGCTATGAAGAGTGTTGATGCTCCGACTGGATCATGGTCTGATGACTTCCATGATTTTACTGTCAAGTGGGAACCGGAGAAGATTACTCTCATGGTGGATCATGAGGTCTATGGTACAATCACACCCGAAGAGGGAGGTTTTGCATCATTGGAAAAGGAATTAGGACTTACTGGAGCAAGCAGATGGAACAGTGGAACAGTATTTGCTCCTTTTGACCAAGAAGTAAGTGTTAAATGTATATAAATAAAGTTAATGTACAAAATATGATATATTGATGTTTCTAGATGTATATTTCAATTGGTGTTGGCGTTGGTGGGCATACATTCCCCGATGAACCTACTAAACCCTGGGTAAACAACGATCCCAAGAGTCAGAAAGTGTTCTATCGGGCATTGAGCACTTGGTATCCAACATGGAATAAAGATAGTGTGTTGCAAGTTGATTCTATTCAAGTGTATGCTCTGTAAACGTAACTTAGATTAAGATTTTATGTTTTATATATTTGTACCAAATTGATCTGATTTTTATAATTATACCTATATTATGCTTATCTAATGATATATAAAATTATTTCTTATCTCGTTACACAAATAGTATGAAAGCTGCAAAAGGGCAAAGTTTAAATCGTCATTACCATTAAACAACTGTTGCTGCTGCAACTGTTAAACAACGTATTGAGAACATGACTTCAATTCTTAATAACGTTAAAGTGTTTGCACTTTTCTACATTTACTTATTTACCAATTTAGTCAACACAAAAGAAACAGAAAGCAATAAATGCATAAGATCAGGAACAAGTTATAACGGTGAAATGGTTTGTCAAGGTGCTTTGATAGTCCAAGAGTTATTTTATGACTTGAACCAGAGCGTGTGGACAATTGAAAAATACATTCCCCAAGAACCGGTAAGGGCAAACAGAATTACTGTTTTAACCTTTTATTGTACGGAATTAATTTCAGAACTTCGAGTTTAATTATTATTCATCTGATAGTGTCTATATCCATGGAGGCTCTACATTAAGAATTACACCAGTGTCCATTGATTTCAACGAAGACGTCAAAGGGACACTGAATTTAACAAAAGGGTAGCATTTTTTAGCTTTAACTGCTTTATAACGAAATTACTGAGCTATATCTGTATTTTAGTTGCACACGTTCTGATCCAAATGAATGTTTTTATGAACACATGGGAGCTCAGCTTTTGCCATCTGTTAAATCCGGAAAAATTACCTCAAAATTCACATTCAAATATGGGCATGTTTTGATAGAAGCAAAGCTTCCGTGTGGGGACTGGATTGTACCAGGTTTGAGCAGTTTTACAATAAACTATTATTTGTATTACTATTTAACTTGTATTTGTAGAAATTAGTCTCACACCAACGAACCATCATCTAACACCGAACAACTCAAAAATTATAATTGCATACTCGCGTGGAAATGCGAATTTGCGTTCTGTAAATAGTAAAGACATTGGAGGGACCCTTCTATTTGCTGGATTTTATTCGAATGTTAGTGAACCTATAGTGCCTGGAGGCAATGCCAACTTAGGATATAAACGAAATGTTGAATCGTTTTGTCGTAAAAAACACTATTTTAAATTGGAGTGGAAGCCAGGTATTAAAACTTTAACTTGATTAATTTATATTTATAAATACAGGAAAATTACAGACTCCATATTGGCATTTGTTGATGATGAAAGCGTGCCGTTTGCACACATAGATATGCGAGGACAAACCGAAGACGCAGAAGTATAAATAAATAAATTTTGATTATTTCGTTAAATATCACTAATGTAATTGTTTTAGTATTATATTTCATTGGGTGTGTCAGTTGGCGGAATCAATGACTTCCCTGATAACTACGTATATAGTAATGATTACAAGAAACCATGGAAGAATAAGGACGTCCTTCAAAAGAAATCTTTTTACACATCGCGGAATACTTGGAGATCCACTTGGTCACAGAAGAATTCTTTGGAAGTGAAAATGGTACGCGTGTATGCTTTGTAAACCATTGGATTTATTAATCATGAAGAAGTGAGGAATAAGTGTAGGAGTTTAAGGTCATTTTCAGATTGTTGCTTGAAATATCCAACACAGATAATTTTGTTTAAAAATATTTTTTCAGTGTTTTTGAATTAGATAACCCTTGTAATCTATGATAACCTAAATTGTATTTTTTATCGTCATCTACATTTACTTGAAAATATAATTTACAAAAGCAAAAGTAAGCAAAAGAAATTAAATAAAAAAATCTACATGAAAAAGCAAGTAGAAGTGGGAGCTAGACGTCCCTAAAAGGCTACTCGAACAAAAAATCGAAAAACCTAGGGCCGCGGGAAACCCTTTTTTTATACCTGCGAAGAACCCGCTAAAAGTAGTGGAGAAAGATGCAGAAGATCCGAGTAGCAAATACCTGTGAGTCAAAGAGTAAGAAGCATTTGAGTCAGCCAACTGTTGACAAGAAGACCTGTGCTTAATTTCACTCCATTGTTAATATACACGCAAGAAATTCCCTCTTATATTTAATACTACCACTTTTTTTTTTAAATTAATGTAACACAATACGTCATAATTATTTAAAAAAGAAATAAAATTGAATACAAAACACTTACATTTTCTGAATCTATTACCAAAACTATTTCACTAAGATATTTCAATAAAATAACACATGCACTGACATTTCAATAAAAATAACGTCAGATAATAACATGAGTTACTTCAACACGTTAATAAATCTAAGTACAGCATTGATTTTTGCTCAAGTATTCCAGATTATTCTAACATGTTTGCTTGCATTTGCCTTTACTCATTTCATGACGATCCTCCATTGCAGCGTACCTACAACTTCCGGTCTCCTTGCTGGATTTATCACGCTTCCAACAGTCGTCCAATTAAAAACAGCCCAGATGTGTGCAACTATATCAACTATCTGCTCAATTACCAATAACAATTCTTTTGATTGCAGTAAAATGCAAACGTATAAAACAATGAGTTTTACCATTTGGTATAAACGTCTAGCAATATGCACATGTACAATTCTACAGAGTGTTTCCTTTTCACTTGCACTGGTAAATTTATTTGCTGCTAAAAGCTGTAAGGATACGTTTATGGAGATTATGCATGATTATGGCAACAAACAAAGTGCAAAAAGCATTGTTGATAATGTACAATGGTTTATACAATGTTGCGGTGCTGCTGGTTATAAGGATTGGTACGAGATTAACTGGGGAAACTTTATCGTTGACCTATTTCATCCCAAAAAGTAAACGTAATATATTTATAATACTCATTATAAATCAAACAATGACATTGGAATTTAATGCAGAAAGAAAGCAATTGAACAATTGTTAATCAGCGACACAGATGATTATCCTGATTTGGCGGCGATGCGTAATGATGCTGTGCCATTTTCCTGCTGTGCGGAAGTTGCATCAAGCGGGTGCATCCATCAAAATATTGAACAATTTGGAACCTACACGATTAACTCCCAAGGTTGTGGACACCAATTAGATTTAATAAACTGTACAGTTCTTGTTATGGAATTAATTATTTACACTATTGGGTTGGTAATTGAGGTTAAGTGTTATTTATTTTATTTTCTTCATTCCTTCATCATATATATAAATATTGTTTGTAGGTGATGATGTTGTATTATTTATTTAAATCCCATCACACATTGGATAAGAATTACGTGCGATATGAAAAAATACCAACTACGATCCGGTTGAAAAAGTTTCACAGCACTGAAAAGAAAGAATTCAGCAAGTTTTTGAATGACAACTCATCCGGTGCTGAAATTTAATTTATTCGGGAATGGAGAGATTTGATTAACACAAACATATTTAACTAAAGATGGCTATAAAAATATATTCTCAATTTTAAATATACTTTAGGTGTGTCTGTTCTAGAAACTAATTAATGCATATTTGTACAGAAACTTAGCAGCTAAAGTCGAATATATTAACGTAAACTTGGCAACAAATTGCAGGCCGCAGTATATGGCAGTATAGCTGTCACCTTCGCGTGTTAATAAGTATGATATGGCAGTCGTTCGTATAAACAAATTATGGTTCGATAACTTCGAGGATATTCGCATGGGTAATACTGTTTGTCGGCGAGGCAGAGTTCTTAGATGTTGACGCCTTGCTTGAGCTCCAAGAACTGGAAAGGCACGTGTAGTGTGCGATGTTTGTGCTCGACGACCAAATGCCCACGACGATGCGAAGCACCCACGACGAGAACGGTCTCACCTTTGAGAAGAACCGGCCCTTCACTGTTGACATCTTCAGGGAAGGACATCTTCATCATGCGCGTTTGTGGATAGCCCAGTTTTGTATTTCCGGCGACAGTGTATGAGCGACTTGGTGGTACCGGCGGTGGACGTTCTAAATCTAAACCGAAAAGATTGCACGTTTGTTGGATGATTTTCTGATCGCATTTTTCATTCGGGTCTGGTGGTGGTGTACCCGCAATGGGTTGAGGACGTGGGCGTGCTGTTGCACCCGTTGTACGATTGCTGGTATTAGTGTTGGTTATATTTGCGTTTGCCTTGGGAGTATTGGCAATAATCACTGGTTTCTCCCGACGGACATTGGCCCATCTGTAACGGCATCGCCAACCTCTCCAGGTTGCTTGGATTAGAGTCGCCGATTTTTGGCGTTTGTCAGTGCGTAAATTTTCCAAATGTTGACGAATGCCTTCGCTGAGGAATACGTGACGTTTTCCTAAAGCCCAACTGGTAGATACTGATGGGTTATGATGTTTTGAAATCAAATCGACCACGTACTGAAGTATCAAATGACAATCTTCAGTAAACTTCTCCTCGGTTCGATGCAGGCGTGTAAAAGGAGCCAGCAATCTATATCTTGAGTTAAATGCTTTGAAACGCATCCTGTGTGGATAACCACCAGCCATCAAATTCACAGTTTCCAAAACTTGCAACGACCGTATTTGAGCCACCACTGTGCCCCGATCAAAGCGATTGGGTGTCTCCTGCGAATTACTGCGAATGCAACGCACGAAATGAGGTCGAGCGTGCACGAGAGTACGGAGTAGATTATCAAGTCTTGTGTGGAAGTCTTGTGTCAGCGTTGAAACGGGTTCATCGCCATTGAGCAAATCGGTGTGTGACGTCGGCGAGATTCTGAAACTCACACCGCGCGGCACTTTATCCACCGAGTAAAGCGCCTTTAATTCGCTGCCGAACAAATGAGTAGCAAAACCAAAGTTGCAGTTGTGTTTGTAAAACACTGCCACCAAATCATCGGGTACCACATCTTTATTGGTATCCAGGAAATCCGAAGCGTCATAAACCACTCTTCCTGCAAAATGTTGTATGCCAAACAGACGCGGCTCAACAGATTTCGGCTCAAATAAACGTGTATTATTTTTATGTTGAACTTTAATTTTAGCCACATAGGATTCAGCTGTACCGCGAATAGAACATTCCACATCCAACATACTGAGGAGACCTGTTCTTAACGATGAAATCAAATCAATACAAGGCACATTATCAACATAGTCAACCTCAACATCGCAGCTTATTCCTTCATCTCGACATGATTCAATGCTTGATTTGAAAATATGCGTGTTGTAGAAATGCTGCATGGTTTCAGCACAAAGATTAATACACAAATGCTCCAACTGGCTGGGTTGCGGATCTTCAAACCCAAACATATCCAAAATACCAATGAAACCATCTGTTGCATGACGCACCGCATTGTTCAATGCAGCCATTGATTTACTACCAGCATTGGTCGAACCACCAATAGTTGAAGCATGTTGGCTGGTCACCTCAGCTTGATTATGCACTGATTCATTTGAATCTGAACTCAAAGTACCCAAAGTAGAACCCAATCTCTTTAGGCTATTCGCTCTGCGAACTATGGTTGCAACAGTTCGACAGTACAACGCCTTGGCAAGACAATCCCTAGTCATATTGGACATATTGGCATCACACACAGATTTCACCAGCTGACCTCTAGCATTATGTGTGCGATATGTCAAACCCCTGAAGAGAGAAGCACCCGAAACGCCGAGTAAACCAGCAACGGCGTTCAATTCAGCATCACCATTAACATCCACCTCTAAACCTTTCCCATCCTTAAATTGTACGTTTCCCAATAGAAGCACCGCCGCCAATACTCGCACTACATCTAGGAATGGAATACCCAACACGCCCAAGCATTGCTTCCACGCTTGGAACCTATTGGAATCCTCAGTCATATCCTGTCTGGTGTCACCACTCTGCAGGTATCTCAGATTAGACGGGGAGAAACCGTCCAGGTTAAGTTTAGTACGTTCTTCACTCGACAGCCCGGCAAGCATCTGGTAAAATATGTGGTAGTTCTTCTCGCCTTTGAGCGGTTCTATAACACGAGTCTGATCCAGAAAGTAGCAGTGTATCTTGGTTCGATACAAAGCTCCATCGGTGACCTGCACTTCGATGAATTGTCCAATACGGCTGGATTCTGAATTGGTAGCTGTTTTGGCGGATCCAAGCGATCGGAGTACGGTAAACGCTGCTGCGAGGTGTTTGAATGCGTCGGTTTCTGGCCCGCCACCAGCAACGGCAAACAGTTGACGGAGCAATAACATGGAGGCATGACTTTTCCCGGAACCACTAGTACCTATAAAATATATCAAAATATTTAATCTTAAATCACAAATTAAGCTTTCTATTAAAACATACCCGATAGAATGATAGCTTGTGGATAACCAGTCTCAGATTGTTGACGTACTGCTTCCTGGACAACTTTGTTCAGTTGGTTGCTAAGAGGTAAACCTCGAGTGCTACTCAAAGTCAGTGGATTACCCACATCTCGATAGGGATTAACGCAAAGTAGAATTGGACCAACATTTGTCTAAAATTGAAAGTTAATAAATTATTTTTATTATTTTCTGGGAAGTTTTAAGACTTACATAAAAATTGGAAGCCCTAAAACGAGTCTGCAGACATTTCATGACTGCATCCTCAGTCAGAGGTCCTTCGAGATGAATCAGATCTTCAAGATTAGCACCACCAGAAGGGGTAACAGCAGTAGTGCTGGAAGTCTTTGACTCGGTTTTCAATGTGGCCGCAGTAACGGCGCATGGTGCCACTTTGGGTGGCACCACAGGCTGCGGTGTTGGGGCCGGCGTAGGACATGGTACCGCCGTCCCAGCATTCTTTATCGGTGCCGGCGTACCTTGAACATGCAGCCGATTACGTAGTGTGACCAATTCGGTACTGAGACTACGCAGTCTCTGCTGCAAGTGCACCGCTTCATTAGACGAAGATGCATCTGAAAAAGAAGATTTTATAAGCAAAAAATTCAAATCTCATTACATTACAAAATAATGAGACATTAATTAGCATCTAATACCACACAATTACACGGTGGATTAACGGAATAATAGAAAATGGTAATTTTCTTTTAATATATATCACCTAGGGGCTTGCACAAGGCATGAGTGCAAAGGTAATGTCCAAATAAAAATTGAACTCAAGTTAAGTTGAATACCAAAGGCGCACAATAGACACAATAGCGCGAGAAGAGAACGGCGCATGAGAAGCTTTTCAGTGACCTGGGCTGGCGTCTCTCCGGTAACATCTCCATCCTCGTCCTTTGCGCTGAGAGCAAAGCGCACCATTGACGATGGGTGTTCCTCGAACGCGCGCTGCCCAAGCACTTACCTATTCTTGTTCTCTTCTATGTTACCTTACTCGCGCGGCGCGAGCTCGCATCGCGAGTGCATGTGTGAGTGTGAACAAAAACTCGTTTCACGTACATATCAACAAGAGGTAGTGACATCGAGTCAGCAGTAAACTACCCAACAGTACATGCAATTATAAAATTTACATCAAGAAATTAAATTAATTTTCCCTAAGCGAACGCAGTCATAACGCAGAGAGAAAAAAAGAAAAAAACGACTTGTTGACATAGTAAAGGACACGCGCGATGACAGCGACAAAGCCAATCCTGTGAAGTCATGTAGAAAAGTTCCGCGTTGTTGAAACTGCTTTAGATCTCGCGGTTTGCGGCTTGTTGCGCAATGTTCAAAGAGCCTTTTCATGCATCCCCGCTCAGAGAAAGTAATTGTGGTGCAACGGCGCGTATTTTTCATTTCTTTTCGATATGATTTTGAAAAACAATTTAACGGTGCTCAACTCTACTCAACGCACACACACCTTGGAGTTTCTTTTCAGTCTCCCAGAACTTTTGCAGTTCCGTGAAGTACTTGTCCAATATGAACACCTTGGAGAGCCCTAGCGTAGCCATCTTGGGTCAGGCCTCGAACGAGCTTTCGGCCATATTCCAGACATATCACACACGCATGTAAGCACCGTACACACGCAACGCACACTTAAGTAGCCAGCGCAGCGCCAAGGCTACGCACACCTGAGGAGATGCACACCGAAGAAGTCTCACACATCCACACACACACACTGAGGCACCCGCGCGCGCGTACACACGTCTTCCGATGGAAAGCGTAATATTCTCGAGCACTCTTGGGCACTCTGGCATGAGAACCGACGGCCGACTAAACGCGTTTCTTCGGCGCGGGCTCTACCTGCCGCTGGGAAAGAAGGCTTCTCCCCGCTCACCTGGTTTATACACCTGTGTATACGGACAGACACAACCAGGCGCAAGAGAACTCCGAGCCGAGGTGAGCCGCCACAGAAACTGCTTTTCATTTATTATATGCATACACATTTAAATAGACAACCGAGATTCGAAACAATTGAGGCTCTTGAAACTTGTACGAAGATTTCAATCGACCTGCAGCGATTTTAGCTGTCGAATCGGGCTTAAGTCAGGTCGATTTACCTAAGCCACTGATTTCATACGAGACAATCGTAAATCTAACAATGATCCTAGACTCGTTTCCGTGTTTAATCTTTCGTAACACTTGTAAAAGTACTTAAGTCATAACAATACTACGACTTAAATTGCACAAGTGCAATTTCTCTTGAAGCCTGTTCAACATGTGTTATTAAATCAATAATTAAGCCTACGGAAGAGGACATATAATATCCACTAATTGATACTTAAGCACAGGATATACAAAGTTGAAGTTTTCGACAATTATAGAAGATGACTTGAGTTGTTGATGAGTGTCACGTGTTGTAATGTTTAATGTTTTAGTTTTTCTGGTTCAAGTGATGTTGAAACATCCTATTATCCTCTGTTTATAGTGGCTAGAAGTTAGAAGTCCGATGAAATATGTCGTGTGGTCGGTTGTGATGTTGGACGACTATAAAAATTACGAGACGTGTTCGGGCGCACGCTTCTTCTCGCCGCTCTCGTATTCTTCGGCGGTCGCGCGCACAAGCCGCTCTCCGGCTGGGCGCGAGATGCTGCGACGCGGCTTTCATAGGTCATTGCCTGCTACCTGCTACCTGTCCCAGCTTTTTCTCTCCATCGGCGGCATGCATTATTTCTAATGTAGGTCGCCAAATTAAATAGAATCCGGCTGAAATTTCGTCGCATGCGTTCGTGGCGCGCGATTAATGTGATATTAAAAACTCGTCCGTCGCAAACATGATCATTCCAAATGGTCAAGTCGTTTCTAATGATTTGGAGATGCATGCAGTCGTGTAGGACGTTGACGGATCGCCCGAATCGTAATATCGGCTTAATGATAGTATTTTTGTCTTTTCAGGACGATGCGGCCGGTTCGATCTTCGAATGTAAGTAAGCGCCGGAGGTGATTTTCGAGAAACAAGAAGCCGAAACGAGCCAACTAAGTGAGTTTGAAATAACTGTTTAATAGCACGTTTCGTGCGTAATTCTAGCATCGAGAGATTTTTCGGAGCGAGGCATGTATGTAAAAATCCAGTCACAAATTAATGCAAAACTAATTTATATCAGCGATATCTCAAACAATAAAAAACGGGTCGAAATGTTTTGAATTTTAAATTAACTGCTATTTTGCTGCTGAGTACATAATATTACTCAGAAATTGCAGACAAAGTTGCCATCTATCAACGAATGGACGAGATTCTGAATTAAATTCCTTGAATGTTTCTTTTTGAATCTGCGTTAGTCTTTTTATTGCTCAAACCGGTTGAAGTAAAGGCAAAGCAAGTTGTAGAGTTTCATTGCCTTTATAATCTAGGCAACTATCAAGTCGCTTGTGTAAACTTGGTTGCCTAGTATAAACCCCACAATAATAATTTTTAAGCCCAGTAAATTTTTAGAATAATTTGATTGCCGGGCTATTTCTGTATGTTTCCTTTAATGCAAACTTAACAACTGTGAATGCGACAACTAATTATTCCTCAACCTTTTCAACAAAAGGATTTCCTTTTAAGGAATTTTCGTCTCTTACTTTCCCACATGAAACAAAAACTAATCGCCATTAACTTTACTGCTTCAGTGGCATTCGTTTATGAAGAACGGCTTAAAAAATATGCGCGCAGCATATTTCATAGCTGAGACCCAAGTTTGTGCAAGTCTAGCAAACGTCGCAACGTTTTATAAGATTTAACGTTCGGCTGCGTTTTATAGCGTTTACTTCAAGAACTCTTTACGGATGACAGCTTGAATGCGTGGTGAATATTTCATTAAAAGCGAATTACCATCAAAGGAAGCGTAACATTTTTCAATTAATTGATGAAAGTGACATAAAAAACATAATTTCGCTGCTGGTAGCGTTGTTGTTCTGCCTGCATCTTAAGTTACTTTTATTTTACCCTGTTTCTAATATATAACAAAAGCTCGCGTATCCACTTTCAACTATTGTCGCGCATTGCCCAGTTGGCAAAATATTTACGAGCGAATAAAACCGAGCAACAACCATGCTGTCCAGGCGTAGGTTTCCATGCGCCATTAGAGATACCTTTTAGCGTAATATTAACACTTTCGATGTCACCACAAAAAGCGAGATTGTAACGCAAACGCGAGTTAAATTAAATACCATCACCACTCAAGAGTCGAGTAGCGTAAAGGACGGGCATTGTTGGATATTTTTCTCGTCGCGAGTCGCGAGAATCCCGAGATTCCTTCAGCGCGCGCGTCTTGTCCGCCAGTGAACAAGTTTCGCTAAGAGCGTCTTAAATCAAACAGCTGAGCGGCGGCGCGCACGAAACACGGGAGCAAAACGCCAATGCACGCGCCACGTGATGCTCTTTAATGATTGCGGTATTGTTGTTGTGTGTTCGGTGTGCGCAACAAGTACCTACGCTTCAATTTGAAATTCCGAATTCCCTGCGAAGTGGCGGCGGCAACTTATTGACAGGCAGCAACCACAACATTTCGACACGACCAACATTACATTGTTAGCAAAGCTCGCAGCTTATTAAACTGGGTGAATCAACAACAATTTCAAACATTCGATAAATAACCTCCACCTAACGCAATAACAGTAATTAAATTCAAATTGCTCCACATTAAAATTATATCACATACAAATTATATTTATATTTTATGCTTCGTGAAAAAAAGTAAATAATAATAATTTTTATGTTTGGGCGGACAGTGGATAACTCAAATGAAATTTTTTACGTTTCACAATTTGTTGTGATTGGAACAAAATGATATAAAATTATAAGGACTTATTAGAACGCCGTGCGTGCACGTGAAAAGATCGAAAGGAATTGAAGACGGTTTAGCGGTCATCAATTATGACACTAACGACATGCTCTTAGACGCATTTAGTTATTATAATGAGGTACCTCTTGGCGCGTATCTAAGCCGAGCTGAGCTTGTTGTGGTCCAGCTTGTAATAGGTAATTTCTGCGCTTACAGTGTATACTGTTGTCTGCAGCAGCAACATGCATACTGGGCGATCGCGGATTTTTCCCCAAGCAACCACAACACGTAAATTATGACCATCTTAACGGAATCCACCCCTGGAGTGGAATAAATACCGGCAAGACAGAGTACGCTATGCAAAACTCAGCGGGCAGATTCCAGAGCGACGTGGAACATTTGAATATATAACCGAATCAAAAAACAAGTAGCCGTGGCGTGCGGCGAGCAGCAAGAATGTCGCATGTCACAGGCACATAACTGAAGAAAAGTCCGCGGCGCACTCGAATGCAGATGCGCCAGCCGGCGTGCGAATCTCTCTTACAACCAGCTCCGGCTGCTGGTAACAATGATAAGCAGTGTTGCTGAACATGAAACAAGGATGACTGCGTGCGCATACATATTGAATTCATTACCTGGAGCAATTGTTGTCGTAAAAAAATTAGTGTGATATGATTTAGTCATTGAAGAAAATATTGTGCTTGTTGAATTTGTTCGGCGACGCGTTGAAACCGGTAGCGCAATGTGGCGCAATGTTTACATGCGTTTGCTTGATTAACGAGCCCATTCATTCATTCCGAGCGCGGCGTGGACGGCCTTCTTTTTGTTTTCGTTTCCTGACTCCTTATACAATGCGACGTCAATTAGAATCAATTAGACAATTAGCTAGCGATTTAAATTGGAGCCTAAATTAGGAAATCGCATAAAACGGTTTGTTACGACTGGTCGTAAGCGGTGGAATCGAGTGTTCGTGTTTGCCATTCGTTTGTTGCTTTGTCCATTAATGGTATTATCGTGTGGAACTTAATTTTCCCATGTTGCTGACGCCTCGGTGGAATCGGTTGAATCTTATTCGCGTTTGCGAACATCTTCACATAAAACTGAAAGCACCATAACTTTTGGGCGATTGAGACAATTTGCACCAACTTTGTGTTAATTCCACGCTCGTTCACGGTACAAATATGGCCGGAAATTAAAATTCCAGCATGCGATAAAGCCAAATATTTTGTTAAACTATTTTATTTCTTCATTGCATCGTTGAGACTGCTGTGTACGATTCGTTTTTAATGATCATATAATGATCTCGAGAGCCTTCCGAGGACGGACGAGTGGACAATAAATCATCGCGACTGGAAAATTATTCGTTTCCGAAAAAAATTAAGCTCGATGCAATTTCACGCAGAAACAAAGAGCCAATTACGTTTCAGCGATTGCCATAAAAGTAATGTGAAGAAAATTGTTAATTTACGTAAAAGTAAACACCATAACAAGAAAATTACTGGTATAAAGTAAAATATTTATATAATATAATAATTTATATCTAATAATCAATCATAAAAAGTAAGTAAGGTTATGTTTGACAGCTACTACACGACTAATTTCAAAAAGCAAAACCAAGAAAAGTACTGAATCAAATTTAGTTTAAAATCAATATAAGACAATATTTATTGATGGGGAATTGCGCAGTACGCCGTATACATGGCAAAATTCCTGAAAAATGCGCCCCCATTGTTTATGCGGTTGCGTTTGATCGTACGCGACAAGACTAGCGATCAACAGATAACCACCATGATCTTCCATAATGCGTCCGGAACGAAGATTGCATTCAATTTTAAGTCGCAGTATCGGGAACGCTGCGCGCACGCCGGCGATATTTCCAATAACAGCACAAATTGTAATAATTCACGTCACTGACAAGCACATTCATTACGCTAGATCGCCCGGCGATCGGTAAAGCGCTTCAATCGAAAACTAATTTGCTTTAATAATGCTTTTTAATAAAGTTTTCTATTTATAAGCGGCCGCGTACGGCGCGCACGGCGGTGCCCATTGTGGTTGCGACTTTGTAAACCGTTCGTTTTGTGCGGATAAATACTCGCCCAGCGTTGGTTAAGCGCTGCGAAAGGTGAAGTTCACGTTAAAGCCTGGCTAAGCCCGCGCCAGAGAGTGGAGATATCTACGAGGCAGCCAATTTATTTATGCTCAATTATGTTGGCGGTCTCAAAAAGTACCTACCTAACTACAAATGTAAGTACAAATCTATGAGGAAACGCGGCGCGAGCGCATGGAATTCGTGATTTCGCGCGGATTATGCAATTTCATGAAGACGCCACAGCGTAACGTGGAGTTAACTCGGCGTGTCATTGTTGAACTCGCGTGTGTCACATATATTCACTCGCGTGAGCCACCAGCGCGTCGCCGGGGCGGCTTCGAACATTACTCACCGGGCGAATTGGACGTGGAATTACCGCTGCGGCTGCGACTGCGGCTCGAGGAGCTGTTGCCGGCGCTGTTGGCGTCGAAGTGCGACCTGGAGGCGGCTTCTATGACCTGCCCGAGTCGCTTTTGCAGAGCTTCCTTTTCGCGATATCTGCAAAACACACAGAAATTAAACTTAGTTAAGGGGTAAGTGTATTTTGAAGTTACTCCACACTAAAACAGAATGTCATAGAGGGCGCTGATGCAAAATGACAGAACATTTATCGCTAGTTTAGCATCATAGCTAAACATAACCCCAAATATTTTATTGCCCATTCAACTCCATGCTTTCAATTAACTCGGTACGATCTAATCAATATATCATTTTGTTGCCTATGCATGATGCATGACTAAAAGCCATTTCCGTAATAATTGTTGCGCAATTAAATTAAGCAAACTCAAGCGTCGCGGCAAACTTCTTCATCCGCTCAATGGGTGTTAAAAGATAATTGCAATCTGCGCATGTTTTTTTTTCTGAATTTTATGCGCATGCACCATGATATTATGATGTAGAGCAACTCACCGACAGAAAAACTCCGGCCGTATGCGATGCCGGGCGAGAAAATCGTCATACGCCCGCAGCACGGCGAGCAGGTGTCCCGCGGCGACCGCGCGCTTCTCGTACGTCTCGTCCGGCAACAGCATCGCGGCGGCATCTTCAACGGCCCGCCGACGATTACCACATTAGCACGTTGTACGAGTGTAATTTTCTAGGTCCCGCTCATCTGAAACAGTTGAATTGCCAATAAACAGGATAATATTCGATTGTAACAAATGAATACAAATATGTAATTATCTTTCGAGGCGGAAAACGTTTCTAAAGTCTCAAGTTTCAAAAGTGTTTGATGATTCATTATGTGGTAAGAAGTTTTATTATGACTTGTTTTTGAATGTTTAAGTGTATATTTTGGTGTTACTTATAAGCGGAAGAAGATTATAATATAATATAATCATAGTTAGAAACATAAACTTTAAGATAATTTGAGAGAAAATTAGTAAACCTACTTATTAGTCAAGTAAATATAATAATTTACTCACGAGCGCGTAAATTGTTTTAAACTTTGTTATTATATTCAATTTTGTTTTATTATTTACGTCGCGCAACCCAATGTCACCTTTGACATTGTATGAACCTCAATTTTGATGATATTTATGTATTCAGTCAACATGAATTGTTGTTGAATCAGGGTTTCTATCATTTCTTTTTGATTTATCTACAAAAATTGATTAATCTAAAATCTTTTGTAGTCGTTTTGCTGAATTTTCAAGAGTCACAAATGTGCTTTATAGGGAGCAACTTTAATCTATATTTATAATACATAGTTGCGTTAGTTACAGCACTTATAACTCTAGAACGGCTGGATGGCTTTTGTTAATCTATGATTTTTTGGATTTGCCTCTGCTTAGAATAGCAGAATAGCTATTAAAATATTAAAAATCATAATTTAAATGATGTCAAATAAAGCATGAAAATTAGTATAGGGATTTAATCGTAGTTGTAGCTATATTACTTATTTCGAGATGGAGGTAAAGTGTTTAATTAACAATTCTCATTTCGGTAAAATAAAATTTCAAATCTAATTGTTGGAATGAAATAATAATTTAAAACACAATTTCTATTATTCTAATAAAATAATTAATCACAGATTAAAAACGATTTAGGGAGGGTGGGGCAAAGTGGGCCCCAAAAGCGAAAAAGGGAATTTGTTTACTTTTTTTACTCGTTACACTATTTTTACATCCTTGTTCAGTATTCAATATTAATAAGACGTGTCTATCAAAATAAAAAATCAGAATATGGGGCAAAGTGGGCCCCACTCATAAAAATTAGGCTCTTACCTTTGTATCAATTTTTGCTTATATTATTTTCTTTTTTATTTCTTACTTCGAATTTGTTGTGGATAAGTTGTTCTTGCAACTTCATCTTATATATCAAAAATTTTAGGGGCCCACTTTGACCCTCAATTTTTAAGCCTCCTGAATTTCAGGGGCCCACTTTACCCCCAGGGCCCACTTTGCCCCCTTCCCTACATATTGATTTCACTAAAATATTCAACACGTTTTGCATAATTTGTTATATTAGTAACTCTAGCTTTTAACGTCGATTCATTTTTGACACGTTTTTCCGTCGAGATCAAAGCTCCGACAATTATTATGTAATCGCTAACAGGACAAGTCCTGTTACCACCTTAGATTACATTTGATTGACAGTGTTTAGCCTACACAAACCACTCAAATCTTAATCTGGACAAAAACGTAAATTTATCATATTACAGTAATAATTTCCCGAACAAAAACACAATCAAGATATTCATCAGCTCGAAGCTTACGTATCCACATACTTATAATTTATAATTTAAAATAAATACGAAAACGTTTAGTCGGCTGAGTCGTTTTCCGCGCCGAGCTCGCACGAAAAGCAAACGTGAATAAATCCCTCGCGAGCATCGGTGGTATATGGCCACGAAGAGATCGCTCGGCCCGCGCACTCGAAGCCCATAAATAACGATCGAGTATTTCGATAGTGCTCTTAATTGATGGTTACGGCGAAGCGCATACATCTGCGCGAGGAATTGTTAATTCTTAATTCGTGATCGAAGCGGCCATTGTGCGGCATTAAATTACCCACAATAAGATTTCAGTTATAAAAATACTACACACACAATTTATATGTTAAAGTATTCACGGTACAAACAAATTGAGCAAAAACTTTCGTTACAAAATACCAACGCAACATTGATAAAGACAAAAAAAAAAAGAACTTCAATTATTCACGGATTCGCCACGCGTTTCGTGGTGGAACGTTTACGAAAATCAATTTGCCGACCGCATTGTTCGGTGTTAATTAAAGTTCGTCGCGCACTTTGCGCGATAATCTCACACGGAACGGATTCGCGGCTGACCGCCACGGAAAGTGAACGTCAATTAATAACGCGCACATCACGTGTCACACAACCACATAATTTAAATTATTTTCTATATGAGAAATAAAGTTTTACTTACTTTTCGTGCACGTTTACAATCCAAGGATTAATATTCCGCAAGAGCACTTCACTCACATGGCGACAAAACAAGATACAGATTAATTAACGTGTTGACTTAATTAATTTCACTAAAGACCGGTTCGCGCCACGCACAACCAAAAATAATTACACAAACGAAAACGCGCAACGCACGCGTAAAAGTAAGTTAACGATTAATGCGTCCTGTATATGTGGTTGACAATCGTCGTGTGTTTGCCGGGCCCATGCGCGAAGAATCAAAACACAAGAAGAGACGACGTCGCGGTCGCGGAAACGCATGCGCCTCTTACTTAACGTAGGTACCTGCGCGGCGCTTGCGCGCGGAGGACTACGAAATGACCACACGTACGGGAGATTAGAATTCCCAGTAGATCTCCCGCCGTCTCCGACGGGCGACAAAAAATTAACGATCAATCGACGACCGATCGATCGAAGAGGTGGCGCACCTCGCACACTTGAGTTTTACTGCTTTCATCTTTCATCACGTCGCAGGCTGTCAGCGTCGTCGACATAAGCAGATAAGCAGCGCGCGGCAGCAGCCAGGAAGCCGTATTATCACGCATTGTGCGAAATTTTTCTTCGTTTCGCGACGGTAATAAAGCGCTCCCGGCGTGCGAAAGCGCTCTGCTCCGGCGAAAAGCAGACCAGTTCACGTGTGGACTATGAAATATGAAATGGTGTTCGTTCTGCCAGCTACCTGAACCACCTGAACACGTCTAACATCAACATGCTGTACGTGTGTACACACTCGCGCGTAATTACATTACATGCTAGCAATTCCAATCTAATTGCCGCATTCCACTATCAATTTTGATTAATTACTTCGATTTAATTAAAGATTTAAAGCGTGAACTATCAGACAATCCCGCCTAACGCATTCGACACAAAACAAACACGTAATAGACTCTGAAATTTTTACCTGTGAGAGTTTTTTGTTTTATTTTTTTTATTTTTTACTTTGTTGATGTTATATTGTTCCACAAGTCATTAAATACTTTGATGTGCGTATCATTCCGGTTAGTTATGACTTCCTAACCAATACTACAGTTTAATTTGAAAGGTTTATTTGCGTTTGCACCGCTTAATTATGTTTTACTAACGATTTTTTATTGCTTATTTGAATTTTTCTTATCGGTAGTCATCGGTAGTCTAATCTGCTAGCGCTTCTTGGCGCATCTTTATAAGTAACTGTAGTTTTAGGATCAACATTTTAAGCGATTTTACGACTTGCTAGAAATCTCGGCGATGTTCTGCGCTTCGGACCGCTACTGATTGTGAATTCATCATGAAATCGTGAAATTCGTGCCATTTCCGCGCAATATTTACGTACATTTATAGATTTGCACGCTGTGGAAAGGCGAATTCCAATGTGAGAGTAAAGTTCACATTTAAAATCACATTATCAAGAGTTTTGAGGTTATTGTTTCACATAACCTGCATTTCTGTCATTTTTCTGTCAAAAATCTTTTAATAACATTAGATTTCTATGATGGTTTACAATTGAACGATTCTGAGACACAAATGAAATTTGACATCGATGTGTGAATGCCCCCGAAATATAATACTTTGTGTTGCCATCAAAATATGTATTTCACATCGTAAACTTTCAGGTTTTACGAGTTATTATACGCGTCCCACATCCGAGCAGATAGCTAATTCAATTACTGGGAAAAATTAAACAAACTCCACGTTTGAAGCGAACATTAGCTTCATTTGTTTCGAACGGCAATAAATCTCGAATTTTTGTGTAAAATGAAGGTAAACACACGTGTAGGTAATCCATGAAATGAATTCATTTGTTCTATAATTGCTTCGTAATTGGGTTCCGGTGTTTGCATATTTTAACGTTTTAAACTCCTTATTATATTCAATTATGCAGTAAATTAATTTATTCCAAGCATTCAAAGCGTTTTTTTCCTTCTTTTTCTTCTTTTAAAAAGGCAGACGCGTTCAGCAACATTTTTTATTGAACTAGATTATCAATTACATTCAGGCTGGTTGTGGATAATAATCTGAAGGGTGTGATGGTGATTCGCCCTGTATATTAACAGCAGGTATCTCGTGTGCGGCGCATAAACGCGAAGAAGTCTCGCATGCGAGTTATAAATATAAAGTTAATCTCATAAATAACCGACATTTAAGCGGCCGCCGCCTAGTGGGAGGACACGAGCGTCGGATTAATTTGTCTCAAATATGATTTACTCGCCAGCTTTGCTAGCCAATTGGTCATTGATCAAAGCACAGTGTATTTGCACACCTTGACAAATATTTTTAACAACACTTAAAGTTAAGTGAGTTTAGGTATATATTGTGTATAATATATAAGCGTGAGCGTAGGTGATGTAAAAATGCTCAACGTTAACATGCAAAATGCACTTGTTTGACGCTGATAACTTCGGAATTATAAGTTGGCGGCGTTTCTCGGCGATTTGCATTGACCCGATGGGAGAGCGCGCGGCGAACGAGAGCCGGAACGGCCCTAATTACGGGTCAACGGCGAAGAAGACGCGGCGTGCTCAAACACGCCCTCACTCTCGATAGATCTCCGCGGAGCGCAGAGTGTGTGAGAACTGTGTGCGCCTTACCGTCCCCGAAGGATAAAACGCACACAAACGATGCGATTACCGGCCCGAAGCACGAGCAATAAAAAGCGAAACCATGAAGACGAAGCAAAACTTCAACAATACACCACACGAAGAGATCTTTTAAAAAACACAGCAAATAGCTATTTAATCTGTGTCTAAATTTTGCACAAACAGCCATAAATTATACCTGTGTATATATAAACACATAGCAATCATCTGTGTTTTGTGTTTGAATTAATTAATTCCTCTTGACATAATTTTCGGTCCCTCTTCTGGTCCCCTACCAAAAAAATCCTAATCATTTAATTATGTACAATCCAGAATTAGATTTAGTAACTACCAAAATGGTTCATTAATCATTCAAACGACCAACGTCGTGTTGTGTACACAATTTATTTATTACAATGGATTTAGACGATGTGCTTCCCGATATTGGCGAATTCGGCAAGTACCAAAAACTCGTCCTCTGGTTTGTCCTTTTACCCAGCGTCTTTCCTTGCGGTTTCCACGCGTACAATCAATTATTCATGTCCGCCACACCGGAGCATTGGTGTCACATTCCCGAGCTCGATGGCATCTCCCCAGACGTGATGAAGAACATCAGGTGAGGTTGAAATTTTTGAATCACGTGCGGCTTAGAATAATCTCCTAAATGTTTTGTTTTTTTTTCTTTTCAGTATTCCGCTTGAATTACGCGATGGCGTCTTGGCGCACAGCTCCTGCATGATGTACGATAGAAAGTATAAAAACTTGTCGTCGTCGTTGGCCGAGCCGCCGAAAGACACACGACAGATACCCTGCGCGCACGGCTGGACATTTGACCGGAGCGTCTACAAAGAGACTGTCATCACACAGGTGAGTACGCCACATAATTTACAACGCACCGAAATTTATCTCGCCGCCTGCGACGAGTGCGGACATAAATTCCGAGTGTTATACGCAGTGGCAGCTCGTCTGCGATAAAGATCTTTCCGCAACTCTGGCGCTCGTCCTGCTCGGCGTCGGCGGCCTGGTGGGCAACTATATTTTCGGCTACGTGCAGGACGGCATGGGACGCCGGCCGGCCTTCTTCATCTATCTTTTCATTCAGTGCGTCTTTGGTATCGCGACGGCATTCGCCAGGAATTTTGTCATGTGGACCGTGTTTCGGATGGGTGTCGGATTCACGGTTCCAGCTATTCTAGGAACTCCATATGTTTTAGGTAAACAAATAACTCAACCACATCAAGAACAATTTATAAATATTAATTTTAGCTATTGAATTGGTTGGTCCCAAACATAGGACACTTGTCACTGTGTTGATCAACATTGCCTATTCGCTTTCACTCACACTTTTAGCAATAATTGTTTGGGCTATACGCGATTGGCGTTTACTTGCGTTGGTCACAACGGTGCCATTTTTATTACTCTTTTTTGATTGGTGGATTTTACCGGAAAGTCCTCGGTGGTTACTTGCACAGGGACGATTTTTGAAGCTGAAAAAATAATTTGTCAAATGGCTAAGTAATATTTCAACACTTAAACGTGAAAAATATTAATTTTTAAATATTTATAAGAACAAATGGAAAAAAATTACCATCTAACTACATGGTTAACCTCAAAAGAAAAGTGGACAGAGAAAAATTAAAAATAGACACTTCGCGTAAATATGGCGTTTCAGATCTACTTCGCAGTTCAAATCTAAGATGGAAAACAGTCATAATCACATTTATCTGGTTTACTAACACTAGTGTCTATGTGGGTTTGTCATACTATGCACCTGCTTTGGGTGGTGATGAGTTCTTAAACTTCTTCCTTGCTGGCGCTGTTGAATTACCGACTTATTTGTTTTTATGGCCGTCATTGGAGCGTTGGGGTCGACGCTGGGCACTGTGTGTCAGTATGGTTATTGGTGGATCCGCCTGCTTGGCCACATTTTTAGTACAAAATGGTAATTAAACCCAACATGGTGCCTGCGTTTAAAAGCGCATAAAACAACTACCATGATTTTAGATAATGTTGTTACTTTGGGTTTGTATTGCGTTGGGAAAATGGGCATATCATCAAGTTTTGTCGTCCTTCCATTAATGGCATCGGAATTATATCCGACAGTGGTCCGAGGACTTGGAATGAGTATTAGTTCGGTGGTTGGAATGTTGGGACCCATTTTTATTCCGCTTGTCAACTATTTAGTACGTGTGTAACTCGGTAGGAATGGTATTTTGCAAGGTGTTGTGTTGATTCCAGGGTTCAGATATGCTCACGTTGCCGCTGATTATTATGGGCACGATGTTAGTAATGGGCGGCGTGTCTTCGCTTTTCCTTCCGGAAACATTAAATCAACATCTGCCGCAAACGCTTGAAGATGGTGAGAAAGTTGGGCTGGACTGCTTCGTGTGCTGCACACCTCCGCAAATCTACAGAGCCGGTGCCGCCGAACCGCCAAACAAAGACAAAACGAAGCAAAGCGATAATTAGGCCTCGTTTCGGTTATTAAAACGTTACATTGCATTGTATTTAAACCGTTCGAGTAGGTACTCTGTACTCATCACACTCGTGTGTTCGTAATAAACATCTGGAAACACTTCAACGCGTATCTTATCGATATTTCTAGTTTATATAAATTGAACTGTTACATCATTTTATGTTAGTCGTACAGACTCTGGGTTCAAGTAAGATGAGTTGCTTTTTATGTGTCATTACCGCGTTGGTAGTTGTGATTTCAACAACGATTGCGCTGGTCAGTCGAAAGCGTGACCCTGAGAAGATTTTTGGCATTTACAGTCGTCCCGGAAGATGGTTCTACCTCAAGTATTATGTGTTTTTAGCATTGTTATACGTGAGACAGTTTCTTTCTGGTTTGAAGAAGGCTGACACTGGTTTAGGATCAAACGTTCAAATTGATTATGATCATTTAGACTTGTGGAAGCCACTATCCAGTGACGCCAAGGTACGCATAACCTAATATTTATTTTTTTTAAGCAAATTACAATTATTTAAATGTTTGGTTATGTTTTTTAGGCCTTTGATGCTGTGTTCTTCCAAGCTGTTAATAATAAAGGATATTATTTATGTGGAGGCGTAGAGCGTCGGCAATTAAACAAAATAAATGGAGTATTCTATATAGTTGTGCCAGAACTGGGTCTTTTGCGAAGCGAACATTTACCGAAAACTAGTCTAGATGCGACAAATTCCGGTGAAGAAAATGCATTTGAAGGTGGGGGCATTCATCTTAGAATGATTGAACCAATGAAAAAATGGAAGGTCTCTTATAAAGGAAATATGTGGTTGGACGAAAAGAATAACAAAATAGATGTTGATATAAATGCAGAATGGACATCAAACTATCCACACTTTTTCTTCGATACTGGAATGGACAAAGGTTTAATTGCTGAGGCAATTGCACGCGAGCCATGGAGCAAAGAATTATTTAAGAATTTAAAAGCGTAAATATCAAACCATTCAAAATAAATGAATATTAATTCAAACATTTACAGCGCACATCAAACACATTATGAACAAATGGGCTACCTAAATGGCACGTTGAAAGTAAACGGAAAGGTACATAACCTTGAAATGTCTTCCTTTAGGGATCACAGTTTTGGTTAGTATTTTTTAACCTCGAAAACGGATGAAATTATTAAGCAATGATGTTTTACAGGAAATAAAAGAGATTGGTCACTCATGCACAGATATGCATTCCACATGATGTATCTAGACGACAGCACGCGAATCTGCGTCGGAGTGGTGAGCCAACCTTGCACAACCTCGCATTTAGCAATGGGTTATATTGTAACCCCAAAAAGGAAGATCCATCGTATTACAAGGTGTAACCTGCAACTCTTTGAACATGGTGAAAATGGTCGTCCACCAAAGAATATCGCCTTTTCTATCACCGCAAACTACATGCGCTACGATTGCTCGGTAAGTACACTCCACGAGTGCGAACATTTCAAAGGAAACGATGTTGAAGCCCGACTCTTGGAACGCTTCACCGTATGTAGGGTAAATGGTACCAATGGCAGGGGCATTGCTGAATGGCATTATAATAATGTAAAAAACGCGAAAGAGTGAAATTATTAGCAAGCCATTTTATTATAAAACATCTAAATATAAAAACAATATCATAAAAATATCATTTGACTTCACAACCAGCATAACTGCCATTTTTACGACAGTATGCGAGAAGTAAACCCCAATGTCTATCAGCCTGAAGCAAATTAGGGTTACCAACGACAATAGTCAAACATTGACTTCGAGTGAGCGCAACATTAAACCGTCTAGGGTTTGTAATAAACCCAAGTACGTATCTCTTGTCAAAATTGAGATCTTCAGGACATGAGCGCACCGTTGATAATATAATTACCTTAAACTCCAAGCCTTGGAATTCTTCCACTGTGCCCACTTTTGGCACATCAAAACCTGCCTCTCTGAGAATATCTCGTATTTGGCGAACCTATTCATATAAATATGATATATTAGAAATTCTACACCCAAAATACACTTGTAAATGAGGTTTACCTGTTTTATATATGGAGTTATAATACCGATATCCTTTTTGGACACACCCAATCTATACAATTCGTTGACATAGAAAAATACTTGCGATGCCTCATCAGGATTATACCAAGATGGAAAATCATCGCCACGTTGATTAACACCATCAATACCATGAAAAACAAGTGATGGCACCTTACCCTCATGAGTGGGTAACATATCTGCTAGTTTCTTCAGGAATAATGCTTCTTCTGACTCTGTTTCGGATACCTAAATATTAAAAAAAATAATGATAAATCCGCAAATAACAAATGTTGAAATAATCTTACAGTTGAACGCAATTCGTTATGATAAAAACAATTATTAGGAATTGCAAGTAAACCAGGCAGAGCGCGATAATTATACAGCAACTTCGTGACCAATCGAGGATCATAACCGCCCGTGTTAGGAAAACCAGCCATGTCTCGAATATATGGAAATCTATGAATCAACCTGTCCATATACGTTTCTTCCAGACCAAAATTCTTCGCATAGTCCGAAAGTACTACCGGACCCAATTGCATAGGATCACCAGCCATGATAATCTGCCCATCATTCATATCCACATGCGTCAGGGGAATCATAATCTCCGGTTCTTTACATTGTCCAGCTTCGTCAACAATAATATGCGTAAAGTGCCCTTTTTGAAGTCCCCATACTGCAGAGATCCTAATGCACTGCATGTTCCAATAGTGATACGATGTCTTCCGATTGCTCTCGTTGTCATATCCTCGACATACCCTTTCGCGGTAACAAAATTTTCTTCGGCCAGTGTTCCCTCCCTAGCAATACTAGGTATCGCGCAGTAAGGCACAATATTCGGTGGTATAGAATCATCCTGCATTGATTTGAATGAAACTAGTCGCACCAAGTCACCAGGCCGTAAACATCCAGTGGAAACAAGCCGCATTGTAAGCAGATTAGCAGCGCTATTTGAAGGCGTCGCAACTAACAACCTCGAATGTGAGATCATTCTCAATATCTGTAGAATGCATTCAATGATGGTGACTGTTTTACCAGTACCTGGCGGTCCAAAAATAATATACGGCAATGGACGTGATTCTCCGAGGAGAATATTACGCACTGCTTCTTTTTGATAGTAATTCAAGCTTTTATCGAACCATTCTAGTTTATATTGAAATTTCGGCAGGATGTTTTTCGATGGGTGATTCGATGTTAGCAGTAATTTGGTGCTGTTTTGTTTTGGTGGTGTGGTAACAATATTTTCATCAACATTTTCTACTGGTGTGGTATTAGCGGTATTCTTCACATCCATCGCATTCATTTTCTTTAGAAGATACATTTTATCCTTTCTCCGGACATCTTTTTTGTTCGTAGGTGGCGCTTCTCGTACTTTCATCTTGGTGCCTGTAGTACAAATGATATCTTCATAAGGCTCGTAAGTGAATTTCACTTGAGGTTTCTTCTTTAACACATGAGTGGGAAAGAGCAAATCAGCATAGGATTGCATTGCAAGAAAAACACTCTGATGCTCGCGTCTGAATGAATTTCTCGAACCCTGAACATGAATCTGATAATCTTCGCCTTTGTACTGTTGATGGAAAATAGGCGAAAACTTGAGTTTTAGATGGTTACCCATTGATTTATGTACGAATCCCTCATAAGGTGTTTGAGTGGCAAAACAAGTCGCAATCACTTTATCACCAATGATAACCGACGGCCTGTTTTCGGCCAATCCAGGCATCTCTAAGATCAAATAACTTCCATCAACTATAAAACTAGCTCGTTCTAAATCATACTTTCGCAGGCACATATTATAATTCAACTCTTCCAAATAAATAAGCAAATGGAAACGTTCTTCGTAATTGTTCAAAGAGAGCTGCTCGGTTAAGCACGGCTTCAATCTGATCAATTCATCAGCAAAGTTTTGCTTCAGATCATTCAAATCCTCATACTTAAAGTACAAAGTAGTGATATGGCCAGGAATCTTCCAATCATTCACCTTCTTCGCGAGAAACCTAGGCCCTTGTTTCATGGACTCTCCACGAATGGGCTGCCTATACCCTTGCTTCATGTGCTTCTTCATGTTATCATATTGCGTGTTGCGGTGAACAAAAGCAGTATTGGCCATCTGCGGCACAATGTTGCATGTCTCCAAATTGATCGTCACAACCCGTCCGACAATCACATCATCAAAATGAAATAAAATGGTTTCACTCGATTTCCCCGACGATTTAGCAACAACCGAAAACTTCAATTTGAGTGTTTGAGTGGGCGTTATCACTGTATTTTTAATTTTTGCACCTTCTAACCGGGTTTGATGCATAGCACCTTCAATAGTGATCTTTTTTAAATTTACCGCTTCATACTTCTCGTTTATCACGGTGAATTCGCACGTATGAGATTCATTAAAGCTCTTGGCTTCTATTACAACATTATCTGAGATTCGGATTCCATCTTTACTGTGCTCATAGACTTGAAGTTTGTTCAAGTTACCAAACTGATTTGAACTTTTCACAGCAGTTTTGAGCATGATCTTAAGTGCGCGCCATAGATTGTCAAACTGATTACTCTCAATTATTTCAACAACTACTTTATCACCCACCTTTGGAATGTAGCCATTTAGAAGCGCTTCTTTGTTGAAAAATATATCTCTGTTAATTATACCAGTGTATCTCTTTTCATTGAATGACTTTATAGTTCCATCCTTGATTTGTGCCCGGACTGGTCGTACTTTAACGATTTCTAAGATTTTCCCATTCAGATTAACTACATTCTCATCAATTTCCGATTTTGTCTCCAACTCCAAAAAATCGCCAACAATTGGAATGAATTCTGATTTGGTCTGGTTCAAATCAATCTCAATGTTGCCAGGATCTGCAATCAGTTTCCTCCCACATCTGCTGACAACTTGAACATTAATTGTTCTTAAACACCAAGAATTCCCTCCAGCTCTGGTTGCTTCTGTGCCCCATTCATCAACAATTTCTTTTACATTAGTTACTTTACCTTCATCTTGATATACAGTGTATGATACTTTCATGCCAGTGGTAAATAAAAGTTCAGATGCAAATTTATACTTGTTATCAATTTCATAAGTGTTGTTACCAGAGTTTGTAATTGTGCCAGTCTCATGTGTAATTTGATACTTTTGATTTAAGTCTTGCTCTTCGGAATCGTCGTCGGGTTTCTCATTTTCTTCCGCACGTTCGAGGATTTTATAGGCATCATCCAATGTCTCCTGATTTTCTTCCGGCGAACGCCAAATTATTTCTTGGATATACTTGAACATCGTTTAAATTTGAATCTAGTGCGTGCATGTAACTTTGAGGTTATAAACAAAGCAAAAAATAAGGAAATGATGACATTTGCAATAAAACCCAATGAAACTTCACCTCAATATTAATCAAGGCAGCCGTCTAATTTATAATATTCCCGCTGGTTGAAAATGTCTAACAATTTATCGATTTTTAACAAACATTTTCGAATGAAACAACGGACAACTAAGAGCAACCTTGCCGAAAGATGCTAAGTTGGTTGCCTGCTTTGGCCTGTTGCCTTGAAGTCGGTCTGACAGTTTCGTTGCCAGTAGATAAATAACGAGCGGATGAATAACATGATAAGACCAAAACAATTCTTGTAATCATCGACGAATTGAGCCGCATTCGTATCGATACGTGTTAATCTCGAGTAGGGGGATCCGCCACGCCAGTCAACATGTAGATTCTCCGTGCGGCATTCGACGCGCGGTGCTGATAACCAACCAACTTCCACGAACCAGAAACAAGTGCATTATGAGCGTTGCGGAACGACGATTTGCTGATGCCAGCGGCACGTGAGCGAAGGGCCCACAGCTGAGGATGGATTCCCTCAGCGTCGTGTTGGGGTTGCATGCCGATCCGCTGAACTCATTCACCAAGATGTGGTATCATGTCTTCCTGTGGGCCTTGTTTTCATCTATAATTGTACATATGGTAAATATCAATTATTATCTTGATAAATAAACATTACCAAGATGAAATACCAATGACTTCATTGAAATTGACGAGTTGCTTACATCTATTTATAGAAAAAAGTGTTTAATTATTTATAACATGATTGTTTTTGTTTGTAAACTTTTAGATAGCAGCATTAATTGCCTTTCTCACCCTGAGGAAGCATAAATTTGGCAAATTTTTCCCCATCCTGATATTATTCACTGGGGTGCTGATGCCCATCATGTCCGGCATTGTGAGCAGTGCAGCAATTGCATCCGTCTATCGCTTCTCCAGCCTGCCAATGCAGCCGCTATACGCATCGATGTGGGGCATTGGACAAACTTTGCTATATTGCGGCATAGGTTTCACGCGGATACTGGCGACATTATAAAAAAGTGACCTGCAACCCCACACAGACACTCGGAATGAGGAAAAGTGCTTATTAAACTACAACTAAACAATGGTGTGATTACAATAATTACACACAATTATACATGATGATAAAGGTGCTAATTTGGCATACATGAGTTTAGACTAAGTATAAGCCCACACTTATTATACCTACAATTGTATTTGTATCTACAATTCTGATCAAATGTTGCTTGTATACTGTGCGCCGAGGCACGTTAGCTGCAGATATTTTCATGCAATGTTCACCATTCTTTCAATTCACATGTTTAGAGAACGCAATGTGCAAAAACCTAAATGTATAAAGACATTTTGTAGTATTTTCGAAACTCGTAGGTTCGAGCGCGCATAATATTGAAGACTATTTTATAACAAAGAGAAATGAATGTAAAGTTTGTGCACTTGTACAAATAGTTTTTAAGGTACTTAATGTGTAATAGCGCCTATATGCATACCAAAGATGATATTTGTTTGTTGGTACAATGATTTAAGCGACACGATTTTTTAACATTCAAAAATGAAATAAAAGAATACGAGGAAATATTCGGTGTGTCATTGGTTGCATATATTCTTCTCACTGGTAAATGTATACTTCTGTTTGTTATTGCCTTGAGAAATTTGAAACCAACACTTGACGTTTGTGTGAAAGCATCTTTAGAAGTACTGGGCTAGTGTCAATGCCGTTTCGTCACTCAACAAATATTTTGGTTCTTCCTCGTCACCTCTTACCACTGCATGCAATGCAACGTTATTCGTTGCTATTGTTGTGAAATGCTCGCGATTAAAACGTGTGCATTCAAGTAATGGCTTCGTCCGGAGCTGGGTCAGCTGTGTCGTACAACGATGTGGCGAGCAAACTACTCAAAGATAAGTTATTGCTCACTGCTCTTGAACTGCACACTGAATTATTGGAGTCTGGTAAGGAAGTCAAGGAGCTGAAGGACTTTTTCTCCAATCCAGGCAACTTCGAGTCTCAAACTCAGGATGTATCATCTAGAATATGTAATTATTTTACTAAATATATCTTATTATATACAGTGAAACAATAAAAAACATACGATTCTAAAATTTCTAGCCCGATCTGGGAGTCAAACCACTTTGGACAGCTTGGATTTTACAAGATTCTCTGAAGATGGTGAGAGGAGTGCTGATGATAGAATTGCAGTATTAGAATTTGAGTTGAGGAAGGCTAAGGAGACCATCACAGCATTGAGAAACAATCTTACAGTTGCCACAGGTATTTATTAAATTCATATTTATGTTGGCTTAACTTGGCTAAATTTATGTTTACACAAGTCTACTTAACTGCTATGAGTCATTACATATAAAAATAATGAAGTATAACAGTGCAATACAGACATCAATATGAACAATTTATTCAAAAATACAATGTACATTTTCCATTGTTACCAAATTTTACATTTTCTTTGTCATTTGCCATTGAATTGATAAAAAATTTCGAATTCTTGATACATTTCAATCCAAAGATAAAAATTACACTTGACTCCTGCTACTTTTATTCTACTCTAATGCAATTGGGTTTATTTTGATGTGTTATTTCGTGTTGATTTATTTGTTTATTTTATTTTAAGAGTCTGAAAATAAGTCGCCTGATAAAGCAAGCCTGAAGCTAATTAACAATGATATCAAGCCACATGAACAAAGAGCTTTAAACTTTTTAATTAATGAGTATTTATTGTTGCATGGTTATAAATTAACATCTATCACGTTTGCGGACGAAAACGAAAATCAGGTTGGTACAAATACAAACAAAAACTATTAGAATGTATTAAAAAATATCTAATGTTGACACATTCCTAGGATTTTGAAGATTGGGATGATGTGGGTTTAAATATTGCCAAACCAGCAGAGTTGTTGAGTTTGTACAGAGAGGGACTTAAACAAACTGGCTGTAATTTAACAACAATATCAATACAAACAGATATCAAGGATGTGGAATTGGAGACGAAAATAGTCAGCCTTGTAAGTATTTCATTACAATTTTAAACTTGATTAAATGTTCGTTAAAATATTTAACTTTTTCAACTTTAGAACAAAGATATAGAGTTATTAAATAGAAAACTAGCATCAGTAGAGACCGAGCTTGAATCTATGCGCGAAGAAAACTTAAATCTCACGAGACAAGTAGAATCTAGTCAAAAAACGACGCCGCCCCAAGAAGCGTGTAGTAAAACCTCGACAATTGGTAGCGAATCTCCCGAACATTTCGAAATGTTGGATAAAGCATTATCTGAAGCTGATAATGTTTCCAACACGAGCATAAATGCGGAATGGACGCGTGTTAATAAAACCGACGTGGACTACAACAAAAAGAACGAATCATTTACGTTCATTAATAAAGCAAAGTCAGAGCGGTTCAAAAACGAACTTCTGAACATGTGTCCGGTGAAAGCCCCAATCGACAATGAAATATTGCTCAACACTCTTTCACATGGCAGCAATATCGAGAGCTTAGTGCAAGTTGCATCCGAATCATTACTTCGAATCATTCCGAATATTATCTTAAACAAACGCGAAGAAGCCATTCCATTGCTAATCTGCACGATAAATTTGAATCAAGTCTCGCCTACGAGAGAAAAACTACTGCAACAGTTGTTCAATCTGAAGAAAAAGCCATCCGAAGGTGAAAGAGCGTTGATTCTTAATGGAATTCTAGGAGTTGCCAAATGTTGTCCGGAAACCGTTGTTGAAAACGAAATTTTACCCTTGTGTTGGGAACAATTGACACATAAACACGTCGAAAGGCGATTCCTGGTAGTTGAATCATGTCGTATTCTGATTCCGTACGTTTCCGGTCCGATTCGAAATTCTTTGATGCTTTCAATGCTGCAACAAATGCTCGACGACAAAGAGGAATCTGTCAGAGAAGAAGTTATTAAAGTACTGGCACTCTTAGTTGGTTTTTGTGAAGATGTCGACAAATACAACCAGTGTGAAGAGTTGGCTTTCAATACTCTGAAGGATAGTAGTGAGAAAGTAGCCAAAATGGCGGTCGAATTACTGTTTCCAATCGTTGCAAAGTGGAGCTTTGATATTGGGCGCCTGCGAAGCGAATTAATTAAGAATCTGCTGCAGCGGATCAACGATGCGCTGAAGAACATGAAGGATGAATCTCCGAATAAACATAAATTATTCCCCGATGTGATATTAAGAGTCATTGGCGTGCTTAACACGCTGCTTCCGTTTCTGTTGATTAGCGTGGCGAACAATTCGGTCGTGCTGGATCGAATCGAGAAGGACATGATTATTGATTTAAGTATGTTTAAACTTATAATTTTGTTGTGTTTGTATATGAAACTTATTGGTATTGCAGGGCCTGAATTATTGAGCATCTGCACGAACATGACAAATCCGAACAACTTTTACACGAGCAGTTTTAGCGTGGGCATGATTCTCTACGAATTTGATAAATTATTTGAGCAGAACAACGAGTACACTTGGCCGGAACTTGAGTGGCTTACAGATACGGTGTAAGTTGATAATTTAATTAATAAGTTTATAGTTAAATTGATTAATTTGTGATTTTAGTTTCCCAGACTTATTAAACAGCTTGAATTTGATTGATATCACTCAACATGAAATACTACAAAGTTTTATGGATTTGTTTTCAAACATATGCATCGTTTTTGGGCGAAATTTTACAATGCGAAGAATACGCCCATTGCTACAGACCCAGGTGCAAAGTTTGGAAGCAATTCTACCAAGCTTCAACCAATACTCGCCCAGTCTTAACATAATCCCGGTGTACGTCGTATCGGTATTGAGTTATTGTGACACCGAGGAAGCTGAAGCTGTACTCAGTCGTTTTGTGTGTGCTATGCCACTGTTTGGGGCGCCTTTGGACTGCCTTGAAATAACTGTTCGGGGTTTATGCAAAATGGAGTTACAGGAGTTGGTATTGAATAGTTTGTGGCAAGGAGTTGTACATCAAAGGCCTCTCGTTCGTGGCGTCACTGCTGGGTTGTTTGCGACAATTATCGGCGCTTGTAACGAAGGATTGTTGAACGTTAAAGTTACTCCGGCTCTTGTTACACTTGCTAATGACACGGATATGTAAGTTCCGCTAAACTAATTCCTGTTTATAAGTGGATTATTATTATTTCTTGAATCTGAATTTAATAGGTTGGTGCGTACAGCAACAGTTCCTGCTCTAGGCTCGCTAATCACCGACTGCACACTGCAAGAATTACACGACAAAGCATACATGCAGCTGCAAATGTTTCTCTCTGATCCAGCGACGCAGGACAATCACACACTATTGCGTCAGATGGTAGTCACCATGGGCAATATCGTTTGTTATTGTAAACCGTCCTTCAGGCAGGATGTGATCCTCCCACAGCTGTCAGCTATATCTAACCAGATGGCGCAGGTGTCGAATCAATCGCGGAAAATCGACATGGCCGTCGCACTCATTGAATCATACCCTAATATTATTTACAGTCAGTTTAACAATAACATTGTGAGTAATATAGTACTACCAGGATTGAGGTAAGAGTACAAATTTAAACAACTTTTAAGAAGCTTTACTACGTGTTTTAAACTTCAGGTGTTTGGAACAGGCGATTAATGAGAATCCCACCTTAAATACGCACAAAGACGCTGTTAATTCAATGATCAAAGAGTGCGAGAATCGCTACGACCTCAGCTCTCCGAGCACGGAGAAAATGCCGAGTAGCGCAAGCAAAATCACGCAAAACGTCAATCAGAGCGTCGAGGAAATGAAACAACGTATGAGCAAGATGTTCAACAAGCCACCTGGTTCTGCAAAACAGAATCTCTCCACGCTTCAAGGATTCTTCAAGAAGAAATGAGTCTAACATTATAGTATTCTTTTAACGCGTATTTTATAGGCTCCCACAGTGCCTTAATGATGGCAATTCGCGCACATTACATTCTACAAATTTTATTGGTTGTGTTATAAGTTTTACCGAGTTGATGTCGGACGCTAGGAATATGTTTCTTAACAAATCGTACTTATTTAATCGAATCAAAAATCATGTTATAAGCATCTATGAGAAAATATATATGTTACGTTAACCGGCGGATATTACAATTTGCTGCTGCCAGAGAGGGCTTCGACTACAAGTCGAACAGCGTGCTTGGCTGTCCCGGGAGCGGTGGTAACTCCATAGCCACCGTGGCCGTAATTGTGCACCACTTTCATCGATTGACCCTCACATCGCAAGGTTTCACGCTCGACACGCACCGGATCACGATGGGGTCTTAATCCGACGTATTCAGCGACAGCGGGAGCTGTTTTCAGACTCGGGACTAACGCTTCGCAGCGTTCGCGAATCGCCAAACTGTCGTATTTGCTGACAGTGGTGTCATACGAGTCGTAATTCCGGCAGCCACCTAAGGTGACGGAATTGAAACCGGGGATCACGTAGGTGTCATAGTCGCCATAGAAGAAAGTTTTCAACCAATTGGCTTTCACCTAGAAAAAATATCGAATGGTAATAATCGCGTTCAATTATGCAACTCAAGTGGGACACTGTTTTTTTCTTCTGTAAATGATACTCAAGTGTTGAAAGTAGGTTGAAAGTTGTACCTTTATGACTTGACCTCGAATTGGCACAAGTTTATGATCATTGCAGAGCTGCTTAGCACCAAGGCCAGCGCAATTCACGACGACATCGTACGCTCCTCCGTGCAGATCTCGAAACGACGCAATTTCTTTCTTGACCAAGCGACCAGCGTTTTGCTTGAATCGCTCCGTCGCCCATGGAAGGAATCTTGCGGTCTCGGTGAGGATGGTCGTGAAGAATGAGCCATATTTCCAGTCGCCGGGACAAATGCGGAGTTCGGCTTCAGTGGCGCGCCGGTACAAAGGTACGAGATGCTCAATTAGATGATTCTATAGCAATAATACACCAATTTCATTCAAATTGATTCAAATAGAATTTTATGTCATGCGCGCATACTCGAACAATGTTTGCCGACTTGCTGGAAAATATATAACCGGAAAGATGCGTGATTCCGGCGTTGGCAGCCTCGCGACCTCCGCGCAGCTCATCCCAGTAGGAATAGGAATCGTTGACCCACTTGCTGCAAAATTACATCATAGCAACATCAATCAAATTGGCACGCCGCAGCTCTGCTCACCTTGTCGTGGCGTCATCAGGCCCACAGAAACTGGTGCCCGGGCGGAAAATGCCGGCGGCAACGTAGCTGGTCGTATCGGTGTTAAATTTATCGGCGATGACGTCGACCTTTGCCTGGCGGAAGGTTTCCTGCAATTGCAGTGCCGTCGTCAGACCCACCACACCGGCTCCCAGCACTCCGATTCTCAGCTCACTCATTGCGCGCTGCTACTGATAGTCGCTACGCTAATAATCAGCGGGTTATCAACCGGCACTTGTTATGTATGATTACTGGTAAAGAATGATTGGAAATAGGTGGGAGCTGATAATCAACATGAAAATACGATTAAAAAGCGCCTTTTCCACCGACTTCAATAATAAATAATGCATTTTATTGATGTTATTACTTCCTCAGAACGTATGATACAAGTTTGTGCATGAGTGACGTACCAACAGATAATGTTCCTCTCAAATAGCGATTCCAAATGGAGAATGTGACAATACAGTACAAGTATACAAAGCAAATTTCTATCAAATTACGATGCAATGTGTCTTTAGATGTATTCGAAATGCAGAGCGAATGAAAGATGCTGTTCACAATTTCTCGCACCTTTAATCCGCCCATCAACTTAGATGTCTAGCTAATATAAGAGTGAATGAATTCAATTTTCGATCGGTTTATTAATTCCAACATATGGGCGAAGATGTAACTTAAAATTAGTCATGTTTTCAAGACATTCGAGTAGCAGCGTTTGAATGGGAACAGAAATTCCTGAGACCAAACTTCTATATCGGTAACAAAACGTACTTCAGCTGTTGTTCCTTTTGTTTCGGTTGTCGTTTGTTTACAAGTACTTATTAAGTAGTTTTATATGTTATACAAATATTGGTGCTTTCCTCTAGTACTGCTTTTTGTTTCATTTTTGCTTGTTTTATGTATTTTTATGTTTTCATTTCGGAACTCTGTTGAGCTTGATTAAGTTGCTAACACAGTCCTCTACATACAATTATCTATTTGTGTATTTTTTTTTTGTTGATAGACATACAATTGTCATCTAGATTTCTCCTTGGCGATAGTGTAACGTAAATCATATATAAAAATAAAAATGAGCGTAAAATTAATAAAAAAGAATTCGATCGGTCGTCGAGGATGTTGAAGTGCTACAATGCAACGTGGTGGCTGGATGGTGGCGGTGGTATGTTTTGCGACAACGAAACACTCGAACTCAGAGCGACGCGGAATGCCAAGGAGCGCACGTAGATATTGTCTAATTTAACACATACATCACAAAGTTTCTCATCTATAATGATATATAAATTTTTATGTACAAGTGGCGTTCAATAACAAAGAAAGAAATTCGCCTCGAATCACGTTTATATTCCCTGTGGACGTCGCGGCGCGTCCACACATTCATCGAACTCACGCACACGTCGTCTCCACCAGCAGCAGCAGTCCGAGCTAAAAACATTGTAAATTAAATCGATATTGGGCTTCATTCACAATGGTCGTAACCAATCGTTTACAAATAATGCATAAACGCGTCGCCTCTGCCTCTCTCGCTTCATCCGTTCTCGTTTTCGATTGTTCGCTCTGTCATTCTGCTCTTTGTGTATGCTTCATGTTGTTTATAAATTGGACGCAGTGGCAGCGTGCGTGCCATTGTTTTGGTTTGCGATATTCTGTATGCGACATATCGAAAGCATCCCGATAAAAGCGCTCCTAACTAACTTTGTCGAAAAAAACTAAAACTTTCGACAATCGCTTGCAAATTTAAAAAGTTTTATTTTAATGTTACAGAGAGTCGTGGTGGTGGTGGTGGTGGCTGACGATGATTACTCGCTGACGACGGTGGTCGCTGAGGTTGTGTTGGTGGTGTTGACGATGAGCCAGGGATGTTTCAAGCAGTCGGCAGCTGTGGCTCGCCGATCCGGATCAAAGTCGAGCATCGGCTTGAGGAAGGCGGCGAATTCCTCGGCGTCCTTGCGATTCCACTCGTACTTCTCAGTGAGCACATCCTCCAGACACCACGGCTTCAAGCCGGTGATGTGACGCAGATCACCCTTCTTATTAAAGAATAACTTGGAGTTCTTACCCAAACCCGTGATGCGCTTGGGGATCTCACCGAGCAGCTCGATTATATGCGCGAGATGATCCTCGTCGCGGCTGTAATCATCTCCGGAGTGCGGCTCGAAGAGGTAGTCGCCTGTAGCGAGTTCAAACGCCATGCATGCTGTGCTCCAGATGTCTGCCGAGGTGCCATACCCGGCACCAAGCAACACCTCCAGCGATCGGTACTGGCGCGTTTGGATGTCTTCGGTGAAATGCTTGTCCACCCAGCAAGCATTGCCGAGATCAGCGATCTTCACGTCAAACTCACATTCGGTAAACGCCGGATCCGCCTCCGGTTTCGTCTCGCTTTTCGACGTCACTGAGGGAGAATCGTCCTCAGACATCTGCGTGACAATTTCAACCGATGTCTCGGTGGGCAACGGCGATTGCGGCGACTTCAGTTCAGTCTGCTCATCGCCGCCCCCAAGTTCCTCGACGCACTTACCATTTTGAACCTTGTCTTCCACCTCGGGCGTAGTTTCGGGGCTGGGACTAGCAGGACTCGTCCCGCCATTGCATTCGATTGGCTCTGCTTCAGTTGTTGTCGATTCATTCTCTCCATTTATTAGATCTTTGTTACCCTTCTTCTGCTCCTCGAGCTCGTTGATCTGCTCCATTTGGCGCTTGAGCAGCTCGTTCTGTCGCTTCGCCTTCTTCTTCAGTTTCTTCTTCTTGTTCTTGCTCATCTTCGCGTTCGTCTGCGACTCTTGCGGCGGCGCTGTACTGATTAACGACGTGGGTAGTTTCAGTCCGAGCTGCCGCATCTCAGCCGCCTCGCAAGCCAATTTCCTAATGTTATCCTCACTTACACAAATTAAGACATTTTCTGGTTTGATATCGGTATGAATGATTTTGCACTTTGTGTGCAGATAGTCGAGCCCTTCGAGCACCTGCCGCATGATCACTTTGACGTTCACTCTTGGTATGCCTCGATAATTGGACTTGATGATCAACTTGAGAAGATGATGGCCGAGCACCTCAAACACCATGCACACGTGCACTCCATTGACGCCACTAATTTTAAAGTCATTTAACAGCTGCACTGTCTTATTGCGCTTCGGATCTTCCGGGTCCGACTCGCGCACTGATTTGAGGATTTTGATCTCGTCCAACGCCGTCTCGGTGAAGTGCTGCGCCGACTTGACGATCTTCAGCGCGACGAAACGTTTGTCGTCGATGTCCCAGCACAGCCAAACCGTTGAGAAGTGGCCCCAGCCTAGCTTGCGGAACACATGGTAGCGATTGAGGAAAGTGTCGCCGATCTTAACCGGGTGATAACCTCCCTTGCGATAGTCGGTGGTGTCTTCCTGCTCCTCTTCCTCCTCACTATAGTAATCGAGACGCGCGTCCTCGATTGTCTCGTTACTCGAGCTGTGCGACGGCTCGAGACGAGACGCGTCGCGGTTACCGCCGCCGCCGCCGCCACCGCCCCCTTGGCCATTCACCTGCGGTTCGACATCGCCCTTTGCCTTCTTCTTACCCGGCTTGTGGCGCTTCTTCTTCGCCTGTATCGCCAGCACTCGACGGTTCACGTCCGATTTGGAGCTCATTGGTGCGAACGGCCTGTGCGGCTGGGCGGGCGCGTTACTTCGCTTTTATTGCGACAGTTTTGCAGATGTAAAAGACGTAACTCGGCGCGGAGACGTCAAAACGACGAACGTCTCATCGCGAACAGCTTATTTATTTGATTATGGCGGACGTACGTTTCTAGCGCACGGAAAAATTCAGGTAGTAGGCACTGGATTCGGCTCGCTCGCGACTGCAAAGGACGTAAGAGCGACGTCAGCGCCAAGCGCGACTCAGAACTGAACTCGCCCTACAAACAACTACGCGCGCTCAACTCATCGCACTATATATTCGCCAAATCGCAAACCACTTTACCTACAGGCACACAGGCCTACAACCCGTTCAGGTATAATGTTCACTCACCTTCCTTTTGCTTTCGGCGCTTTCGATCTCCCTTCCCGTGCGATCTCTTTGTCGTTGTTCTCGTCCACTGGTCAGTTCAGCATTTTGCACGTTTAGCAGCAGTTCCGGACTCCATGTTTTTATTCACAGACACATTTCATGTCTAGCGTTACTTTAAACCCAATTTCATTTGAAGAAACTATTTGGACATCATAGATACTAAAACTAGAATAAACATTAGATAACGTAATCTCAACTTTTATCTAGCTGTTTATTATCATTAGGGCTGGCAGTAAATGCATCATAATTGCTCTATTTTTTATGTTGTTAAACTGATAATACAAAGAAAGTAAATTTGTATTGTTCAATGAAATTAGTAAATTATGTTTAAATTGTAATGCGGCACTGTTGTATTTTTAAAAATGCGCATGCACCATGTTGACAAACTACAAAACTGCAAACTATTAGGATCATTTGATTATGCAATAAGTGAAATACATAATATTGAATATGTTCTATTTTAAATTGACCGTGTAGTTATAATACAATTACTTGAATTCTAATTAAATTAAGCGGAGTGAGATAAGTACTACTGAAACCTGGCAACATCGCAACGGCTGCAGCGCAAAGCAAACAAACATCGAGGCATTTAAAAACCTTGGTTTGGCGGGCATTTAACTCGTAACGGTTATGTTTGCACACCGTGTCTCTGTCTCCCTAATTTCAGTTAAAACCGCTTATAAGTATCAAGCGCACTAGTATTGCTAGTGGTGCATTATTAGTGTACGGAGCATCATACGCGAGGCATCGCATTAGTTTCAACAGTGCCGCGTACCTACTCACCGAGTGGGCATTTTTGGCAGCGTGTTTTGCATTCAATCGCATTTATTTTATTCCTGACAATGGCTCAACCATCGGTAGCCTGTTATTTCAACACGCGGAAACGCAACGCAACCGAGGACCTCAAAATAACTAGGGCACGCAAAGTGCTACATCAAGAAGTTTCGGACAGCAACGAGGCCCAGGACAATCATGATTTTATCGCTGACAAAGCCCCAATCAAAGCGAAAACGCTGCCGATCGACCCGACTTCGCTGAGCGCAAAAATAGTGCAGCTCGCGAATCTGCAAAATGAAGGTAAAATCAAGGCGAAGAAACCAGTGCGCTCGTCGAGAGCCAAAAAAGTGATTGACGATCAGCAAAACATCCAAGAACTACTTAATAACATGATCCACAAAGACAAAGATGAGCCTCAACAAACCAAACTAACAGAAAATGAAGATACTCGGGAGATTCAGCTGCACAAGACGCCGCCGGCGACGCCAACGAAGACCAATGCGATGGACAAGGTGAAGGTTTCAATTCAGGACATGAGTATGAAGGAAGTGCGGCAAAAATTGACTAGGAGCAGTCGTCTCGCCGAACTGAAAGCTTCCATGGCTAGATTTAAAGAAAAAGATGCTAAACTTAAAGAAATTGAGAAGCACGCACCCAAAACATCTGAAACTCCAGGCTTGAAAAGCTTTAAATCAATTGAACTTGAAGTTAACATGAGGTTTGTAATTTTTTACTTTATTTTTTAATTTTATTTTAGAAAATACTTTAATACAAAATATTGTTTTGTTTCAGTCCGGTAAAGTCCCAAACTCCGGAAAAAATGTACCTGAGCCCAAGAAAAGACTCCACTGCAAAGAGAAACCTACTCAATTTACTCTCCCCCAGCAAAAATGCAATTAATTTGCCAAAAACTAGTAATAAGTTGCTAACGACTGAAAAATTGGCATTAACATTACCATTTAAGTACAGAACTCTAGCGGAATTGTTTCGTAGCATTGATACCGTCTCGCAAATCATGCACAATCGCAAAGAAATGATTACATTCAAAAAACTCAAGCCGGCTGTTGAAGAGCTAATCAAACGTAACTTAACCGAAAAACATCTCGCGCAAATCAAATTTCTCCTTCCGGACGCTTTCACTTTTCGACAGGACAAACTCCGCGCTTATGGTTCTAAGGTGGAAAGCTGGGAGTTGGTTATCGAACCGCATATTGAGCAGGGTTCAATGTCGTCGGATGCTTTATTAGAGAGACGACGTAAACTGTTTAATGTACTCATCGAAAAGGTAAAAATTTACCATCAGGAGTTTCTGTCATCGTTGGAACCTCCGATTGTTGTTGATGCAGAGAAGATAAAACGCTGGCATCCAGAGTTTGACATCGAAAGAGTACCGGATATCGAATGTGCAGAGTTGCCGAAAGCTCCAGTGGAAGAAAAGTTTACTACAGGTAAAGATGTACTTGACCGAGCGAAACTTATGTTCAATTGCAACACGCGCATGGAGGCGGCGTTGGAACGCTTGCAGAAAGCTCGCGATAATTCATCTCATGATCAGGTTGTGCCGGAACCAGCAAAGGTACAATCTGAGACGTTATTGAAAGGTATTCCTAAGTCTTTATTGGAAAAAGTACGTCAAAAACAAGCTGCGAAAGCTTTGGAGTCTATGACGCGCACGGATGCTAAAGATAAAGAAGTGCAGGTGTATTCGCATCTGCCGGAGTTGGCAAGACTCACGAGGAATCTCTTTGTGGCCGAAAAGCGTAGTGTTTTGCAGCTCGACATTGTGCTAGAGAAGCTAGGCAACAGTATTCGCACGTTTTTGAAAAAAGAAGACATTGAAGCGCGGTTAAAACTCATCGAGAAAGAAGTGCCTGGCTGGTTGATGTTCCATAATATTCGTAATCAAATTTACATTAAAATCGCCAAAGACGCCGACCTCAGTATTGTGCAGCACAAATTGGAGAAAATACTCAAGCTTAAACAGTCTGCATGAAATTACCACCCTAACGACCGATTAACCTAAACTAAACTACTTAGACTACTTCCAGTTAAATTTTCATTTTGTCTTTTCAATAGGTCATTATCTTATGATAAGTAACAATGCCATATGTTTGGACGACTGAATAGGTTTAAGAATACTAACGATGCTTTTCACAGGAGGGCAAATTGCGTAATTATGTTGACATCATGTTTGTGATTCTATTGACGATGAATGTGCAACATTATTTAGCTATTTTGCATTCCTTGAATTCAAATAATAATAATAATTGACTCTCGTTTGAATATACATTTGGCATGATTGTATTATGATGTATTTGCTGATTAAATCAACTTCGACTTATATCATTACTTTCGGGTCACAACAAATATGATAAACGCTGTGGTAATGTAATAATCAACGAGTTTATTATGTGAATCACAATTTGCAATAGGTACCTACTTACATTACGGTGAATTGTTGCCGACGTGGTTACTTTTGATTGTTTCGATACGTCGAGTCGGCCATTTTGTTTGTTTACTTCGCAATTATTCAAACAGCATTGTTATTTGCAACTGCATGCAAAAATGTTCTATATCTAGGTAGTGTGCGTGCATTGACTGGATGGATTGTCGAAATGTGAGGAAAGCGCAGTTAACTCATGTAAAAGTCATTCGTGACGCTCTGCTCGATCTCGATCAAGATATTATACAAGCGCTTCTTGATTTCCTCGTCGGGTGCCATCCGCGACTTGCCAAACTCACTGCTCGGGTTTGCACACTGTCTTAAAATGGACGCCAACTCCGCAGGGGTATGCGGCGTCATTAAAAGACCAGGAATCATAACCGTATTGGACATCCGCCATCCAAGAAAGATTTTTTCGCAGACAATTTGCAGATTGCTGTTGGTTACCTGATTAGAGCATCGATGCGTCTTCACGTCGCAAGTTGACCGACAGTCGAAAAACTCACAGTCGTCATCAACATCACACGCGTTCAGTTCTTTGATTATGCTGTTTATTGCTGATCTTGGAAAGACGCCCACCAAATCGATGAATTTCATTCGGGAACCTTCTTTGACAACGCCGAAGTGTTCTAGTTTGATGTCACACAGGTGGAATGGTTCCTGAAAACTGTTCTCTAATTCTTCTATCAATTCCACGATTTGGATTGCTGTGCGTAATCGGATGGCCCATTCTTCTTTGTTTTCTTCAAATGTTAGAAACGAAGAGAGTCCTTGAATGGGTTCGAGGTATTCCACAGCAAAATATGGACCACAGGTGCCTAGCAATTGCGGGAAGATGTCGCGCTCTGAAAAAATGGCTGATAACAGATATTCGTTATCCTGGATTAACATCCAAATGTTTTCCAATTCCTGCTGGCGTTTCTTAACGTCTGTTTCAATATACATTGGCTTCAAACGACTGAGACGTTGTGCGGTATCCTTTGAAATCGTGATATTGAATTTGTTTCGGACTATGGCGCGAACAGTTGACAGGAATTCCGCTTCGGTGGGATATTTCACGACGCCATTATCATGCCAATGCAGATCATGCACCTCTGATGCTGCGGTTTTGAAGACCAAGCGTGTTTTGTGCCATTCTCCACTGAATACCGCCTCTTTGGTTGAGCGAAATGAGTGACAGTTGATGTTATTTATCGCGTCGTTTGTACACAACGGGGCACAAACCGAACCAATCGCTCTGCCAGCAGCATAGAGTTCGCACTAAAAAAATTCAAAGATATTGTTAATAATATTGTAGTTTAATTATGTCTAATGGATGATTACCATGCGTTTGACGTGCATCCATGCTTGCGCGTTTGTGCAGATAAAGTTCCAGCGGATCAGGAAATAAAATAGTGTTAGCAGGACGAACAGACACGAGACGATGGTGAATCTGTGATAGTAGAAAAAGCCAGGCAGGCGGCGCACAAAGAGCATTATTAAGGATATAAACATATATTAAGGATAATTCGAAACGCGTAGGGTTACATTTTCCCCACAACAGGAACACATGTTATGCGGCGACGTACGTCGATGCGATGCGGCGGTCTACGATGCGTTGCGCAGTGGTGCGGCGTCGCGCCGCCCCCAATGCGTCGACTCCGTGCACAATGCGGTGTAGTTTCATTCATCATATTTTTTTTAATACTGCAAGGAAAGCTTTGGGTACAATATTAGTATCAGAAGAAAAGACTAAAAGTTTCGTTTTATCCATTTAATTGTACAGTCCTTAAAAATTTGTGCTTATTAAAATAACTTTTTGATCACAAATTTAATTATTATTTGTTTGAGTAACAAACAAACAACAAACTCAACTTTGCATGTGCTGGACTAATCAGGCAATACGTAACTGTAATGATATTCACCTTGCCAAACAAAACGCAATAAAACAAGCAGATGCTATGCTAGCCAACAATGTCTATCTGTGCAGGAGAATATTCCTAACAGTACACTCAACTGGCAACTCTATTTTTAGCCAGTACAAGTTGAACCTGTGATGAGGTCGAACCTCAAGCACTCTATGTACTCGAATTCAAAGGTATCCAGTCTGTGTTGATATAAAAATTAACATCATAGATAACGCCACTGATTGTAACTTTTACAGTTTGGTACTTGAACAACAAACTCGGTTTAATAACAGAAACTGATAGCATGACAAGCGTAATATTTTTAAGTTGATAATATTATATTAGATTCAGAATGTAATAGAGTGCCGCTAGTCAGTTAGTGCAGTGGTAACGGTTGGACGCGCAAAACTTTTAACTTTTATATTAAGTGACAAGCAACTGTTCAACATGGGCGTGTTATCGACGATATTCCTAACATCAACGGCAGTATTTATTATTGTCATAAGTTTGGCGATTCATCACATTGGTAAACCACAAAGTGTGCCGGTTTTGGAGGAAGTCTATTGGGGACCTGGTAGTCCACCAGCTAAGCAACGTACGGATGTGTCCCCAATGAAGGTTACCTTTACCGAAGAGGTAAAGTTTAATTATTTTTTTACCTTGTTCTTTTTTAATTTAAAAATTGTTTACTGTAGATGATTAAAGACTTGAAAAACCGTTTGGCCAATACAAGATACACACCACCTTTAGAAGGTATAGCACAGGAATATGGATTCAACACGGATCTTCTCAAAGAAATCGTTGATTTCTGGCAAACAAAGTACAATTTCAAAGAGCGGGAGACATACCTCAACAAATATCCCCACTTTACGACTAATATCCAAGGCCTTGACATTCATTTCATGCATATTAAACCCAAGGACACTAAAGGTCTCACCGTTTTACCGCTGTTAATCTTACACGGATGGCCGGGTTCTTTCAGGGAGTTCTATAACCTAATTCCTCTGCTCACCACCAGAAATCCTAACCATAACTTTGTTTTCGAAGTGATTGCACCGTCTCTACCAGGTTTTGGATATTCTCAAGCCCCTGCTAAGCCAGGCTGCGGGGCTTTGGAAATGTCTGTCATCATGAAGAACCTTATGTTGCGTTTGGGCCATACTCAGTTTTATCTTCAAGGTGGTGATTGGGGTAGCATAGTCGCAGCTAACTTGGCGACATTATTCAGAGAACACGTACTTGGCATCCACTGCAATATGTGCTTCGTATCAACGCCATTATCGTGGTTGAAACGCATTGCGGGTACATTATACCCACCCGCCATTGTGGATGAAAAGTATCAAGAGCGTTATTACCCAATGAGTGCATGGTTCAAAAACATGATGTTAGAATCTGGTTATTTCCATCTTCAAGCAACCAAACCAGATACTGTAGGTGTTGGTTTGAATGACTCGCCTGCTGGTTTGGCTGCCTACATCCTGGAAAAATTCACCACTGGAACAAATGCAGCTTTTAAAGCAAGAAAAGATGGCGGATTAAAGGAATACTTCACCTACGATGATTTGTTAGATAACGTAATGATTTATTGGGTAACAAACAGCATGACAAGTGGAATGAGAATTTACGCCGAGTCATTTACAAATATACAAAGGTCAGTCTAATGAGTACAAGTACTTAATTGCACTTATTAATTATTTAATAATGATTTATTGTTTTTCTTCAGGGTGCCTATTGTTGTTCCCAGCGCATGCGCTAATTTTAGAAACGAACTTTTCTACACACCCGAAGGTGTCTTAAAAGATCGCTACGTAAATTTGGTACAAAATACACATTATGAAGATGGCGGACATTTCATTGCGATGCAAATGCCGAAGAAATTGTCTGAAGACTTTTTCGGTGCTGTTGCAAAAATGGAAGAACAGCATCAATTGAAACAAGCATCAGCAAAACAATCATCCAATGAACTATAAGTAATATAACTTCTGACAAAATGATTTTTGTATTGTTTACATTAAATTAAAATATATATTACATAAGATAATCAATCCATTAGTGTGTTTTTGATATTATTAAATTGATTAAAACGTTTTAAGTTGAAACAATTAAGTCTTGATAAAGCGTACAGATTAGAAGTTAAAATTAAAAATGAATCGATGATGTAATAAATACATTGAAATGAGTTCAAAACGTTGATAAGATTGGGTAGGGGAGTCCGGGGCAAGATGAAACTCGGGGCAGGACGGGAAGTGTGAAAGTTAGCAATATTATATTAGATTAACTACGTGACTGCATGAGCATTAAATATTAAAACGTTTAAATAAAATGGGCGTGCTAAAATGGATATTCTTCATAATTATTGGGGTAGCATTACTTATAATAACAAAATTTATAACTCATCCTGTAAAAGCACCTGTTTTGGAAGAGAAGTATTGGGGTCCTGGAAGTCCACCGTTGGTCAGCAGGAAGACTGTTTCTCAAATAGAAATTACATTTACAACTGAGGTAGGTTATATAAATAATAATTAAACAGAACATTATGAGAAATTATTATGTTGCGATATTATATGCAACCAAGTATACAGTTATAAATAATATGATTTTGAATTAGGCAATCAATGACTTAAGATATCGCTTAGGAAATACTCGATACACACCACCTTTAGAAGGAATAGCACAGGAATATGGTTTCAACACAGATCTCCTCAAAGAAATCGTTGATTTCTGGCAAAATAACTATGATTTCAAACAGCGGGAGGCGTACCTCAACAAATATCCCCATTTTAAGACTAATATTCAAGGACTTGATATGCATTTCGTGCATGTGAAGCCCAAGGACACTGCGGGTCTCACTGTGCTTCCACTCTTGTTACTACATGGATGGCCTGGCTCAGTGAGGGAGTTTTACGAATTGATTCCGTTTTTAACCACAAGAAATCCGAAGCATAACTTTGTGTTTGAAGTTATTGCACCCTCACTGCCAGGTTTTGGTTATTCTCAAGCCCCTGCGAAACCAGGTTGTGGTGCTGTGGAAATGGCTGTCATCATGAAGAACCTTATGTTGCGTCTGGGACATTCAAAGTTCTATATTCAGGGTGGTGATTGGGGTAGTATGATAGCGTCATACTTAGCTGCCGTTTATAAGGATCATGTGCTTGGTGTGCATTGCAATATGTGCTTAGTATCTACACCGTTAGCATGGATAAAGCGTTTTGCTGGAGTTCTCTACCCGCCAGCGATTGTCGACAAAAAGTACCAAGATCGTTATTACCCACTTGGTAGTTGGTTCAGAAATATGTTAGCCGAATCTGGTTATTATCACATTCAAGCGACTAAACCTGATACCGTAGGAGTAGGCTTGAATGACTCGCCTGCTGGTTTGGCTGCCTATATTCTGGAAAAATTCACTACGCTCACAGATCCTGCGTACCAAAAGAGAATTGATGGTGGATTGCATAAAGATTTTAGATATGAGAATCTTCTTGATAATATTATGATTTATTGGATTACTAATACTATGACAAGCGGGATGCGTATATATGCAGAGTCAAGAAGGAGTGATATTCAAAGGTAAATTGTTTTTAATCGTTGAATTGAATTTAATTCGTACTTTTTGTTGCAGGGTGCCCATTGAGGTGCCAAGCGCATGCGCCAATTTCAGGCACGAGCTTTTCTACACACCTGAAGCAGTTTTGCGGGATCGTTATGTAAATTTGGTACAAAACACTCACTATGACTTTGGCGGCCATTTTATTGCAATGCAAATGCCTGACATCTTGGCTGCCGACATATTTAGCGCTGTGGAGAAAATGGTATTACAGCAAGTAAATGACTATTCGTTCGAAAAAGATTTGTAGGCAATTATTTTTACACTCGCATTAATGTTTTATTTTAAATCTTATTTTTTAAATTGAGTCATTACCAAACAATTGTAGCATAAGTCGATACTACTTAAACCCGGTAAATGGCAAAGCATAAAATCTAATCGGAAACTAAACAAACACAATTGTGTGGAGTTTTATTACCCAAATCATAATAAATTAGCATATCAAGCCTGACCTAGTGTTAATTTATCCGCCGTAGACGGATGACTGGTCGAGGAATTTGTAAATTTTCCCTATTACCTGTTACCGTTTTCATTAACACACGCGAGCCGATGACGGCGATGGTCATTGCGCGACATGCAGCAAATTAGCGATCGGTAACCGGTAACTGTACCTACCAAACGCGGCAAGAAAGGTGAGTTAGATGGGCGATGGGTAAACGGGTAGAAGTGGAATCGGCCGGTATCTGTCGGCGCGGCATGCGTGCTGCTCGGCAGTAACTCGCCGCCACCGCTCCTTCGACGACCACCATTCACCTACGCCGAAAGTCCGAAAACGCGCGCGGCAGGCGCACACGAGCGAGCGGCGAGGCATGTTGGCACGCAGCAGGTGCCGCGTTGTTGCGTGCGATGGAAGTGCATAGGTGAGATTGCGCACCGACCGAACGATTGTCGTGCTGTGGTCAGCAACAGCGCCGCGAGAACGCGAAACTGGACCGAGAGTGCGGCTCGACTGCCATTATCGCGGAAAGCCCTTCCTCAAAAGACACAAAAACAACAATTTGTGACATTTGTGAATGTTTATATGTGGATGCTACAAAGTGTTAATAAATGTGTAGTGTAATTCAAAAGCAAGCATCAATTTTTTGTTGTTTTGTTTTGAGAATTGATTGATAGAAAGAGGCTGTGATTATGACGATCACCTATACCGGTGAGGTGTGCAACGGAAGCTCGTTCGGATGCTTCTGGACCGTGTTGAGGAAGTGAGTATCAAATTGTTTATTTCGACTGGTATCGAAAATCAAGAGAACAAATCACACAAAAAAAAAACGTAATGAAGTATTGCGCAACCGCGACGAATTACCCACATCACACATGATTGAGCTGTTCGTTTTTATGAGTTCCTTTACCGTGCAAACACAAACAATTTTGTAATTTACTCGCGCCGCAAAGATGTACAAAGACGCTTCAATCGCTTCAATGAACACCAGCGTTCATGGTTTGCGCAAAACGAAGTGCACTCCACAGCAACTAACGAATTAATATCATACTTACAGCTGGAGAATTCTATTAATCACTAAATGTCAGACGCTACACTAACCTAACTCAACATTTACAGCCATTTTCTATGGATAACCTATAAACGTAAATGTCAAGTTAAAAACTAACCTCTCTTAACTTACCAAGGTTGTTTTTGCTAATTTTTGACAATAGCGTCTTGTTAAATTCAAATTTTGTGCTTATTTTAATCAAATTCGTTTCGGATGGAATTTTTTTCGTCGATTGTTTCACTTGTTGCGCTTGTATCACGTCGCATGTTACATGAATTCGACTTTTAACTTATCGTTGTACCAGCATATGTTATTACCGGTAACGTAGTGAAAAGTTACATGAATTAATAAGCGCGCGATGCATTCGACACATGCATGTCGACGTGCGATCGGGCGATTGGTACGCGTGGACCTGCAGAGTGTTGTGTTGCATTATTGCACACCGACATTATCGCCATGTTTCTCAATCCATGGGTCGCGACATCGCCTGAATCTAATTTCGGGTTTAATTAGTATTAAAATATGCATATGCACGCCACTGGAACATATTGGTTATGATTGTAAGATAGGCAACTTTAATATCATGCATAAAAATGTCAGGCACTGATCTGTAATATCAGCGAATACGACAACAACAGAATGATGCTTTATTTTGTTTTATTACGGCGTGCGCACACGTTTTCGCGAAACAATCGTCCGGATCGGTAATCGACGTGATCGTCGTGATCGTAATATAGTTTTGGTCACGTTCGATGCGCGCGTTACATGATTACATGTGTTTCCAGCACGCGCTTTTTTCGAACGTCTCTGAAAAGCTGACGGCAATTAAACCGAAAGTGAAACATTGAATTAACATAATTACAGGCGGCTGCAGGTCGTAAACTCGTTGCCTCATAACACTCCTTAAAACATGCTGGATGTTATTTAAGCGAGAAAAACAAAAATTCGCGTTTAAATTTCGATTTAATTTCATTTAATTTACGATGACAATTGTGCAAAGGAATGCGGCGCGTGTGCGCACACCACCCGCGGACTTTCTACGTGCGATTCGAATTGAATTCGAAAATGAAGTCTGCCGCCATCGCCATTGTAATGCGTTAAGTGAATGTCAACCGATACAAACCGTGAAAATGCGTCGTCGTCTTTCTCGTGCGTCTCATTTCTACGAAACGTTTTACTATAGATTATAAACGTATATTTATACGAGATACGAGCAAAGCGTAAATATATTACTCATTGTTGTGACTCTTTCAATTGCAAACATGTCACCGCGATGAAAGGCAATTTCATATAAGTAGCTAGCTGGCAATCATAAAATGGTTGGCAAATCATCCAACTAATAAACATTCATTTATATTGTTTGCGTAAAAGTGTTTTATATACGCGACTTCATCCACGTGATTATTTTTATATACAAAGTTAATATAATACAATATATTTTAATTTTCATTTAATTTATAGAAATGAGAAATGTCAAAAATGCATTTTAACGCCATCTCGATTGAAATTATGTAACTAAAAATAGGATTCAATCTATTTATCAATTTTCCCCTCTTATTTTACACGTTTCCTGTTATATTTTTGAGATAAAAAGTAGCTCATTTGCTTTTCCAAGGTTAAAACTATTTCTATACCAAAATTTATATAAATTGCTTGAGTGGTTTTTGCTGGAAAGCGTCACAAACAAACAAACTTAAATTCGCATTCATAATATTTGATTTATTTGTGTTATTTATTTTTTGCAATACAAAGAGGAAACTTCGCATCAATCAAGACCTGTCACTTTGTCGGAAATTAATTTATTGGAATTGATTTGGTGCAATCGCGCAATAATTGACCGTGAGTTCTCGACAGCAAGCAGGAAAAGACATGAGATTATTACAAAAAATATTGCAGTGAATAAATACATAATATTAAACTGAACTGGTTCGATTAAAGTCGAATAAGTTGCCATGTTTCTTGTTACCGGCATATTAATGCCGAAATTAGACAAATTTCTCTTATTTTATTGTCACCGATTAAAATCTTGCAATTTCTTGCTACTTTATTCACTTTACGAAGCGGAAACTATTTCGTTGTTGTGGTTGTGTTGTTTTCGCCAATATTACATTCTTCTTAACTTTTTTTCTTATTTAATTTACGAAAAAGTTTTCAGAAAAAAATAATAAACGAGTCAGGTATTGAGTTTATGCAAAAAGTGTGCTGGTATTTTATAATTGAAACACGTAGCTATTTTCGTATAATCGGTCGTTGCTCGAAGCACGAAGATTGTGAAGACACGATCCCTCGAATTATTTATTAGCTGTTGTTATATGAATCACTGAGTCAAGATCACGCTTCACATTTTGACGAAACAAGAGAGGCGTGCTTCACAAGCAGCCAAGCAGGATATATCGGATGGAATCTTTACCTTAATAAAATTGGATTGCACAGATTTATCTAGATTGCACATTATTACCGTGGTTAATCAACAACACTGTTCGATATCAGCATAGAAAGGAAAAAAACACTTCATAAAACTATATTTAAACATAAAAAAACCCAGTCGTGTTAGTTACATCAATTATAACTCAGGAGCGGCTGGACAAATTTAGATAATCTATGATTTTTAGATTTATCTTTTCCTCGAATAAAAGAATAACTATTAAAATATCAAAAATTTTAATTTAAAGGGTCTTAAATAAATAATTCAATTCAATTTCGCACTTAAGCAGATTTTAAAATTTCTCAATTCTTTAAAATAAAATTCTAGTCTTCTGGAGTCAGTGATAACAAAGAAAAAATTAATTACGTGTTTACAAAAAATTATGGCGATGAAGTCGCGGGAAAAAACTAGTTTTATATATTTATATAGGTTATGTTGTAAAAATGACTCATATTGTACACTTTTAAGGGAAAAACCACGGAAGTCTTCGAATAGATGTGGTAATTATTTTACCTTGCGAACAAAAGTGAAAATAATGTCGAAAAATGAAATAGCAACAAAATGTGGCCGTGTGTGCGGTTACAATTCACAATTATGTAGTTAGTGCGCGCGCTGGCAGCTTTTGTGCTCAATGACTGAACAATTTTTGTTAGATTATGCCCCACGAGTCACGACTGATGATTATTATAAAAAAATTAAAACTAATAATAGTGTGGAGCAAATGTCGCAAATGCTACCGGCTTCGGTCACGTGACTAATAAAAAAATACAAGACGAATTTCATTACTACTAAATGCAAGTCAGCAATTATTTTAAAACAAAAACATGCATGTAACTAAAATAATTGATAATTGTTTATCAAAACCACGAAATCAAAACAATGAATTTAAATTTTCAAAATCTTAATTATTTACTTAATTGAAAGCCTAAAACAACATTTATCAGACACATTTATCACACGAAGCAAAGGTTGACATTCTTCGCAGATTAATTGAAAGTAATGAGTTGTATGAAATAATATTTTAACTATTTCGAGAAAACCTCGATGAATGTGATTTAAATGAAGACATAATGTAAACAGTAAACAACCGAACTCGCTCGTTAATCTTTTTCGCGAACACGGCGCGATAATCATATGCGCATAATTTACGCGTTAGACATCGATAAATCAGGCGCAGAAATGGATTCGAAAAATCAGAGGCTTCGATTACTTAATTATTGTTTATCACTCAACGCGAATGGAAATTTAATTAATCGTTCGTGGAATTACAACACGACACGATGAACGAGTGGCATAGATTATTTGGCAGATTTAATTGCATTTGATATTTTTATATCCGTAATCTTATATTACTGCAATAGAAAGGTTTTTGTGGTTATTAAGTTGAACAATTAGTTAATGCGGAGATTGCTACCGTAATTAGCATGTAATGGATATAATGTAAGAGGTTGTGTTGGAAGTCATCGGAGTTTTACGTCGGCTTCGGTCATTTTTCGTTCGCCGAACGAAACTTCACAAGAATCGAAAACTTTCACCACCGAATCGCCGCCGGTGCATAATTCGCGTTCATTTCTATTCATTTCGATATGTCAGTGTGTGTGTTGTATTGTAGTATTCTTATTTTCAATATTAATTTAATTTAGCGTGGTGATACGGACGTAATGAAAGTATTTTCGATATTTCTACGTCTGTTTATTGGTAGTGTGTTGTTGGTTGCCTGCTGTTAGTGACGCAATATCTCACAATCTGTTGATCTGTATGTATAATGCAAAACGAAGACGTGTTAGTTACAGCCTTTATAACTCAAGAACGGCTGGATTAATTTTAATGATCTATGATTTTTTAGATTTGTCTTCGTCTTGAATAGCAGAATAATTATTCAAATATCATATATTATGACTTAAAAGGTGTTAAATAAGGAATGAAAATTGATATAGCGATTGTGTTCGAACATAGAACAAGACGTAATATTACTTATTAATAAAATGTAAAACGAAACTTTGTGTAAATCAAAGTTTTGTTTAAAGTCAAAACTGACATAAATGTACAAAATTGTCGTATTTGCATACCGAAGTATTAGTTATTACATCACAAAATGCAAACAAACCTTTATAAATTAAAATGTCAAAATTACAGTTAAAGTCAACGTCAAGATTTTTCATTTCCTTAAAATTTTCTACTTATTTTCGTTGTTGTGCACGTTGAAGAATGTTGCAACGCTCGTGTTTACACAAAATAACAATGCGCCTAACATATTTACATCAATCATTACTCAAATACACATGTAAATATTTAAAATTCTGCAAAATTGCCAGGCTCGTGGCACGGCACTATATCTTACACTGTTCACAATTGCATGCATGTACATAATACTCAACTATGTATTTTTCTACGCCGAATGGAATTTAATGTCAATGTTGTCGGCACGTTTGCTATTAGCTACGAAAACGCCGCACGAAATTCCCAATAAGTCAATGTAGCAACGTAATTCAATACAAATACTGCTCATGTACATCACGAGCGAGTAGCTAAACGAATCTCGTTAAAGATCAGAATCAATAGCACTTGAACATCCTGCAATGTCAATGGTGATTGCGCGATTTGCGCGCCGACAAGAGGTGTTTTATAATAGTTAGCTTGCCAATTCGCGGCGTACTATTAATGAATGACATCACCATATACAAATATCCGTGCTTACCGCTTGGATAATTATATTGATAGCTTACTTCTTGTCAATGATTGCGCACGTGTGGCGTTATCGAAATTTGTTCGTGGAAATCTGCTGATTCAAACGCCACAATTTATATAACTAATTAAGGCTGTATAAACCTATATTTTAGTAAGCACCTAGAAACATAAGTAATTACCGGGACACTCATATTTGAGTGAATTAGCCGCCATTTTTTATTTATGCTAGGACGCATATTTTGTTGTTTTTACTGTTGCTTTCAACACGGCAATAACAATACCATTTAAGCGTCAATCTTAATTGCGCTCGTCCATAAACGGAAATTTACCGCCGTCCGCGAAACGTGAACGCTAATATTACGACGAGTTAATTAATTGCTTACCAATTTCGTACACGAAATAATCCCTGCAACACACACAGAGCAGATTATAACCGGCAGGCAGACGCTGAATTGACGGCTATTGACAAATAGGAAACATGTTAAACAATTAAAACGACACAAACAACAATTATTCGGAATGAACTTGAGACGTGAACTTAGCCATGGCAGTAAAAATTCAGGCGTTTTTTAATTGTTTATATAAGCGCGCGGTTAGGTAACACATCAAGCATCCGAAACAATTAATTCTTAATCGGCTATTGTGGCGAATTCAAACGCGTCTCTCATCGCCTTGAATCGCTAAAATGTGCATTGGAAATGCAGAATTAATTGAAGAATGATTAATTAAGCGCTGCACACGCTCGAATCAGTTTTAAATTAACTCGTAACGCTTTTATCCGATAATTACATTGTTTATCGTGTTATTGCGTTTCAATATATAATTTAATTTTGTTTTTATTTCCAGATGGAGAGGCAGTGTATACAAATTAGTCTGGCGAGAACTCCTAGCCTATTTATTCCTATATTATTTAATTAATTTATTGTATAGATTTGGATTAAATGATGAACAGCAAAGGTAGGTTATAATGTGTATACTTGGTTGCCTGTATTGACGTTTTTGTTTTGTTGGTTATGCAGAGTGTTCGAAAGGATACGGCTGTATTTCAGTCAGCAGAGCGAAACGATACCCATGTCCTTCGTGATGGGTTTCTACGTGTCCTTGGTGGTTAAAAGATGGTGGGAACAGTATAGATTATTGCCTTGGCCGGACACGCTGGCTTTGTTCCTGAATGCGGGTATTCCTGGCGCCGTAAGTAAGAGACACACATTGTAAATGATAATTTTACTATATTTCGTGTTTGCTTGTTTGGTGATATTCAGGATGAACGTCAAAGACTGATGCGTAGAAACATCGTTCGTTACGCAGTCCTCGCCTACGTCATCACCCTGCAGCGAGTGTCCTTGAGAGTGAAGAAACGTTTCCCATCGTGGCAGCACGTCGTAGATTCAGGTGCGTTGCCCAATATTTCGATACAGCATCAGGAAAGGAAGCGAAAGTTCAATAAACAATCACCACTCGTTTATAACAACGTAATGGCGGACAAAGCAGCGGAAGTTTCGCTTCCGGATGCACACGCTGCCGGCGGCGGTGATTCAATACGAAATTTATGTGAGTTTTTCATGTGTGCTGCAGGTCTGATGCTGGAAAGCGAGCGTAAAATATTTGAGCTCATGGACGGCAAGACGCCAATGTCGAAATACTGGATGCCCTTAGTCTGGGCGACGAATATTATAAATCGCGCCCGCAAAGAAGGCATGATTACCAGTGACCACATCGTTCAAACTCTTCTGACTGAATTATCGGACATCAGGAGGAGATTGGGTGCGCTCATTGGCTACGACACTGTTTGTGTGCCACTGGTTTACACACAGGTAAATTGACAAAAAGATCAAGGTGACGTATGAAGAAAATGTAACACTGTCAATTTTTTTCGATTAAATTCTTGGTGGCTTCAAGACGTCACAAATTCGATCGATTAAAACTTGAATCGTATGAATAATGCATTATTACGCGCTGGAATTCCATTCAATTTCGAATGATAATTACGCGCGTGGTGCGCATTATTAAAAACTAATTCAATCGACATTAGACTCATGATCATGAATGTGTCTTGTGTTGGTGATTTATTTGGGTTAATAACATAGTGCGTTGACAAATGTTTCGCGACGCACAAGAAATGGATTAATAAATTAGGACACTGATAGTGTCCTTGCATAGGTAGCAATTAATGCCAACAGCGCAAGGCGAAAAGAAATATTTGCATAAACCTAATTCTGACAGTCGTACGCCGCCATTTTGATTACCTTGCACTTCATACGAGTGAATCACACAATTGACGAAATTTTTTACAAGTGCAAACAATATTTATAATGATTTCCCGTACTGTTTAGTATGCATTGTGCGCGAATGCGCATGAAATTATCGATTAATGATTGCCCGAACGGTATGAATACGCAATTTATGCGCTGCGCATGTTTTACGCGAAATCTGCGTTAACCCACTAAAAATACACACATACTGGTGCAAATTTGCGCAAAAAAAAAACAAAAACCGCGCGCGCCATCAGCGTTAATTGTCGCGGCACGAAGCGTTTCGATTTCGAACATTCCGGAAAACAAACGTGTTGAAAACGAACAAGTTAAGGAAAGTTTTACGTTAGTGCCTTGATTTACTAAACACCAAAGCTGCTCACTGCGACGAGACATTTTCTTATCGCTTGCATATAGAACAACAAGCAATTATTATTCACACTTGTATATTTTAGTTATAGTGATATCTTAAGTTTATGACTACGCTGTGTTTGCTTCAAAAAAAATCTGTTTACTTATGAAACGTAAAAACATTAAAAACCTTGAGTTTTTCTTGCATTAACATTCGATTGCAATGCTCAATGGCCGAGGAAAGTAATTACCGGCGCATTCGCTTCCTCGTTGTAATCTAATTGATTTGCTCGAAGCTGAGTTAGTCGATGTCGTTGCACAGACTCCGGACGGCTAACAAACCGATAAAATTACCCAAGTACATCGACATCAGCCGTACCTATGTACGCGTCCAATGATTTATGGAAGATGTTATAAATCTCAGCATTGTATCCTGCCCGGGAATGCGCAGCAATTTCAAGTCAACGAAGAGCTAACAAATTGCATCGGTAATAATTTATCTCCGGATTGCTAATATTTTACAAACGTAGGATTTTTGCCCGGAAAAGGCTGACTTTAACTTTGAATAAACTGTTAGTTAAATGAATGTAAAGTCACCTGTACCCGCCGGCTGATAAAGCCAACTTATTTGAGTTGACTTAACTCTGAGCTGAGTCCGGTGTGTGCGCAGCTCTAGTTTACTTAGCTGCTTTTGTCCACTCGTTTCGTGCATGCTCGGCCTCGGTGCATAACATCCTGACTCTCGCGACTCGGATCGGTCGTCGAATCGGTTCGACTGGTCATTACGCGTTTACCTTGAACGTTCATTATGTATGTAATCGCCTCTAGAGGACTTGTTCTTATCGCATCGACTTATAAATATTATTGCGCCGAGTGCCGTGTTACTATACTTATCAATAAAACACATGCAAAACAAATTTTATTCACAGAAGTTGCGAATACTTCCTAATGTATTTTTTTTTCGCGTCTGATTAATGTTAATTTTATTTATGTATTCCGTGTTTGCGTTTTCATGCCGAATTTAGCAACCAATAACCATAACGAGAAATTATAGAAATTTTGCATGCGCGAATAAATACATAACGAAATTTTAAGTTGTAAATTGTTTCGTAGAGAGTGAAATTTCAATTTCACCCTAATATAGATTGGCGCCGCGATTTGGCGACTTTCTAATATCATTTCTAGGTGAAGTTCAAAAACGTACAAGACGACCGCCTAATTACGAATTAATCGTGTATATTAGTTGACCACAACTAAAACAGGAAGTTATTCATTAGTTTTGAATAAAAATCAACTGCATATAAGAATAAATTCTTCAACTTTCATAAATATATAAAATATTATCGAGACTTGCATTGAAATTCTCTTTATTTATAGGTTGTTACGCTGGCTTTGTACACTTACTTCATTGCTGCGTTACTGGGTCGACAATTTGTACCCAATGCCACTGAACCTGTTGGAAAATTCGAAGCGCCCGACATGTTCTTCCCATTTTTCACAGCTTTACAGGTTCGTAAATAATATATTTTTATATTTTTATATTGTGTGGTATTTAGACTAGTAGCCAATTATATTTTACCATTTTTAGTTCTGTTTTTACTTGGGCTGGTTGAAAGTCGCCGAGGTGTTGATCAATCCGTTCGGCGAAGACGACGATGACATCGAACTGAACTGGCTCATTGACAGACACATCAAGGTGAGTGCAAACATGTTCATTAAATCTTTATGACGCAAAATCATTAAATCAACAATATAACGTACATTTCTTATGAATTTCTACTTTTTCTCAGTGATGACGTCACTTTTTATTATATTTGATGATATACCTATACATTAAAATTCACGACATGACAATAATTGCAAATCGAATTTGCACTCACACTTCATGAATTGAATAATGTATAAGCATATTATATAACGGTTACAAAAATGACACCTGCTGTCCATGCAAAAAAATAGTTACAATTAGTTTCTAATATAGTTTGACACCGTTTAGTAAATTTGCAATCATTTCTAGGCCAGTTACATGATCGTTGACGAAATGCACGAGGAGCACCCTGAGTTGCTCAAGGATCAATATTGGGACGATGTGGTGCCAAAGGACCTTCCATATACTGTCGCTTCCGAGCACTACAGACGCGAAGAACCAAAAGGATCCGCTGAAAAATACAAAGTGAAAACCACTGATGCAATGTATGCCAACCTGATATCACCCAGGAAGACTTTAGTTGATGATAATTATGCCGATTATGTAAGTTACTATAATTATAAACACATGGAAGTTTTTTTGTTTGTTTTTTTTATTTTACCTTTGTATTATTGCAGGAAAGCGTGGATACTCCAATCGTGCAAAGAAGAAAAAGTTCCAATTGGTTTACACGTCAAATTTCCCGAACCAGAATGGGTTCTGGCCGCTCCGCATCAACTGCTTATAGTTCAGGCGGTTTGTTTTCAAGACACAGGGGTAATTCTGTTGATGCTGAAACAGCTGGTATTCCACAACCTAAAATGTCGATTTATGATCGTCTCGTTGGAAGAAAATCGGGCAGGAATCAAAGACACACAAAACAAAGTACACTTTTCATTATATAGCTTAAATAATGGTACTTATAATTGTGTATTTCTAGGTAATGGTCGTCTTTCGATTGGAGGTGCCCAAAACCCACTAAAATCACGACCAAGAATCCCAACTCCAGACGTTACGAAAGAAGTCGTCGATCGTGAAAATCGCCTCGCATTGCATGCTGTAAATCTACAAAACCCAATGTCTGGTGTGACTTTGATGCAACACCATGGAATACAAAACGCATCGTATCCTAACTATCCTTCTTCAGACATGCCTGTAGTTCAAGTCGTCCTTTCACCTATTCAGGAATTGGACGGAACAAGCAGTGTGAATAACACTTTACATGCAAATCAACCAGGAACAGCTGCTCTGGCGCAAGCTATCCTTTCACCTGGTGTTGGTCCTGTCCTCACCACACCAGTCAGTCTTCCAATGACTGTCTCACAACTTACTTCCTTAGGTTTGGCCCCAGTCACGAATTCCCCACTGGTAACAAGAACGATGCCTGTACGGGCGTCGCCAACATTCGCAAAATTATTCAATGACTCACCGAAAAGCAGTGGTAGCACTGCCGCGACCATCACAGAGCATCAAAGTGACGATGACCTGGATGAATGTAACAGTAACGGATCCAAAGGGTCGGGAAGTCATGTATCAAACACGACTGCATCGATTAAGTCAAAATCTGACGGAGAAACCGAACGAAAAATTTCAATGAATACGCCAACAAGTTTGGCAAGTCCCAATCTTGAGTCGTTGAATTCAGAAGGCGGTGAAACTAGCAGGAAAACCTCGGTTGCCTCGCAGAGTAATAACAGTTCATCGCCAAAACGTGAAGTTTATGTGTGAATCATGATGGTGCAAATATTGAATTAAGATGAAAGTAAAATCAAAAATATATTTGCCAAACGGCTATGTTGACCAAGACGAACCAATCGACGGATTGGGTTTTTTGACTTGAATCAACAACAAATTACAAAGGAAAACAATGAAGATTTATATTTATAGTTAAATGTATTGTTCGTGTTTGGGTTCATTTGATTTTTGAACGCATACATTAAGTGTAAGGAATTGTTTAATTTGTGATATTCTAGACGTACTTAACTGTCAATTAAAATTAAGAAACACATTATAATCAATATGTTAGATTAAAGGAGGTTAGTTAAAACGTAGAATTAAAGTGATAGTGATCTAATCGCTGCAAGATATTTTTAGATATGTGTAAGGAATGAATGAACTCTATGTCATTTATATGTTATTTATATAAAAACTATGTAAATATTAAAGATATCGCAATGAAAATGAAAATGGAATCTGGGCTGACTCAATATTTGTACTGAAACAGTGCTACTTCCATGAGATCTTAACGAAGAGTAGCGATAGCGCAAGCGCAAGATGAAGCTCTTGATTTATGACTTATCTGAGCAGTGAAATATCGCAAAGTTTATGCAGAAACGCTTCGAAGTCAGCGTCGTATTTAATTTACACGGTGAGAACAATAGATCCATCGACGCGTTCGCAACGGTAAGTAAGTAAGAGCGCGGGGCCGAACCGCGCCGGTTGGTATAACGCTGTGAGAAAACCGAAACAATGAATGCCGGTGTCCATTTTCATTGTGTCCGGAGTGCACCAAGCACAGCCGCACGGCGTACAGGTGTGCGTGGCTGTAGATGTGAACTCTTTATCGATGTGTGTTTGCGTTTTGGTCGCGGCGGCAGGTCGATCAGCGTTCGCGCGAGCCGCGACTACACTCCGCCGGGCGCACTCCGAAGGAGCACCTCTTCGCGGCGCGGTCAAAACGGCCGAAGAGACGGGCAGCAGAGCGCAAGTAATGCGTGCGCGCATGCACCGCGTGCTGAGTTAAAATAAGTGGGTGAATATGTGCCGGCGCGCAAGCCCACAGCCGGCCGCTGTAAATCGACGACGTGCTATCGTGTGAATTATGGCGATTCGGTGACATTTTGATTGCAAACAGTGACTGTTATACCATGGAAGGGCTGCTGCATCACTCGTACAGTTCGACGTTGAACTTTCTGAAAGGACGCGGACAAGATAATGCCAAGCATAAGAAGTAAGTCGTTGTTGTCATTACTCATTTTGTACTTGTTTACGATGAGAGGTTAATATGCGATGCGATTTTTTTCTCGCGCCGGTACAATAAAACTTGTTTAGGTAATCGACGAGCAATTAAAACTTTACGGTTGATTAAATTTCGAGACGCGGAAGGCAGGTTACCTGCAGATGACCCGCGATAATTCTACTTAAGTCACTTGGTCAGAGGTTTTCGTGTTATATTGCCGGTTATTACGTAAAATGACATAATTTTACCTCAAGATATAATTGAATGTCGCTGTAAAAAAGCATTAAACCTCATTTTTTATAATTTAATATTACAGTTGTAAAAACTATTATTTTAAATAGGACTTGGTACAAGAAAAAAAAAAGAAGTAAGTTATTGTTGAGTACAATGGAATGTGAGAAATATTATTCCGCTTTTTAATTGTTTCTGATGAGCTTATAAAACATGGAATCTAAACTAACGCTGCGTACGAAATTATGACATAATTTCCGTCGCCTCCTTGCCGGAATTCTATAATTTAAAGTCATAATCAAAACTTGTAGTTATATAAAAAGTTTGCACAGGATATCCGAATCCGATCCAAAGTTGGCAGAAGGCAAAAAATCTCACAGCTCAAGTATTTTTCCTTTGAGTAATCAGCTAATCGGGCATCGCTTAATAATCATCCATAATTCTGTGTGGCTTTTATGGACTTTATGGGCTTTAAGTACAAAATTAGTGCCCCTTTTGTGCACGGCGAACGTAAACCATTTCAATTAGTGGAAAAAAGCCATTCGAGCTATTTTCACATAGTAAAAGCGTTGCTGCCTCTCGAATAGCTTGTTGGAAGAATACTCGCCGAAACGCGCAAAAGGCATCGCCGATAACGCGCAGAAATGCTCCTTATTACGTCAAGTGACTGACGGTTCCCAGTCCCGTCTCGCCGCGCTTTGATCTTGCACCGACCGGCGATGCGGCTCGTCCGCGAACGCAAAACATTGTTGCGCGGATGGCGAAGATCGCACGAACATCAACAATAACTAAACCGTCGAGGCGCATCACCGAGATTACGATGAAAGTGCCAGTGCCGGGCGTCGTGTGACATTTCCATGGTTCCCACTCGTAAAATCGCGTTTACGATTCAAGAAGTACGCCATGTTCCATTTCCACCCACTGCGAATCGTTTAACGACGCATTCATTCAAGTTTTGTTGGTTTTCTACATCACACGGCGTAAAAATCTAAAAAATGCAATTTTTTAGGTTAGGTTTTGTTGACTATTAATTGGAAATTCTCGGCCGCCATATTGCTTGACCTTTTCCAACTAAATCCGTTGTTATCCGAGCGGAGATATGATTTATTCCGGCTTTTCAAACTTTTACTATCATTTTTACGGCGTCGTCAAACAATCCTCGTGAACTTTCCATCTCGCAGCTGTCACCATCGTGCCAATCAATCAAATACGCGGAGAAACGAAACGAAAACAACTTTTACATCGCAATGCAACACAACTTCAACGACATTTCCGTGAAATTTCCATGCGGTACACGGCTCTTTTTCTCGCCGGCGTTTTTGATTTGTTTTCGTTTCGCACCACGTAGGATTCAATGTTGCGCCGGGCAGACAAAAGAAGAAGGTGAAGCAGTTTATTTGATGACTCGAGTGCTGCTTTATGTTTTTTAGAATCCACTCTAATGTATATATATATACGCGGTGCGCGCATACAAACCCAGGGCATGGGATGGTGGAGGAGACCAGGGAGACCAAACGCGGTCGAAGTGTACGCCGTGGCCCCGTGATTGTGTCGGTGTGCGCCGGAGTGCTCTCGCAGCCGGAGCGAGTTTTTGACCTCCTATTGAATTGAAGTTTTCTCGTGGGAAGGAGGAGAAGCGCGCCGAAGAGTTTAAGTGAAGATCACCTCCGAGCGCACATTCAAAAGTCAGAAAGCACGGCGGCGGTGTATGCATATGGGATGTGTAAGGAAAAGGTGCGCGCGAGCGGAGGGCATTATGTCTTCGCGGCGCGCATTTATAGCTCTCGAGTGTAACGACGGCGATGACGAGTACGAGAGACCCGGGTACGTTGCACCAGCGCAACGAAAGGAAACCCATTTCGGAAAGGAGGCGACCAGCGACGGCTTCGCGCATGATTGTTTCCTCGTTTCGGTGCTTCCTTTTACGCCGCGGACAGGTTCGACTTTACTTTTGGCTGAAATTTCAGCGCGGCCATAAGCGTACTTACTCGTAACTTATATGAGCGTGTTTCCTGTTCTCGTAACAATTTGGCATGTTGTGTTAGTTTAATCTTTTATAACTCAAGAACGGCTGGGCGGATTTTCATCATCTATTATTTTATGGATTCATATTTGCCTAGAATAGTAGAATAATTATTAAAATATTCAAAATTATTACATAAAGGGTGTTAAATAAGGGATTAAAATTGGTATTAAGATTTATTCATAGTTATAGTTGAATATTTGAATACCAGATGGCGCTAAAGTGCATTATTACCGTTTCTCACTTTATTAAAATAATTTTTAGTAGAAACTCGCGAGCAAAAGCAAGTTTATGTTATTTCTGAGATAATATTAACTCGTATTCATATTGTAACTACTTAAGCACAAATTACCGCTTGTCATTGTTGGAAACTTTATTACGCATACTTATCTAGGTGCCATTTTTGGGACTTCCGGCATTTGCATCTTAATACACGATTTAAACCAACAATCGCAAGCAATTGTTGTGTGTATGTGGCTCGTTCGCAACGAAACAATTTAATATACACTCGTAGAGTCTAAGTGCCCATGTAGCTGAATATCATTAAGATTCTTTCGGCCATTTGCTTCATTTGCATCCTAAGAATGTGTAATTGTTCCTCTTCGGTGTAACTCCTAACATCGCGCAACAAGAGAGTTACTCGTTACTCATATCACATTTCTTTACATCTTTTCGTCGAAACAATGCCGGTTGCGCAAGCGAATATATTCCGAGAGGAGTTGTGAGTCCTGGGTCGAATCTTGAACCGCATGAACTTCACACCGGATGCACAAAGCGAAATAAATTAAAGCCATAAGAGATAGATTCCAGCTTCATTTCCATATATGCAGCGTGAGTGATCTATTCATTTTCAAGCATCCATCGTCCGATGGTGTGTATATGGGTATTATTCCAACAGGAGCGCGCAGCGGTTTTGTTCGATCGGGAGGTGGTGATAGCAGATTGTATTCAATCGAAATATTTGTGGGATAATCCATTTCGTTTACGGCGCTTTGTTGCGAACGCTTATTGATTAGTCCGTGTGTTCGAGAAAGGAGTTCAAGAAACTGATTTAACGAAACGCCGTAAAACGACAGCGGAAAAAAAAGGACGCATTGCATCATTGAGGCGAGCGTTTATTGTCCATCATTTCATAAGATAATTGGACGGCCATTGTATGCCTGCGGGCCGCGACCGTATTATCTAATTCAATCGATTCGTAAATTCGTATTTAAATGCGAAGCGAGCGGCTATAATTTCATGTTAAAATCTCTATTAAAATTTGTTTTGGCAGCAAATGAACTCGCCAGTTATTCTGTGCCCATATTGAGACGTCCCACTCGAATCGTAGTGAGCAATAATTAATTGCGCAAGTCGGTTTCGGTGATATTTCATTATTTATAGCCAATTTGCGGCGATATTCGCGCGATATCGAGGGCCTAGTTGCGGAGCGTGTCGGAGGATATCCGCTCGTTCGCTCGAGCGGGCATCGTGCCGTCGAATTTCGCGGGGATGTCACGAGACACAAGAGAAGTCGGCGCGCGATCTGCTGCTCGTCGCCGCGTCGCTGCGTCTCCTCGGTCACGACGATGACCTCGCTCTTGGCTCGCTCCCGGCGAGGCGCAAATTCACGGCCGATACGCGATTTTCTTTGTAATAAATTTCTGCGCGAGGTGTTGAAGTTTAAGGCCACGGTGACTCCGATGCAAAAGCATCATAAAAACGTGAAGGTGTTGCTCGCTTAGTTTGTTCTCATTTTTACTGCGGTGCATGTTGGGTTGCCTATAGTCAGGTGCTACAATCAATACTCTGCATGGCATTTTTAATGCATGTAAACGCGCGAAGGCGCCTAGAACGTTTCAATGGTGTAGATATTAAACACATGTTTTGCGCGGAAATATTATAATTTCGCTGGCGGAGTGTTTTTAAGTGCCCCATCATTAAATTGTAACCTGTGTGTATGTGTGTGTGCAGCGGTCGTAACCGTCTCGAATATTTTACGAACGGTGTTAATTGTCGCTGTAAAACGCGTGCGAAATGCGCGTCGTATTCGCGTTTAATGCGCCCCGGTGCAGAAATAGAAAAGACGTGCAGACGGTTCTGCGTGGCCGATTCGAAAAATGCATCGCGTTCTGCGTGGCTAACGAAAATGAAATGTCCGCCGTGCTCGTGAAGAGCAATATCGCGAATCGGCCGCAAGAGAGGCGAAGCGCACGATGTGGAATAATGTAGATGATGTCAAGGCGAATCTCGACAATAAAGCATTCCAGCGATATCGAACCATTACGGCAATTATTTTTATCATATTGTAGCATCGCATTATCTGCCCATCCGCGGCATTATGTTGGCAGGCGCACGAACCGAAGCCGAGGAGGAACGCGCGCGCGCGCCGTACGCAATCCGCAATATAATATAAAATATTATAGTTATTACAATGGTTGCGAGCAATGTTGTTGCAGCGAATATGTTTATGTGCGATTGCGCGCGAGCTTAATTGCAGGGGAGGCCGGCGAAGTTTCGCTCGTTTAGAGCTCGCTTTGATAATAATATGTATTAGGTACGAAAACACGTGGATAACGCCAAAAACGGAACGCCAGCCAGTCAATTCTCGTACGTGCGCATAAACCAAATTCAATTTGCATGCGCGCTTTACTTTCGTTTCGCGAATCGTTGTTGCAGGAGCAGCGTTCGATTCGATATCGGATTTTCGTGACTAATGTCGCGCCAAAATGAACTATAACAGGGTCAGGAAAGAGGT